GCAGGACATCAGCACATACTGAGACATACTGGACATTAAATGTTGTGGCTGCCAAGGTCCTTTGATTTTTCTTGAAAGGACAAAATGGCTCTTCTTATTATTTGGGTTGTGACTCCTGATCTAACCTGGCTTTAATGCAGAGGCTGCCGGTCTGATTTCTCACTCATCCAGTAGTGTTTTTGTTATGTGCCACCGCAGATTGTCCAGGCGCTGCACTTACCCACTTCCAAGTTCAGCCTTTTGCGTTTCGTCAACATTACATTATAAATTAAATATTTAGAAAATCGATTTTTGACGTTTGTGAATCAATTCAGAATCGTTCGCGTCCGCATCACGATGCATCTGAGAAACTATTTTTTTTCCACACCCCTACTGTTTACTATTCAGTCCATCACTCACCTCTATAGGTGGGAATATTAGCTCTTTTCTCCCTTTCTATTCTAATTATACAGTGTTACAGCAGGTTTAAAACTTGACAGCACAAACAGTGAATCTGTCTATCATGACAAAATCACAACTTTTTTCTGCTGTTGGTATCAGAGAAGAGTAGTCTCCACATACCATTAAGGCAGCACAGTGGTTGCAGAGCAACTACAAGATCATCATATTTAAGTAAATTATTATTTTGACTAGATCTCTATGAAATTTATCCTTCGTTCATGCGCAAGTGGAAAAAAATATGCTTTTTGATGGACACAAAACACAAATCTAATGTATCTGTTCCATCAGCAACCATCTAAAAATAAATAAATATTACTAAAAAGATGACTAAATAAAATATTATTGTTTTTAAGAATGATTTTGAGAAATATCAGCAAGAATTCAAAGCCTTTAAAATGCTTTTTTGGACCAGCCCTACTAACAGTGAATAAAAGCTAATATTGTCAATTAGCATGGATTTTTATATTAACCAGCAACACTTTGTTTCACTGTGATGTCTTTGCTAACTGGAAACGCTTTCTTTCATTGTAACTTCATGTTAATTGGCAATGTTTGTTTTCATTCATTGTGAGATCACACTAATTGGCAACACAGTCACATTATGATAAATCCTAATTGGCAACATTTACGTTTATCCATTGTGATGTGATACTAACTGGCAACACTTGCTTTCATTCAAGATGATGTCATGCTCAATTATTTAATTCATTGTTGACTTTGTGAGCATTGTCTGATTGAACTGCTTTTCTAAAGGCATGTCATGTGTTCTCAGAATTATATTATTGTGTATCGACTATGAACCCAAGGCTGCCATACTTTCAAATAGGGCTGTGCGATTAATCAGATTTTCCTTATAGTGATATGAGTTTCCACCACAAACTAATAGTGATACGAGTTTCTGCTGCAGGAGTGTAGTAGCACAAATGTAGAGGGAAGAACTTCTCTGCTACAGGCACAAATCAAAAGTTCTCTGTACTTTACTATTAAAATGTAATTATTCTTCAGAGATGATTATTCTCACTTGTGTGTTGTGTGTAAAATGTTTGAAGCACTAATGCATAATGTCACAGCAAACCTAGATCAGCAAAAGATATTTATTTATTTATTTATTTGATTGTTTAGTAGGCCTGTATATAACTGTGTGTAGCTGTGGAAGCATGTAAGAAGCTATTAGAATTCCAGCATTTTTATTTGTGCAGTAATTAATTCTGTAGTATGGAGTTGATTTTGTGCCAAAAGTTTCAAATAAAATAATAAATCCGCAAGCAAAAGTATCAAAATGTCCAAACTATGCTGCAAATAAAAATAATGAGAGTTAAATTAAACCTAATTTTTCAAAAAGATTACTACTAATTTTCTCTCAGTCTGACATAAATGTGTTACTCATTTTGCCAGTCTTAGCTTTTATTTTTTTCTATTTTTCTGATATATTGTTTTGCTACTAGAATTGCTCTTTTGCTTGTGAAATATTTCTTTTGCTATTGACTTTTGGCACTTTTTAACTGGGGACGGGTCTTAGAAGAGGGCGATCACCTGCACTCTGTATTCGTCAACTGATGTGGAGCCCAGCTGTGATCAAATCCTGAGAGGGTTACGCTGACATGTCCGACATTATAAGCAAAGTTTGTCATATTTATTAATGTAACACATGCTCATGGTCGTATATAGAGCTGTGCTATATACATACACATATAAAAATATGTATAGATATGTATGTGTTTAAGAAAATAATGTAGCACTGGCAAAAACAAAGAATGGAAAATACCACTAATTACTGCCAGCTATGAGTAACTGCTGCCACAAGATAGTTGATAGACGGTCAAGTTTAATCATTCTAAGGAAGTCGACATGTCATAGTTGGCCGTTATGTTTTGGGGAATACGGAGGCTGTTATGTTAGTCTCTTCTTGTTTCTACCCACAGAATCCCTCTGTCACTGAAACCGGCTTTCTAACTATCTCAGCACACCAGTTTACAGCATGTGCTGCTCCAAATCACTGTCTTCACATCAATACAGTGAACTAACTTTTGATATTTATGCAGTTTAGTTCCATTACCAGTATGACTCACCTAGTTAGCCCTAGAGAACACTGCTAGGCTAGCTAGCGCAAGCAGCAGACCCAAAAGATACAGTTTCGTTCATTCACAAACAACTAAGTTTATGTTTTTCAGTGCCCAAAATAACAGTTACATTGTTTTATACAGGTCGACACAGAAACTTTAAAAGGAAGAACATAGCATACATACATAACATACATTACTCATTATGTTGGACATGCCGGTACAACGCTGCACTCAGAACAATGTGTTCAGCCGTGTTGGGGCGGTTCATGCTGAGTGGAACTCCAGATCAGTTGACCATTAGAGCGTGCATGATCACCTTCTTCAAAGACCCATCCACCAATGAAAGGGTTTCAAAAGTCAGAAGCAAAATAGAAAAAAATGAAAACATAAACTGGCAAAATGAGTAGTAAATGTATATCAGAATGAGTGAAAGTTAGTTGTAAATAGTAGTAGTAGGAAAAAATATGTTTGATTTAACTCTCATTTGTATTTGTAAAACATTATTGATTTTTGATAATATTTTGCTTGTGGATTTTAGCATTTTATTTGAAACTTCTGGCACAAAATTAACCGCATACTATAGTGTTGTATTTTTGGTGTTTGCTTAAAGGAGAGATTAGTTATTTCTCTTTAATTACATTGCAAGAAAAGTTTGCTACACAACCAGTCAGAGACACAAGGCACGATATTTTAATCTTAATTTATCGCTTATATCATCATCGTGATATCCAACAGCTTTATCAAACCTCACGTTTTTATGTTCAAAAAATATTGTCTTAAAATTTGGTGGCATTATATCAGTGCTTCACAAATGCTATATAAACAGAATGTTTTAGTTAAAGATTATTGCTAAAGGCTGCAGAATGTGAAAATGACAGGAGAAACCTTGCTTTTCACATAGTTTGAAACGAAAAGATGGATATATAATGAGAATCTCAAAACATGATCTGCACTTACAGCTTAGCTCAAGCTTATTTTAATTTACCATGACAAAAATGTCCTGGTCCAGTGAGTGCAGAGAAGAAATGGTAGGATTGACTGTGTCATCCAGCTGTCGCCATCTGGATGGCAGTGCTTCAGAACCAGTAGTGCAGCAGCTCTGCAGAGGCCAGATGAGACTTCTTCCTCTTGTCCCTTTTTTCACACATTTTTACGGGAAAGAAATGCTGACCAGACACAGACATTGCCATTAGACACCAGCTGAATGAATATAATTTTATTGGCAATTTCTATATTGTAATGTAATTGGTTTTTTGATTGTATGGCACATATTAGGATTGTTCTTATGTTTGATGAATGGACTGCTGTTAGATTCAGATGAGATCTTGGATTGATGATTGGATTTGTTTGTTTCGTGCTTTAAATATGTGCTTATGATATGGCAACACTTCATGGTTTTAAAAGCTTGATTTTGTTTAGATATATCACTTAGTTTAGTCCCTGTGCAGGTTTACATTGGTGTTTTTTTAACGAAGACGTTGTCCTCCCTGTGCCCCCTGAAAATGACTACATAGCCTCTGACCAATGGACCTATATAATCAAGGTTGATATGCTGAATAAATTCACAATATCCTAAATTGACCATTAACCAGCACTGATTCAAGCCAATGGAAGAAATAAATGTACTATATCTTCATATGTATTCATAGGTATAGACTACACCTTTTACCACTAACATGTTTGAGAAATATGTAGCCAACCTAAGGGTTCCCACTTTCCACATATGCTCATTTTAATAACCCTATTTATATATATGTATATACACACACACACATATATATGTATGTGTGTGTGTGTGTGTGTGTGTGTGTGTGTGTGTGTGTGTATGTGTAATATATAATAAGTAGTCATATCAAGTAATAGTCAGTGTTAGGCTAATTTAACTGATTACCTCTGGTTGACTTTATATATTGACATTCTGAACCTTAATGTATTGATTACTCCTGTTCAGACATGGTCAGTTATAATTATCTTTGCTCATGGCCATGTCTTAACTGGAGATCTCGATGCAGTCAGTCTTGCCTCTTCTGCTACACATTTTATGGTTGTTTTATATTCAGTAATCAAATATTCTTAACAGGAATTTTAATGTTAGCACAAGTTAATGGTATGAGATCATTTGTTACTTTGACAGGGGATTTGTAGGGAATTTAACGTTTCTTTACTGTTCTCACTTTTTCTTTGGGTTGCATTGTAGCAAATGTAATTTGTTTAGCTTGTCTTAATTTAATCTTTGGCTCTGGCTGCTTTATACTGAATTCCATTTCCCTGGAAATGCACCAGTGCAGTATATTACCTGGGCGAGCACCAAAAAGCTAAATTTCAGTACTGCAGAGCTTAATTAGTGATCCTGGCACTTATGCAGCATAGTACCAGAAAGAGATTTTCACAGATTTTATCACTGTGTTGATTATACAGTGCAGTAACTTTTTATTTACCTGTTTTAACTCTTCCATGGTCTGTTTTTTGTGTTTGTTGTGTCTTGTTTCTCTGTAGCATGTATGTTCAGGTACAATGGTCTCTCCTTGGTCTACCTAATCTACCTCCTCCTCATCCCGCTGTTTCCCGAGCCCACAACCAAAACTATGCAAGGTAAGAGCTGGTCAATGGACATAAAAATGTGAATGGAATTATTTAAGATAATTGTTATTTAATTTTTTAGTGATCTGAGTCCTTCAATGTTGAGTATTGATCCAAAACAGTTTTGATCTGATATTTATATTTTCAGAAATAATGCAGCCACACATTGCACACTACAAGTGCATTAAAGTCAAAACAATCAAGTGTAGCTAAGATGTTCTAGGCTGTCAGGTAACACTACAGCAAAAATTATTTCATTTGTTTTTAGTATGTTAATAATGTCATGCTCTGAACTGATACATTTCATTTTTGTACTGTGCTAGTTTTAGGTACCTGAGAAAATTACATTTATATTTAAAAAGCTATTAATCTGATCAGTAAGCAATTATTAGTTTAGAGAAAAACACTATACTATTGTTAGAGTAAATACAAACAATATTAATATGACAAGTTCTGATTTAATGTATGTTAATGTGTTTATTTCCAAACCTCTCATTGATGAAACCCGAATTATTTGTAGTTATCATCCAATACCTACTTCAGCTAATCAATGCTTCTTTACCTTAAATAATGTGAGCTGTTGATGGAATTGAATAAATCCATGCAGCGGCTGAGGGCACAGAGGAAATATCTATATTGGACAACCGACTGGCCACTTCCTCAAAACCGCCACCTTGTTTCTACACTCATTGTCCATTTTATCAGCTCCACTTACCATATAGCTGCTTTTTTTGTAGTTCTACAATTACATGTTGTAGTCCATCTGTTTCTCTGCATACTTTGTTAGATCCCTTTTACCCTGCTCTTCAATAATCAGAACCCCCACAGGACCACCACAGAGCAGGTATTATTTGGGTGGAGGATCATTCTCAGCACTGCAGTAGCACTGATGTGGTGGTGGCATGTTTGTGTGTTGCATAGTGCATGTGCCACGTAAATGTTTTTCTAGGTAAAAGACATACTGATATAACTGCCATTTCACAAGTTTCTAATATATCCCTCTTTGTTACCATGTCTAGCCAGTTCATGATAGTAGCTTTGTATTGGTGTTTATTCATGCTCCTACATACCTTTTGGCTTTATTAACCATTTATGTAAGAAGCTTAAGCTTCGGGATTTTGTAATGCTTTGTAGTCACACTAAAGATTTAAAGCTCATTAAAGTGTAATTATCTGAGAGACATGCAGAGACTGGGGCAGGACACTGCATTGATCCACTGACACTTAAAGTTTGCCATTTTATCTCTCTTGATTAAAAACCTGTAGCCTTGTGTGGCAAAGCCTTGGGAAGGTCCTTGCAACCAGGTTAAATGAAGACAAAGCCTCATACATACAAACTAAACACAGCTACTTCGTTCATTCGTTCATGCATTCAATCACTCATTTATAAATATTATTTGAAACAGCTAAGACAAATAAGAACTCTTTTACATGATGGATAGTTTGAACGAAATACAGAATACATGAAGGGCAATAACATACAAACATCAGAAAGGTCATTAGTCTTAGATTGGAGGTACTGACCAGTATGTGTCACCAGAGTCACTGTTGTTACAGATTTTTGTTTACCATGCAGCAGCCCAGTAGCAGTGTGGTCTTAAGTGTCCTGCTCAAAGACGCTGTAGTCAGAGTGGTCAGAGGAAGGGGCAGGGACATTACTGCATTGTGTCTTATGAAACCAGGAGAGAAAGGAAGAGGATGGGAGTTTCTAAAGTGGACCACTTACATCCTCATCAATAGTTAAAGACACCTGCCTTCATTGTAAAGAAAATGCACTCTGCCATGGTGTTTCTTAGACCGTTGTGTTGGAGATATATAGTTGTGTAATACCTGTATAGGAGGGCGATATGACGATATTATCGTTATCGCGATAAATTGCAATGATATTCTTTTCTGAGCACAATGCAGGTATCGTCGGTATTTCTACAAGAATGAGTTCATGTTTCATTAAAAATAGGGATTTAGACCAACAACCTGACCTGACCTGTAAATTCAGTACTTCAGTACTGTGCAAAAGTTAGAGACCACTCTTCATTTATTTAATGTCCAGTCAAAATGGCCAGCAACCAAAAAATGCAGCCAACCTCTGAGACTAAACTTTGGAGGTAAGGAAAAATGTCCCTACAGATTCTATTTGAAAAACTGAAGCACGTCTCCTGAAAAAAAATGGAAGCTGTAAAAGGTTGACACACGAAATACTGGAAACAATTATGCTATATTTAGTTATAGAGGCTTCTGTATAATTTGATGCTGAAAAGTGGATGGAATGGAAATTAAATCAATGAAGGGCGGTCTCTGACTAGCACTGACTGACATATCATTACAGTAAAGGTGTAACAGAAGTGAGCAGTGTGCAGGACTATGAGCAGGACTAGAGTTATGTGTATTTGACCATCAGTATTTGTCAACTGTATGAATACCCGCTAGCTTCAGTACATTGTATGAATCCAGTGTGTACTGTATATGTTTGTGTAGCACATAGGAGATGCATGCATACACACACACACACACACACATTCACACAATGTAGATGTACTGTCTCTTGTTCAGTAGCAGCACTTAAAACTGGAACAAGTTTTTTCTGTCCCAGGCTGTATTCTTTAAACTCTACAACAGTAATATAATTGAGTTATGTGTTGCTAATGGCACTCTTGGTTCTGTTAGTGTGTTGTAGAGCTGGTTAGTATCTTTTTCTTTATGTGGATGACAGATTCAGGCTGTTGTCTGTCTGGTTTTTTTTTTTTCTTCAGAAAGCTGCTGGTGAGGCAGAGACTTCCTTGATGGTTTTGACCAAACATTGAGTCAAACATTGAGATAAAAGCAACTATGAGAAAAGTACATCTTTAACATTTAGAGTCAACCTTTGAGACAACGGTTAAATCCTAGATTGGCAATAAAAATTCTAGGGCAAAATATTGGTTCACGTATTGGCTCACAGCAATGTTTCCCCTTGAAGCTGTTAAATAGGCTTTTATATGTACTTATTTGTGCTCTGCTCTAGATAAGAGCATCTGGTAAATGATAATGCAGTAAAAAATGAAATGAAACAACAAGAACAGCTTCTGTCTAATTTGACACAGGCAGTAAATTCTGTAATTACATGTTAGAAAATTAGCTGTAAAATGTTTGGGTAGTGTTCTGTATTTAATGTACCACAGATAGAAATGCATTCATGGCATATTAAACAATGAATAATGAGTTAAAATCAGCTTCATTAATAAAATATGATATGATGCATCCATCTTTCAGTTATGATTTCACCATGGAGTGATGAGTTTGTTTGTGGGTTTTGTGACTCATTTAGTAACCTGAGGTGTTATGTCTGTGATGTTAAATGTGTTTTCAATACTACTCAGCTGTTTGAAACTGTTTTTATTTGATAGGTGGCTCTGTACTGAAAGGTTATGCCAGGAGGCATTTTAGTCACATCTGTGTAATGTAGATGACGAGATGATTTGCCTTAGGACAGTTTTGAAGAATGGGTACAGTATCCTGTATTGTCGCCACAGACTTGCACAGACTTGCACATACAAACACCCATGGCATATGAAGTACAATTCAGCTGAATTAGTTCAAACTGTGGTCCCACAGTAAACAACCTTTAAAATAAAACAGTTAAGTATTCAGGCCTTATTTATTTATTTATATTTGCAAAAATTATGTTATGATATATTTAAATCCAAGGCATTAATAGAGATTGTAATATGCTAAATATATGCAAAATCATCATCTCTAGGGTACTTTCTATTTGGAGGTGACCGTCTCAGACCCCTAAATTTTAACTTGTGAAAATATTTAATTCATAGTTAGTTTAATTTGTAAATAAAAAAATATTTGTAAATAAAAACAAGCCTCTACCTAAACACACTGTTTTAGTCCATAGACAGAGGCTTATTTTAGCCACACCCCAACATTTTAGAGCACTAAAAGTGAGACTACATCCTAGCCCTTGTGGTCAGCAGTTACTGTAATGTGATGTCTAATGATAAATAACATTAGAAAAAAGATCAGTTAAGATCAGTTAGTTAACTAGTTAGCTTATCTTAATTTAACTGCTGACTTCTTGATAAATCAGTAATATTAAACAGGACTGTACAGTGTTCATTCATATTTTGTCATTTCTCAAACATGTATGTCTACACTGACCATCTTGTAAAACCTTTTTTAAACTGTTTATTTTTTACCAATGTAATGCTTTGTGTGCTTCTGAATTTTCCTTTGTATTAATGAACTCTTTAGTCAGTGTATTGTGTGCTATGCTGAAAAAAAATTTCTTGATTAAAATGTGGCAAGTGGTTACACAAATAAAGTACAATATGTCACAACTGCTTAATTTGAATTTGCTTGTTTTGGCAAGATTTGTGTTGTTGTAACACATTCATGTGCAACCACTTGCCACATTTTAATCATGTAAATTCAAAGTGCCATTTCTTTCAGCGTACCAGTTAGCATGAACCAAACGTTTGACAGACGTAGCAACAATAACTAAGGGAAGGGCTTTCTGAGTTATTCCTCTTTGTTTACAAATGGTCATTTAATATTTAAAGGGAATCTGTGGTTTGGCCTCAGGTTCTGTTATTAGTTGATCATGAAATGACAAAAGTGATGCATCCTGTATTATAGTATATGTACTGTATTTTAATTTTATATTTTAAGGCACAAACAGTCTCCATCTTTTTACAGGGATGCTTGTAAAAGGAGTTCTCCCTAAACACGAGAACTTTTGCTGCATATTTCAGCAGGACTTTACACAGCCAGACATTTCTTTGGATGCACTATGAAAATGCACATTTAAAAATCATCACATTATTGCTAAATATAACTGGATATGAAATTTAAGTTCATATTTAAGTACTTAAGTTTTTTTGTCTGTCATTTTTAGATAAAACCTGTTGGAAAAAGCTTTACCAGATTTACCAAAATCTGGCCTTTTCCTTCTCACTTTTGTTTTATGGGGACAGAAGCAGCAGCATCTGGAGCAGTGTGATGTGGTTGAGGGTTTTAGCAGGGAATTTGAACCACAGGCTTCTGGCTCTCTCTTTTCCGTCGACCTCGCCTTAACGAGCATTCTCTATCCTCTCTGTGACTGCCAGGGGCAAACTTGAGGGGAAATTAGCACAAATTGTTTTGTGCTCTCAGTTTTATGAAGCCATGGCAGGCCTGAGCCAGGGCTGAGTCAGATAAGGTAGGTTAGAAAAGCTGGCAGACTGGAGCTGGTCTGTGTTTGGGATCCTGGGGTCTCTGTACTAAACTTAGTGGTCTTTTGGATTAGGTTAGAGATCATGCTTCACAGCAACAATTCGACCAATACATTGGAACATGTGGAATTTTGGTTAAGAGAAACTGAAGAAACTCCTGATTATTGTGAGCTGTGTTTTGCTACAGTAGGTTATAGGAATAAAAATGTTTATTGGCTATGTAAAGGAGTTTCCATAATTACAGCTATATTACACTAACATATATCTAGCTACATATAAGCTCTCACAAGTGTTGATAAAGAATCCTTATCCAGTGGAAAATGAAGGTTTCACAGTAAAATTATCACCCAAACATCCATAAGCGTCACTTCAACATAGGTGCAACATGCGCGTTTTGCTGCATTTGCAAAAAAAACCTTAACATCCTTACTTTCGTTTTAACCAGGGTAGGTTACATTCCATCATGATTTACAACTTTTTTCCTACATCAGCCTGATCTTAGTCTCTTTATGGCTTTGTTTGGCCACAAAATGGACACTCATCCAAGAAATACTGCGTTGGAAAGATGTTCTGTGACCATTTGGAAGATTGTGTAACCTCTGTGTGTTGTGTTTCAGAGATTTCATGTAGTATTTCTTGTATTTATATTAGAAGTGCGTGGTTAGTCTGATTTATGTAATTGTTTGGCACCAATATGATCTAATTAAACTAATTTATTTAATAACATTAATGTGATTTATGTTGTATTAGTTATTTAGTAACATAGTCACCGTGACATACAATAGATTATTAATTTAAAGTTGTACTTGTCTGTAATCATATTTTATAATCCCTTTCCCTGACATTGTTATGTCTTCTACAGGCCACACTGGGCGTTTGCTGAAGTCTCTGTTCTTTGCCAGTATGACCTTCCTTGTGTTCCACATCATCTACCAAATCACAGTCAACAGTCTGCTGGCAGGAAACACTATCAGGCCTGACTTTAACTGTAAGTTCAACACGCTTTTAAGTATGATGCAAAGTCAAATAGGCATATTCATTTACAAACGATTGTACAATGTAAAGTAGTTAAACTGTAATAGTCATTGGCTGTGCAGTTTGCTTACAAACTTAAATGCCTACCATGACACAATACAGACTAGACATTAGTTGCTAGTAGCTTGTAGTAATTAATGGTTACAGATCATTTTTTAAGGATTTAGAAAGATATTAATTCTGGTCTGGTAGAGACAGTGGTCAAAGTGATGCTCAATCCACCATTTTATAATAATCTTTGTCCTGCAGTGCTTTTGGAAAGACAGGCTCACACTTGCCAACAGAGAAATGAGGCTACATAGACACAAACTGTAACATCTGCTCACAAGATGTGTGTTAATAGATAAAAACAGTCTAGAGAATGACGAGATGTAGAAGATTGTCTTGGTGTTGCTGCTGACGGAGGTCATTGCAAATGCCTGTTAAGTGTTTCAGAAATAGAGGACATTGGTTAAATTATACCAATGCATTTGTCACGTTTTGAATTACATCTGACAGATTGCCTACAGATCTTTTTTTGTTCAAGATTTATGTTAAAAAGCAAGTGGCCAGTCTGCCTTCTGTTTCCATTAAAAAAAACAATTTCTGGGGTAACGTTAGTACTTGATATCCCACATTTATATATGACACAAAAGTAGTAATATTGCACAACAGAAGAAGCTGTTTTCGTTGTCTATTTAAATATAGACATACAAGGTCATTAGAAGTACTGTCATTAGTTTAAATGTACATACTTTTGAGCTAAGTTTATTAATATCAATATAAGCAGTACAGTTCTGAAGTAAATTGGACTGAGCAATGTTTGATTGCAACTTACTCAACACATGCATATATGACCACATATATTAACTAAATTCTGTTCATAAATTAATCTGCTAAATTATTTAAAAATTGCTTGTTGCTCATCATGTTTGTAATGTTAACATTACACAGAAACCTCAAGTAAATGTGCACTATGCATATTGTATTTTAATATGCATATATATATATTTATACACACACACATATATATATATTTATACACACACACACGCACACATACATATATATACTATATATATATATATATATATATATATATATATATATATATATATATATGTGTGTGTGTGTGTGTGTGTGTGCATATATAACATATATATATTTACACCGATCAGGCATAACATTATGACTCCTTCTTTCTAAGCTCATTGTCCATTTTATCAGCTCCACTTACTATATAGGTGCACTTTGTAGTTCTACAATTACAGACTGTAGTCCATCTGTTTCTCTGCATACTTTGTTAGCCCACTTTTACCCTGTTCTTCAGTGGTCAGGACCCCCATGGACCCTCACAGAGCAGGTAGTATTTAGGTGGTGGATCATTCTCAGCACTGCAGTAACTCTGATGGGGTGGTGGTGTGTTAGTGTGTGTTGTGTTGGTCTGAGAGGATCAGACACAGCAGTGCTGCTGGAGTTTTTAAACACCTCAGTGTCACTGCTGGACTAAGAACCACCCAAATAGTACCTGCTCTGTGAGGGTCCATGGCGGTCCTGACCACTGAAGAACAGGGTAAAAGGGGGCTAACAAAGTATGCAGAGAAACAGATGGACTACAGTCTGTAATGGTAGAACTACAAAGTGCACCTATATAGTAAGTGAAGCTGATAAAATGGACAATGAGCATAGAAACAAGGAGGTGGTCATAATGTTATGCCTGATCGGTGTATATAATAGCACTATACTTCTAAGTAAAATCACTTCAGGCTGTAACACGATATTATCTTATTTACAAAGAGACTGTGTTAAATGGCCATATTCTCCATCCAGTACATAGAGTGCACTTTTCAAAACAGCCATTTAAATGCTAAGCACTACAGTAATAACCCAAGACCATATTCACTAAGGGGGTAACGATCCTGGGTTCACGATTCAACATTCTTATGATATTTTGAACAAAATACAAATAAAGAAAAATGACTTTTATAACATTGTTGACAGCTTACTAACAGCACTAGAGCTGGGAGGCATGAGGAATGCAGGTTGTTGATTGGTGCTGAATGTTTGCAAACGTTTGTATTTAACGATGCAGTTGCATTAGGCGGCATAATAAGTAGAACATCCATTATCCATGATGAATTGTTGCACCTGTACATTGTCACATTGTCACAGTTTTGCAATGTGTTATCACATTGTCACAATGCATTGTTACACCTCATTATGCGATATATTGAACGGAGCTTACTTTAAGGAGAAAAGACAGAGACTTTGGCCATGAGTCTGAAAAGCCTCTCTTGGGTTGTGAAGTGTGTGGATATTTGGCTTTCAAAAGCTTGTGAAACTCTGCCTCAAACCATTAAACTCATATTTGTCTAGACAGGACTGCTCCTGAGCTTGGAGAGATTCCTCACCATTAATTTATATTTTCATATTGTATATGTTTGCCTTCACAGACAGGGGTTTGCATCTTGATGAAAGTTGATTCTCAAACATTAGAATATGCTATTCATATCTTGTCAACCATTCTAGTGTTCTAGTCAAATAATAACCTGTAATTTGTTGATTTTATTTAGGAATAAATCCACCAGACTAAGTTATTATGATTCAACCTGTGAGATCCTTGAGCTTTCTGACTTTTTGTCCCAATTATAAATCACAAAGAAAAGCACAAAAGCTCTCCACACTGCGTAGGCCATCTGTCTGATGCTTTGATAACATGACACTCTTCCCTCCTGTTTCTGTTCTCACCATGCTTCTGTCCTCACTGTGCCAAATAAGCCATTAATGCAGTAACCTGGAAACATTCACAAAACATGGGAGAGCTGTTATTTGAGCAATTTAAAAACAATTTTAAAAATGATGTGACGAAGATCATCTTGCAGCCTCCAGGATGATTTGTGTTACGCACATTTATTTTTTATACATTTTTTTTATGTTAGGACATAGAATCATAGATTTGTCCCAGTATTTATGTATATCAGAAACAGCCCATCCTTAATTAAGTTTCATTCAAATTTTCTATTAAGTACAATAGCTTGTACCTGGTGGTGGTTTTGACTGGAAGGTAAGTAAATGAAGGCTGGTATCTGACTTTTGCACAGTACTGTGTCTTGTGTACTCCTAGGCAAAAAATGGGCCAAGTCCAAAATGGCAAAACATTAGGTATTTAATGGTCTTAACAAAAAATCATTAAACAAATAGATAAAATAACTTGGTATGGGGTAGCTTTTCCCATTTCTTTAAATGTTGAAGACTGTAAATTTGCATACAGTTTTTTTACAGAAAGAAGAGTCAGTATTTTTCTACTCAGCATTTATGGCTTCAAACAGTTGAAAAACTTTGCCGAGCTAGTTTGTGTTTGGTTGTGAGACCAAATTTTCTCTATAGGGCTTAAATCTGGACTCTGACCAGGCCAAAAGCATCAGTAAAAACACATTTGTTGGCCATTTTTTTGGAGTGTACATCTGTAAGTACTTAATCGTAAAAAAATGTTCCATGTGTATTATATATATCGCTGCTGTCAGAACAAAACCTTGTATCTACATTTTTTTTTCGTTTTTCAGTTTTTGTCATAATTTGAAAATGCCTTTTGCCCTTTACATTGTGTCTGAATTTAATGATGAATGGACCAAAACAAATGGCCCAAGTTTTGTGGAAAAAAGCCTGGTTACATAGACTTACATTAAATATAAGGTTTTCTTTCGACATCAGCGATATTTATGTACTATATGTATGTACCTACATGTAATAAGCCTACTCTAAACCTAACCTCACTAACAAAAATAAATGGTTTTGGCTTTTCAGTTAAAAATAAATGAAACTTTTGTAAAAAGTCTTTTACAAGGTCAAGACCATTTTGTTGGTCTTGTGAGTGTAGGTTCTGTTTTTCTCCAGTATTAAAAATTGAGACAATTTTGTCCTGAAACGTCCACACATACTTCTTCTGATCTGGCCAGAACCTATGCAGAGTTAGTAATGTCTCACTAAGCCAGTGGTGTCTTGCCTCTCTTGTTTCATCTCAGGCTCCAGTGCATTGTGCTGACCACAATCATTTTTATCACTTTTAAAGACATGAGTTACTGCTAGCTGAAAAAGACATATCCTGCTGCAAAAAGGAAGGCAGAGAATAGCACAAGATAGAAAGAGTACATTTTTGGTTACCATTAAGGTTACCATTAAAGATAAAGTTTCTATTACAAGAAAAAATCTAAGAGCTCCTTCTGGAAAGTAATGAACTTAAATACATCTGACGAATGGAACTGCTACAAAAACAAAGAAATGAAAACAAAACAAAAGAAGTACGTGCTAGGAACACTGACCAGATGGATCCCTTGGGAAGGATTTGGCTTAATAAATAAAAGCTGAGGGTTGATTGCAGCCTTTATGAAAAACAAGACCAAAGTGTTGATTAATGATAGTGAACACAGTGTTGCCTCATAGCTTCATCAGAACTTTCAGCACTTGCACATGCTTCTTAAAAAAAGCTTCTATGAACTCATGGTCTTTTTGACCTTTCTGACCTTAAATTATTTGAATTGTCTGCCCTGCCTTGTATTGATGTTTCAGGCCTGCAATAATATGGGATGCCTGTGCTTTTAGGTATACTGCTATAGATCACCCTTTCATTAGGACTCAACATTTGGCTGGGGACATTATCCAGTGAAATTCTGTATATTTATTTTTGGTATCATGACTTAAGCCAATATTGTTAAATACAGACCTTGAGCCAGGTAACCCTAACTGTTCATATGGATGATACAATCTTATGGGGAGGGGTGACATTATTGCTATTGTTACAAAATGTTTAGCATTGTCCATGTGAACCTCTCAAACAACATGGAAATGAGGTGTTGTATTGAACTGATCAAAAGACTGCACATCAGGGCAAGTTTAACCATAAACCATCATAGTATAAAAATGGTTAGATGGTAGAACAAGCATCACTTAGAACACTCTCTTTACAGTAGATGTGATGTTCTTAAAGTTTTGCCGATTGTCTTTTGAAAAGCTGGCGATGAACAGTCACTGCGCAGTTGTTTTTGTACTCCAGCTGTGGAACAGCCGTCAGTACTCATCCACCTGTTGGCTCGGTTTGGGCTGGAGGCAGTTAGGTGTTACAAATGTTTGGATCCAGGAATGTCAGTTTTTCTTTTATGGCAGTGCTATTCAGAGCCTGACTAGACATTTTCTATTTACAGCCACTCTCCTCAGCAGTGCTTTAGGCAGACCTTAGTGCTCAATACATCTCCATCCCCAGATATCCAGATACCACTGAAACAGAAAGACAAAACATTACTACTTAAAAGTTTGTACTTGGCTGAAATCCTGCAAATTTGTTTCTAAAATAAGTACTGTATACATAGACATTAATGCCTATGTATATATTTCCTAACAAAATAAAAAAAAAAAATTAAAAGCTAGTATCATTTAGAAATGGAAAATGTTAAAAAAAATTGTATCATCCTGATTGCCTAATTACAATTTGTGACTTTAAAAGTTATTGGTAGAATGTCTTTCCTCATTGCTATATTAGAGCCAGTCAGTTGTGTAGGGTGGGTCTTAATGGCCTTTTCTGGTAGAAGGCCATTTTTTCTGATAATTACATATAATTACATATGAATTAACTTACTCCATACTATCACATCTTTGCTATTATTGTACAGTATGTAGAATAGCACAAATTATAAAATGAAGAGTAGATGTATTTATTCAAACTTTTGATTGGTGTGTATGCATGTGTACTTAAATTAAAAACCTGTAATTGACTGATGTTTGTTTGAGGTCACCAAATGCTGTTCCTAAAGAAGCTGTCAGTGGTTTCCTGTGTGTGAAGTCACATTTAAGGTTCAGACTTTGGTGATGGCGCAGAGGCTGAGTAATGTTCGTAATAGTACCTCTGCCTCAAAAGGCAAGCCAACACCTAATTACACCCCTAATTTACTAACAAAATAGAGAGACATATTGATTTGTCATTATTGTAAACACTTCAGTTATAGACAAAGCTGTGTACAGTTCTGCTTGGCAGCCTAACAAAGTCCAATTACCGACACCACTCAGCTCTCAAGGCAAAGAATACCTGGAAATAAAATGCAGTGACTGGAATGACGATCAGGAACTTCATTAAACAAACATTTAAATAGAATGTACTGTGTCTGTTTGTTTGCTTGTTGAAAAGGTCCAGGCTGTGTAAACTATTTTAAAACATTGACAGAATAAGGCCTTGATATAGAAAACTAACTCAAGAAATAATGTGAATGCATGACACAATGAAGATTTTTAAGGTATTACTGTATTCATTGATTGTGTTGTGAAAACTGTAAATATAGATGACCTTTTGCTCACATGAAAGCAAAAACTAAATTAGAAATTATTCACAAGTATCACAAACGTATCTTCTCCCAAGAACCCTGCGATGGCTATTTTTATTTTGCATTTACAATGCAGTTGTGAAGATGGGTTCTAAAGAAAAATGTAAACCAAATGTTAAATGCCTTTGTTTTTGTTTCTCCAGGTACGCTGTGGGAGAAGTCTATACGACAGATTGGATTTGAGAGGTAAAACAATGATTTTATTTTGTCTTTTGACTCCATGTGGATTATTTTATGTCTGTTGCATACACTGTATTGCAAAAGCAAATGAATCCCAAATATTGAGACTGTTATAATTTCAGCTACAATTTCAACAGTTGAATACTGTGATATCGCTTTAAATTTCCTCAAATCAACATAAATTCCAAGTTGAAATCTGTTTCCAAATGACTTTGACACACTGTAGAGTGAACCTAGAGGTGTCAGACTACAGTCTAGGAGGGCCAAGAAACTGCTAAGCTTAGTATTTTCCCTGATTTATCACACTTGATTCAACCTTTATGAGTGGATTTGAGTGTTTTAAAACAGTAAAAATGCTCCGCAGAGCTGTTATCTTCCAACATTTGAGTTTGAGATTCATAGATATTCTCCCTAGAGAGAGGTGATCTTGGAAATGCTGTACATAGCCATAGTGTTCTGTTGCTAGCTTTTTCAGTTCTATTTGCAGCATGAATTGTGAGGCTGCTATACTCGATAAATTGAGCATGAATCTTCCCCTCCCAGGGTCAATCAGCTCTGACCACTTGGCATTTTACAGTCAATAATGTTTCACTTCAGTGATTGTATGCTTTGAAACTTAAAGCAAGGTCAGCATGGAAGGAGTGTGTTAAGGAGAGAAAAGAGAGAGAGAGGTGAAGAAAGTCTTTTACACTTTTGATGCTGGTGCAGTATGAAAGGAGCTTCTATGTAAAGTACCAGGGAAAAGTTTGGACTCATCTCATTGAGTGTATGTTTTTCATAATCTTGCAGAAATTTTGGTCTAAAGGCTTATGCTTAAATGCTTGAAATTTGTTTCTCAGACAAATATAAATGGTGAAGTTGATGCCAGTAGTCTCATTTACATTTACGCCATAGCCATCACATAAAGAGGGCCTAGTCCATTTTTAGATTTGTAGACAAGAATCAGCAGGCAGCTACAGGAAGCCAGTGAAGGAAATGCAGCAGTGGAGTGACATCAGTAAACTTGTGTTGCTGTATTCTGGATCATTTGCGAGGGACTGATGGCATGCATAGGAAGACCAGCCTGGAGCGAGTTGCAGTAGTCAAGCCATGAGATGATGAGAGACTGAACAAGCACCTGGTTGGCCTCCCTAGAGAGAAGGGGGGGATTCCTTCGGATGTTGTAGAGGAGAAACTTGCATGGCCGAGTCAGGTTTGCAGCATGAGCTGAGAATGACCAAATCTCCATTTAGTCTCCAGTTAGAACTTTGTTGACATTTAGAGTTGGAAAATATTGAACCACAATCATTATATCTTCCCTATTACTGCATATTAAGAGTTAATTTGACTGATCAGCTCTGTTGTAAGGTAGGATGGCTTTAAATAGTTCTATTTGGGAGAAGTCCAGTATTTCTAATTGCACTGATTACATATTCCACAGGCACAGCTGTTTCATAGTTTTCATGTCTTCACTATTAACAGTAGGAGTGTCCAAAAGGGGCTTGTGCTGGTGTTGTCAATGACAGTTTGAAGTTTAAGGGAGGGGTGTATTGAGGAGCATCAGATTTGCTCCATTTGTTTGGAAGAGATTTAACTCATGGTACACCCCATGTAGCTAATAACTTCAAATGGTGGAAAATTATCGACTAGCGCACTCTTTTGCAGTTGGTTGTTTTGAGTGTAGGTGAGCGAGAGATGTTTGTGATATTTTTAAAGTATTGAGCCGCTTGTCTTTGTAAGCATCGTTCTCCGGTCTCAGAATCAAACAGCATTACGGCCCACTTATGTGTATGTTCAGCAGTCTGCCCATCACTCCAAACGGCTCCAACCTGTATTCTCCCTCCAACCGGCAGCTTCCCTGAAGATGACTAAACCCAATTACACCTGACCTGAGCTTGACAGCCTTATTTTTCAGAGCCTGCCTTGACATATGGATGCGCTCGCAAGGCCCTGATCCTATTAACTGCGGTTTTGCTAAGTGCGGGAACGTCCGAAACATGTCTTTTGCCAGCAGCACTGCAGACAGGGAGCGCAGGGCCGCTGGAAAGTGGCAGGAAGCTGAACTGTAAACTGTTTATGTCCCTAATTGACCTGTTACTCCAACGAAGGCATTTAGCTATGACATTACGGCACACTGATGCCTCTCTCCTCTTAAACCTGGCATGGAGATGTGGGAGAGGGAGGAAACAGAGCCGCCAAATTGACTTAGAGCCGGGACGGCAGGGAGAGATGAGTCTAAAGTGGCCGCTTTGGCCCTGAAAAGATAGAAACCGGGCATGTCATTACATAGTGTTTTGCCAAGAGCTGTTAGTGTGCGTTGAAGCACCTATTAAGGTGTGGTTTAATTTGGCCTTCTACAACCCCCACCACAGATAAATCATTGACCATTGTGTTTATTTGCTTTGTATGGATGTTTATCCTTCATACATGTGTTGTTTCCTGTGTATTATAGGGCAGGGCTCACCCATGTAGCTTAATGAAATAACATAGAGGTTCTGTAAAAGTGCAGTTTCTAAGCATTTTTATAAGCCTGTCAATACAGGATGTAAATCGAACGTAAATGTAATTTAGGGTTTTTCTACTCTTTCTTTTTTTAAGAATGCATATTAAATTTTGAACTTGTGCAAAACAAGTTTTGACCTGAATAGCCTACCGCTTTAGTATGCTTATTCATTATGCGTGAATACAAACATGAAGATTTCTTTGACTGATGCGTACCTCTAGCCTCAAAGTCTGTATAACTTTATTGGCTGACAGTTTAGTTAAGGACTGCTAGTTGGAGACTTAGGGTTTGTGCTGCGATCTCATGGCAGTAAACATAAATCTCATGGGTTTTATGCTCTCTAGAGAAGTTTGTTTAACTGCTTGGTACCTCAGCGCCATCACAAAAAAGAAAGTGAGATCAGCTGTGTGTTTGCAGTGCATTACTCAGCTCAATTATTTGCCAATATGGCCTCATCAAATTAAAGAAAAATATGTTGATTAGGCATGCTGTAATGATCGCAGCTTATGGGCTGTTCGAACTGAAAATGTAGTGGATTAACATTAAATTTGTGCTCATAAATTTTTCTTTCTACTTCTGTCTATTTTAAATCAAGAGCTCCTGTGCTCATTGACAAAAAGACAGACTGAGAAAATGTCCATCGCATTCAGTAGCACTGTAGGTACATTGGCCCATGAAGGTGTTGTTTCATTGTGTTTTAAAGGGCAAAGTTAAGCTTTTCATTAAATGGAAATACCAGAGGTTCCTAATTAGACAGGAATTCGTTTTTCCAACATTGATTTGCTGTTGTTCCTCCAGTCTGACTTTTATAAGGCACTCACCCTTTGCTAATATAGCCAGTGACAGGCTCTTCTCCTGAGCGAGCCACATGTGACTGACAAAAAAAAAGCAGTGTTTTTTGCAATCAAAGTGACAGCAAGAGTTATTTATTGTAAACAATTTCACTTGATTAAGAGCGTGGTATGAGAAGTGAATGCATTTCGGGTCACAGAAAAAAAAGTTCTCTGTGGTAAAATAAATCTCCTTATAAACTGGCAAATAAAAAGGTTGAGACTTAATCACTTACTTAAAGGATGATGTTTATTTCACACTCATCTGTTAGCTATTTACACCTTCTGTTAACCTTGAATATAAACATTGCAAAATGTCCTGACGTTCAGTAATTTAGGCATGAGAACTACAAACACTTTACTGGGATTGTGAGGTGTGATATTTGACACATTGAATGAAGAACCATTAAAGTGTCCCGTTGCCTGGCTGCAGCTTTCTTATCACTGCTTATTTCCTGAATGATAAACTTACTTATTATTCTGCAAGCCCCTGAAATCACAGAAGTTTCACTTTGTGGGTTTTAAGTAAAAGTTCAAGCTGTTTGTACAGACCTAAAGTACACCACAATGCTTCTAAAAGGAAAGTCAGCCTCCTTCGAAAACATGATTTTATGGACACCCTAATGGAGCTCTGAAAAAAAAAGTTGTTTTGAAGAAATCATTCCTGTATAGAATAACACTTTAGAGAAGGGCTTAATTTCACTGGGGACGCTTTAGAGGAAGCCAATGTGTGTTTAATGAGAAATATTTATATCCTTTTAATATGGGGCAAGGCTGATTTTATGGAACTGGGTGGAGAGGCATATAAAACCAACGCATTATAGCATGCAACAGATGTGCAAGAAGCTTTAGTTGGAAAATGCTGCCGGAAAAATCGGCATTCCCAGAAAGTTCCCACCTTTCCATCAACCCAGATGGTGTTTGTTCACAGGAGCTCCGCAAATGCATGTGGTATTTGGTTACTGGCAGATGAACCCCAATAACAGGTTCATGTGTGTGGCAGGGTTCTCATAAAGATACTAGCCTTACTTTAACATTGCTGACTTTCTCAGAACATTAAAGAAATTACACAGAAATGAATCTGTTTTGTGAAATATGCACAAATATGCACATCAATGGTGTTATATCAAAATATGATGCTGGTCCAAAATATTGCCATAATCAGAAAACCTTTTACTATAACCTCTTTGGGGCAAGATGTTGCATTATTAAAGCAATAGTTTGATAAAAATTCAAACTTACATAATTTTCCCTGTTACCCTTGAATGTAGGCCAAGTAATGTCAGCCAAGTAAACTCAAAAAAGACTTACTCATGTAGTTTCTGACCCTGTATGACCTTATAAGTGTGTTTCATAGAAATAAACAAAAAGTATGTTACAAAACGTTTGTCCATTTGTGAAGGTACTATTATGTTGTATGGTGTCAGAAACCACAAGAGCAAATCTATGATTTTATAATACATATAATATCATATATAATTGGTGAGGTATAAGCTTCCATTAATTGGTAGCTACATTATATATTATAGCTTAAGTGCAAATCTAAAGAAGCCAGCTTAAAACAGTAACTTAAACCAACTTTAAACAACAAACATATTGGCTGATCGACTACATTTGGGGAACAAGGGAAAACTATATTTTGCTTAAAGAATCCCAGAAGAATGTAAACCTACAATCAGAGCCTTGTTCACTACTTGTCATGAAACCAGCAACTCATTTCTGATGTCTTCTCTGTGGTCAGTGTTGTAGGGGCAGATGCAAGCAATGGCATCCGGGTGTTTATTCCAGACATTGGCATGTTCATGGTAGGCCTGGGCACCTGGCTGCTGTGTAGGAGTCTAGAGCAGAAGAGGCCGTCGGAAGACATGGCCCAGTACAACCATGACTTTGAGGCAGAATATCAGGTAAGATTTATAGAGACTATTCAAGCGTATTTTCATTCTTACACTCTTATTTTTACTTTTCTCACTATCGGTTCAGTTGATTGTGTTGACTGTAGTATGTGCAGTATTGCCAAGGCAATTACAAGATTCAAAGCTTTGAATACTGTTTATCTGAAGGTGACAGTTTTGGTGGTCTGCCAGGTTTTGCAAGGCTGTTAGGAGTCTAATTTTTTTGTATTTTTTAATGATTTTTTAAACTCCAGTGTTGGAAACTTTTCCTTGGACTTTCTCATTCTTTATGCATGTGGATTATCTTATATCTAATCTCCTCATAAATATCTTGTGGAAAATTAATAACATGTAATTAATGGCCATTTGAAATGGCCATTTGAAATGAAGGATGGTATCTGAAACCTTTAACAGCTACACCACTTAAGAGGTGCTTCTAAACCTCTTTTTAAAGAAACATACAAATATATTGTCATACCACCCAGCCCTACAAGCAACAGAGAAGCAAACAAAAAAAAAAAATTGGTTTACCCTCAACAGCATTCTGACTTGTAATTCGGCAATTATTTCAAGTTTGGTGGGCCAAACAGGCAGTGCAGAATGTTTAGCCAGTATTTCATTTGATAATGAATGAGAGAATTTGTATTTTTAAAAGTTTTGTCTGGTTTTCTGTTTGATTTTCACTTATTTTACAGCGTATTTTACTGCATTTTGCTGGGTGGCTCCCGCAGCCCCACATCTGTTCTATAAATGCTATGCGCTTTTCTTTTAGAAATGTCGGACTTGTTAACATAAACGCTGAAATACAAAAAGAGATGTTCCGGATAGCTCTTTTAAATTAAAAATATTTTCACTTAATAATTATATAAATTAACATTACGAGCAGATCATATGCCTCATATGATCATATGTGGTCTGCCTGTAAAAATTATGAGAGTACAGCAGTGCAAAGGGTTCACATCATCTGCCTTAAAGTTTATGATACTGAAAATTAAATAAATTATTAGTATTTTATTTAATATGTAGTCACCCATGACTTTAGTATCCTTCACCCAAATTAAAGTCCGTCATCAGATTAGGACATAAATTCTATTTTTTTTTCACCCCCTATATTTAACTCAAGTTGATTAACGTTGATTAACTCAAGTTGATTAAAAAGAAGCAGAGTCTCAGTTTGGCCCTAAACAGTTCTATTGCAGCAGGTGTGGCAATAGAACAGTAATTCCATAAAACAGAGAGCCGTTTTTTTTTTTTATTTTGCTGGTTTACTGGGACACTGAAGTGTTTGACTACATGAACAATTCGTCAGATTCAGAACAGTTGTGTTGACAAAAAGTGATCTTCAAAGACATAGAGACATGCTTGCACACTTCTACACACACACACAAACACATTTTCTAAGCCGCTTATTCTCCTGGGTCGGGGGGGCTGCTGAAGCCTATGCCAGCACTCATTGAGCGGAAACGCCCTGGACAGGTTGCCAGTCCATCACAGGACAGGATTCTTATACAAACATGCTGTATTTATAAGTTTGGAGGTTCTTTTACTTGTTCTAGCTTCAAATCAGCTCATCTTAATGTGCATCTTTTATTTCTTGGACTGAAAGCAAACTGAAGGGCTTATGGCAGTCTCTCCAAAGCACATATTTTCCTGTAATAAAACCCTGTTGTATTTTACACTGGAATGACTTGTAAACATCAGAGTGACAATTAGCTAACAGAGAATCTCTTTGAAAATAATGGCATCTTTAGATGAGAGTGACGTCACTGTATTTATGATTTTTATTTTAAAAAGGCTGCTTGGGATCGCATGTAAAATGCATGGCAGAGCTATAAAGTACTTGTTAAGTTTTATTTGAAGAAATAGAAAGCTATGATTAAATTTCTATGAACAGCATTTTTCCTAAACGTTCTGCTGTTAGTATTTGTTTTCCTCCATTATAAGGCCTTATTCTCATGAGAACAACTTTATTGTGCTGTAGAATTGAGGTGGGAAAATGGTGCATAGCCAAATTTAGACTGTAAGATATCCCATACTGAAATACTGAAATGAAAATGTAGCTGCATTTACATTAATGTGGCTAATTTATTTGCTTTGGATTCTCAGTTCAGTTTAGAATAGTTTGTACAAGACTGCCACTTTGTGTAGTTTGCATTGCATTTTGCATCACAGTTCTTTTTCTGCTCAGCTTATAATGAACTGAAATAAATGCTTAGCTATCCACTTTGCATATTTTCAAGGTTTTGTCTTCTTAAAACCTTTTAAGAGCATAAAACTGGGATGCATTTGCAGACCCAGATTAAGTCTAAGCCTAGACTAAAAAGGGTATTTTTTTATTTATATTGCAATGGAAATGTCCCTACTAGCCTCACTGAAGAGTCATTGGTATAGAATGTAAATTTGCAGTTTCTCACATAACTGTAAATAATAATGCAAGTGTGTAATTACATTCATACAGTATAACAGGACAACAGTAATAACTCTCAAAGTCTAATGGTTAGTGTCCAGTTCTAGCCTTACTTAATGTTCAGGAAACCAGCCCATAGTGTTTAATGAGTAAGCATTATCATATGGTCTGTGAGGAGCTCTTGGGTGTGTTCAGTAGAGCCAGTATGCCGTGCTAACATTAGGGTGCTGGTTCCTGTGCTGTAGGCCACACATGTGGAGCAGTTAAAAGCTTGTTTAGTTTATTGTGTGTTGTTGCTGATCGGGTACAGATTTACTGAGGTGGGTTAATATGCAGCAGGTTTGTTATGCTGCAGTCATACAGGGACACATTTTTACACAGGCTGATTCATACTTGCTGCACATTAGGGCTGAAAGATTAGCTGTGACATCACAACCACAAATAACTGGCAGACTGGTGAACAAAGGTCAGTGTTCAAGCCTCAAGTCAGAAAAAGTGGATATGCTGATCTGTTTGTCCAAAAAAAGGTCCAGACCTTAATTTATAGAAAACAATTGCAATTTAAATCATAATTGCAGTTAGATATTTTGCTAGAATTGTTCAGCCCAATTGCACATAGACGAATCTACATCAAGACACAGTGAAGAAGCTGGTGAGTAAGTGTAGATTTGCAGAGGCCACAACATGCATACCTTCAAAATCTCAACTATGTGTCATAAGCCCTTTTATAATACATAGTGTCTGACTTTTTTCTCTTTGTCGCTCTCTCTTCCGCTCAGTCTCTTCCATATTCTCGTTCTCTCATTTCTTTCATTTTCTCTCCTCCCTCTCGCTTACTTATTCAATATACTTTCCTAAAACTTTTTCAGTCACAGTTTAACATAATCTCATCTGTGCTCAGTTTTCTGTGCTCTCCTTATAGAGGAGCTCTATCGGAATTATCCTATAGCTCTCCTAGGATCCTTAAGACAGAAACCTATGCAAGTATGCAAATGCTTTAAGGTTTGCAAAATCAGTTTCACATGTCGTTGAATTCTAAAATGTGTCACTTGAAATTCATAATACTCCGAAAGCACAAGCTGTATTCTCAGTGTTGCAATGAGAAGTGCTATAACAGACATAACCCATGAATATATTGAACAGGAGAGACATCCTCTCCTTCCAGAGTAATTTACCAAGTAAAGCAACACACACTCATCAACTGTTGACATTTGTTTTTATGACTGTTGTCTTAATAGTAAATCCATTTTAGACAGTCTGATATATACCCTGTCGCCTCCTTGAATGTAATGTCACCTGTAATTTAAGTGTGTGCAGCAGAAATGTATTGGTCAGTCATTGTTATTTGTGTTTGCGTACTTGCAAATGTTTCTGGTGTGTGGTATATTTCTGGCCTTAGTCTACTCCACGAGAGTTATTCAGTCTATATCTGTTGGGATATATTCTCGTTCTCAAACAAGAGCTTAGTTAAGGTTTGGGGAGCACTCCTTGTGGAAGAATCATTAGCTAGCTTCATTGTAGTTCTGTTTTATATTGTGTCATTTGACATTGTTTTTGTGAAACCACATGCAGGAGGAGGAGAGTGAAGAGAAGCGGGACCTTGATGATGAAAATGACGAGATGCTCTTTGATGAGGACTTTGATGCTGAAGATGAGGCAGAGGAAGAGGATGATGGCCTGGAGGAGGAAGAAGAGGGTGAGGAAGTGAAGGAGAGTGCTAAGATGAAGGTCCTGCGCATAGTTGCAGGAGTGGCCTCTAAAGTGAAGGATGTCATTGGTAACCTCATCACCACAGCAGGGAAGGTGGTGGTGACTATATTGCTGGGCCTAACAGGTAAGAAGCACTCATAGGATGAGACTGATGCTTGAAGCAAAATGACAAACACTTTTTTAACAAGAGGCAGTTGATAGCAGCAGCTTATTGACAGAAAACAATGTTACAACCGTGAAAGAATGTTATTAGTTTTCCTTTTTGCTTTTGTAGCAATTTCAGGGCATTCTAGGCTTCTTCATTTTTTATATGAACTTACAGTAAATTATACACTAAACTCTTAAGAATGGACATCAGCTCCTATGAAAATAGGAAAACAGCACAAAATACAAACAGTATGTCATAGTAAAAATTTACTCTAAAATTACAGCACATATTTACAGTGTGGGAGAGATTTATCATTGTGCCTTCTAGTCCAGTGTCTGCCATTCATTAAAGCTGCTGTTTTCTGTGTGCTTTTAACTTTGTGTGCTCTCATCTTCTCTTTTCCTTCTGTACTCACAGGTATGATGCTGCCCTCTCTGACCTCAGCTGTCTACTTCTTTGTCTTCCTGGCCCTGTGCACATGGTGGTCTTTTTGCCGGACTTTTGACACCCTCCTTTTCAGTTGCCTGTGTGTGCTGATGGCCATCTTCTCTGCCGGCCATCTCATTGTCCTCTACCTCTACCAGTTCCAGTTTCTCCAGGACAGCATCCCGCATAATGACAGCTACATCAGGTTTGGGATAGAGAATCTGTAAATCTTTTAAATCTAGTTTTTAAATCTAGGTTCTAGGCATCTCACTCTAAACTTGAGCCTAGGATGAAATAGGGACTTCAAATCTTCATTGCATTCTGTAGCTGTTTCACTGGAAATTTTTTTTTGTTGTTTTAGCTCTCCTGTGTAGCACGTTGGCCTATTAAGTTAAAGTCATGAATGTCATCTTTAATTTGAGGGTGCATTTATCAATAGTCCATTGTCAGGCCTTATATTTTGGCTCTGTCCTGACAGATTTTTTCTGATTCTTCAGCCTCATGATGGAATACTTCTGGCATTGACACTGATTTGGTCTTCGTTTTGAAAAACAGCAGCAACAGACTACAAATTCAAATTCCACATCTATAATGAACTGTAGACCTTTTGCAAGCTCGATTTTGGATTAACGGCAGAGATATAGCCAAGATACAACTAGCAGCCAATTGTCCAGTTACTTTTGGTCCCATTAAAATTGAAGGACTTCATATAAAAATGGCTGTAATTCTTACATAGTTTTCCCAATATGGATGTAAACGTACCATGGAATTTAAACTGATAATCTGCCGTTTAACTTCAGGGTTACTGTTTTGCATTGATCTGGCACATAGGAGTACATAGCCAAATGCATACAAACAGCAATGCATGTTTGTCGTATTATGAATAGATGGGGAAACACTGGTTATCTTAAAAATGCTTTACAGCTGAAAGTAAAAGATCAGGGTTGTACATCAAGAAAACAATGACAAAGCAGGGTAGGGATAGCTACTGAAAAATTTGTAGTTAGTTACTTTGTAGCTACTTTCCCAAAATTTGTAGCTAGCTATAATTTAGCTACTTTTCCAGAAAATGTAGAGGCTACTTTTTAGCTACTTTTTGAAAAGTAGTGCATTACTTTTTAGCTACTTTAAAAGCGCGATTGTCAGAATGTTTGTGAATCTCCACCTGATACACCAAACAAGCCCAACTGACAGTGTAAACAAGACACTACATTTAATCATGTGCCAGAAAGAAACATACAAACAATTGAAAAGCTGCAAATATACAAAAAGATCACCAAAAAGTAAGTTTAAGTGTAACCAACAATCAAACTTACACAACCAAAGGTGTGATATCCAACAAAAATTTAGACTAAAGGTAAAGTCAATCATTCCAGGTTTTTACCTTACAAAAATCAACAAAAAATAACCGTATACAGACCAAACTATTTTGTGCAAAGCATTGTCAATAGTGGAAATAAAACTGCTCCAATATAGACATTTCAGCCAGATATGTACAGAAATGACATTCAGAGTCTGTTTGTTAAACTTCAGCAACACTTTAGCCTCAAAATTCTCATCAAAATTCTCATAAATGGTCTTAAATGCTGGAGTTAATGTATAACTGCTAATTCACCAACCTTTAACGCTGAAGACTGACGTGCAGACTGCTGGTCACACAGCAATGCAGAAAATTAAAAGGCAAAGACAAAGATTTAAGACGAACATTAATAATTTGGAGATGAATGGACTTATTTACATTTATAATCACTCAGCTGGTTTCCTGTTTAATCTGCAACAACTTGCAAAGCTTAAGTCGGCTTCTCATTCTTCTGCTTCTCGTTCGAATTGTCCAGTTCCACCTTAAATACCACAGCAGTACAATCTGGCGCCTCAGGCACCATTTAAGGTGGAACGGGACAATTCGAACGAGAAGCTGGAGAATGCGACTTCAGCCTTGTAAAAAGTCAAACATTGAGAGACATTTTACAAGAAACTCATGGAGAAGTTTCCCGAGATGTGAGAAAAGAGGCTACAGCTGAGCTAAAGGTTAAAGCAGAGCAAAGTAATTCTGGGTTTTTGTTACTAGTAGCACATCAACACACACTGAGACACACTTACAGCCAAGATGGTAAAACGGATATAAAATGTTGTGGCTCCCAAGGTTGTTTCATTTTTGTTGAAAGAACAAAATGCCTCTGACCATTTCGGTTGCGACTTCTGAGTTAAGCCTACTAGTAAGGGGAGATCCGTGTGTGGGGCGAGTGCATGCACGTTTGCTTGAACTGTCCGCGGCTCAGTCAGGATTGCACAATCGCCACCAGCCCAGTTAATGACCATGTTCTATGGTTCACATTTTGCGCGGATTGCCTGTAGCGAAATTGTAATGAAAATTATCGCTATAGCTACACAAAAATTTGTATGCACTACAGCTATTAGCTACATTTCATAAAACTGTAGCAGCTACAGCTGTTAGCTACAAAAAATTGTAGTTTACTACAAAATGTAGCATGCTACTTAGCTACTCACCCATCCCTGCAACAAAGCTACAAAAATGTGCTAACTAACGCACAGCAGCTGTGTGGATTATGGCATATGCTGGCTGTTAGCAATTTTGCAGCCAGTGTAGTACATTCACAGTGCCAATAATCACCCAAAGAACCCTGTTATGAGTACTGTATTATTCTGAATGCTGACTAATCCAGCAGTGGATGTATTCAGGATGTACTATGAGGTCTGATGCCTATCACTTTTTAATCAATACTGGCTTAATTAATAATGCATGTCTAAATGCACCTCTGCCCTGCAGCATAGTGCTATGTTGTATTTCAGTATCGTAGATAACCTTTTTTGAAACAGTTTTTGTTTTTTGAAGCAGGCTGTGTCTGTCAACAGCTGGTTTGAAACATAGGTCAGATCCCATTCGGCACCTGTTCTCATTCTCTCGTCTTTACAAAAGGCTGCCAATAAAGTGGCCTCTGAGTTTGCATGTGAATCGAGTTTATGAGTCAGACAAACTGAAACTATTTTAGTTGTTCTTGCCGCAGTGCACGCATCTTACAGCCTGCTTGTGTAACTCAAGTTTATATAATTGAAGTAATGGCTGAATGATATTAGGAAAAAGTGACATTGCAGTATTTTAGATATTTGCAAAAATATTGTGATATTTGATAGAGCAAATAATCTCTCTAGCAATGGTAAGGCTCAGTTTAGAGAGCTACTTAAGGCAGTAGTTCAGTACTCTGGTTTGCTTAACAGCTGTTTTCAATGAATACTCACTTGTGCTTCACAATATGTACAAAATAACACATTTTGATTATTTTATTGTTAGATGTTGCAGTTGCAACATGCCTTGCAATATATTAAAACACATTAGTGAACCTCTGATATGCCTATCCCATTTTTTAAACCCCATTAAATTGTGTTTACTGGATCATGTGAATGTCTTGATTTATCAAAATACTTACAGAAAAACACCTGAAACATTTGAAGTTGGTCAGAATACCCATGGCACACAATAAAGAAAAACTTTTGTAATTTGTTAGGGGGCTCATTTGCATACTGCAGCCTACTACAATTTCAGTATTTAAAAAGGCCTGTATCGCAATAATGATTGATAAACAATATATTGTGCAGTTGGAAAGTATATATTGTGCAGTTGGAAAGTTCAAGAAACCACACATACACATATTTTGTAGTTGGGAGTCATGTTTATATATATATATATATATATATATATATATATATTAATTATATGACAAAAAATAAAAATTGTCAATAAAATGGGTATCCCATGCTCTATTTCATGTTAGTAGGTTATCAGAGCACATTTAGAACTTTCATGTGCCCATGTTTATTTAGAATAATAATACTCAGAAAAATATTAAATATTATTTTTTTTCCTGTTGGGAATACAATATTCAAATGTAAACATTTGGTAGCACAAATGGTTAAAATGCCCATACCTAGTGATATAACTTGTGCTGGCTTTTAAAAAACAAGGCTACTCTCTGTATGTGGCCTCTTGAGAGTGCTGTTTGCTGGCATTGCTCTCTTTCGTTTTCCTTCTCGTGCACTAATTCCCATCTCTCATGCTTGATCAACACCACTGATTCAAAATGCTCAGTTGGCCAAAACAGCACTGACAGCTAGAGCTGATCATTCAGGACACACTACATAAATCACAGGCGATGGTCAGCCGCTTGACCGTCAGATGGCTTGGTTTGTCATGGCCCTAAAAAATACTATACTTCATCAGCTTCCGCCGCATTGCTTAGCATTTTTACCAGACCTGCAGAATAACCTTTGAAGGTGCCTGCTCACCTGTCAGCACAGGGACTAATGTGCTAACATTTAAAGTGCAGAGAGAAATCAAGCATCCCTCATTTTCAGTAGCTTTTTCTTGAGTGATCTTTGTCACTCTACATTTACGGCCCCACTGCATCTATTCTTAACTATTAGTTCATTATCCACGATATATCCGTCTATGTGAGGTATTCTGAAATGCCCCCACCTTTCCCATAATACTGACTCGTCATGCTCTGATTGGGCTGCTCAGGTCTCTCTATACACCCAGGACTTTCCCTGTGCCTTTGTATTGTTGTCCTTGACTCACTGGTTGGAAATTGATTTCAGGAGCTTTAATTCAGTTGCCTTGGAAGAGTAAGGCCATTACTTCTAAGTATAGCTGTATCATCTTGGACGACCCTCACTTCCTCCTATTCAATACTTCGCATTCTTCATCAGCAAACGCGATGTTGAAGTTTATGAGCCTGACGATTATGTGCATGATGCTAAACTAGGTGCTGTGAAGACTATATGCAATCACTGGTGCTAAATAAACACCTACAGTGTGCTTTGGAGGCTGATGTAACTCCCCATTGTTCACTGGGTCTTTATACTGTATGTCTGAGAAAACAAAATTTTGTGGTGGCTTCAATGAGACTTACAGAATATTACATTTCTTCAGCATCACCTGTGTGAAAATTGTTTCCATGAGATTTTTGCTTGTAATCTTTTTATGGAAATTATACATCTTGAGGGTGGCACTCTGTTCCCTGGGCATACTGGCTCGCTGTGGCAGCCTACACAGTAGGTGTGTCCATGTCCCATGGCCTAATTGTGGCTGTTGACAGAGTCTTGGCCTTGGTCTACATGACTGTTGAAAGAGATTGTCGACAGACGCCACTTCCCACATCATATCCTGTTTGCATTCACAATAGAGCCATGGAACTTGACCATTCACAGGTACAGGAAGGAGCCCAAGCAGGAAGTGACATCATCAGGATGGAGGCTCATGTCTATACAGCAGTGGCTCCAATGAATCACTGCAAAGGAAAATAGAGAAAATACTTTGCCTAAAAATGCTTTAAAAGGTTTTCTCAAAAATCATGATCTCTCTCTCTCTCTGTCTCTCTCGCTCTCTTTTTCTCCCCAGTGTGTTTGGCATTTCCTCTATAGTTCAGACAGACTGTGTGTCCACTTGGAGGTTCAATGTGAATTCCAGCCTGAAGTGGTACCATTTTGTCAATCCCATCATGCTCCTGGTACTGTACTACACACTGGCCACGTTGATCCGTCTCTGGCTGCAGGACCCCATGATCACGGTTAAGACTAATGTTACTTTTCTTTCCTATTATCCTGTAAATTAGATATTGTCCATATACAGCATTCATAAGGAGTCGCCATTACAGATATGTTGATATAATAGGGGCAAGCCAAAACCTGCTGCTGGATATCTATTAGCCTGAACAGTCTTAATGTAGTTTCTAGCATGTGAATAAGACAAGTGTGCTGAAACTGCAGGGTGGTAGATCTCTAGGACCAGAGTTGAGTGCCATTAGAGTAACACAACAAAGTATTTTCATAACAAGTAGGGTTGTAGCAACAAATCAATTACATAAATATCTCTGATACTAAAAAAGAACAGTTTTCTTAAAGAATATTTGGTCTCACAACACCTACTTTTTTCCATCTAACATTAAATCACTCAACTAAAATACAGGCATTGGAAGCTGTGCAGGTGTGTGAAAAATATGGCATGTATTCACTTTAACATCACCTAAAAAGACGGTTTCATGTAAACTGTGTGAAACTGAGCTGACCTTATGCCTGAGAATCTTTGAGAAAATGCACTGCATCTGGCTCAGCATGGTTAGTAACTGAGATACTACAACTGCAGTCGTCATCTGCTTTTAGCTAGCTCTGTTTTTATTTCGTAAGTAGATAAATGAACAACATACTGATGGGATGAATTGTACTTTGGAGTTGTTCACCCAAACACATAAGTTGTTCATAGTAAAATTATGCTACTCCGTTGCCAAGGTTACATCTTGAGATTTTGGAAAATTATTTGTTGAGAATGCTTCAGGACTGTGTGCTTCACATGGTTCACAACAAAGCTGTTTCTGTATGGACTGTGTTGTGTAAAATGTTAAATATATATAGCTAATTATTAACAACTAACAAACACACAATTTCTTTTCACCATTAACTAATTAATTGACATCATAAGGGACTGATTAATCGATTACTGAAATAATCATTAGCTGTAGCCCTAACGACCAGTGTTTGGAATTAATTTTCCTTATTGTGGATGGTCTGCATGGTTGAAGAGTGTAGGGTGGCATTATTAACTGGAAGCAGGTGGCATTATTAGCTTTCACATGCAGTGTAGAAGACACAGTAATATGATTTGTCTGTGTTAGTGACTAAGTAGCAGGCATGCTATGAGATCACTAGAATGTCTAATCAGTACACTCAAATTTATTGTCTTAATTACCAAGACTTTAGCATGGATTTAGTTAGGTAGTGCAGCAAATTGTAACACTTTCAGATTACAAACTTTGAGCCATTGTAAAGATATGTAAAATTAGCATAGCATAGCATTCTGCCCCATAAATGCCAAAATCCAAAATCAATTGTTTAGTGTCCAACAACAAGTATTCCCTACTATCCCCTCTATGGCTACACAGCCCTGCAGTACATAGTTTATAGAGTGGTCAATAGTCCGTGTCCTTTAAAAACCGGCATGTATGAGAACTTATTGATCTGTGGGCTGAGTGTTTCTCTGTTTACAGTTTGGAAAGCTAGCAGTGATCATATCTTATTACACTCTAAATCTGTAGGTGACAATACAGGGAAGCCATTCCGGAAAGCAGTCAATATTAATGTTGATATCTATATAATTATGAAACGCTGTTTTCATCCAGCAAGATAGACTTTATTTAACATTTTGTGAGTCATATTATTTTTAATCATTGTAATTATTTTATTTTTAAGACCTAAAGTATTGTCATTGTCATAAGAAAACTCAGAAACCTCATTTTTTATTTCTTTAAAGTATTTGAAAACTTCAGCTGCTCTTTTCTCTTTTCACTGTGTCATCATTTTAAAGTGTTGTTTCTTTTCTTTTTTTAAAGTTACATTAACAGATATGTTGAGTTAGGAACATTTGTTTCTTGTGTAAAGTTACCTTTTTGGAGATAAGAGATGTTTTTTACAACACTGGCGAAATAAAATTTGAATTCATTAGGCATAATTTTAAAACTTTTTTTTTATTTTATTACTCCCTTACTTATAGGAGAATGAGGAAGAGGAAATGAATGAAAACAGTGATGCACAAACAGCAAACAGGAGGAGGCACTTGTGGTGGATGGCACATCAGAGGACTGAGGAGAAAAACGTAAGTAACGTGCGCTCACTGCAAGTGGATTAATAGTAAAGAAGACCAGTCATGCTATCAAAGAATACGTTTTAGCCTTCTATACAAACATTCAGGACAAATATTGCTGTTTAACAAACAAAATTTAACAAACACCTCCACTCTGAGTTAATGAGCAACGGCAACTTTTGCTGTTGAAGGTTGTATAGGAAGCTAAGGCATTCTTCATCACACACTGCTGAGAGACTGTGAATTTAGTTAAAAGTGGTTGGTTTCCATTAATAACAGAGGCTGAGATGAAACACACAATCTACTGAAAACATTCCGTTGTGTTCAAAACTCTTCAAGAAGGATTTAAAGTTTGGACAATATCAGATCTTGACTGGAGCTTATTCTTTCTGTGGACACTAATAAACTGGAGCTTAGGTATGCTTTAGCTGCTATATGCTGAGGTAAAAAAACACTGTGTGTTTTCTTCTCCAGTGTCTGTTCCATCTCTTTCAGGGTGAACTACAGTTTAAAATTGCATGGTTTTATGGTGGCTTCAGAACCAAATGTTTCATCTTTCGCTTCTACTAACTCGTGGTGCCACTAGCGTCAGCCATATATAAAAATATATAATCTACTCCAACCTTTGCTATGCAACCTTTGCTAGACCCTGCACTTCAACAGCAACAGCAGACCTTTGGGCTAAGTCCTCTTTCCATTTGATATCAGACCAAAGATATCATTGGCCTGGTTTGTCCTCACTTTTCTCTCTGAAATGGCTTTGGTGGTATATAATGTGTTTTTTAAAGCACTGGCATGACGCAGTACATTCTGACTTACAAAAACAGCTAGCATGATGGTTGCTCTTTAAATGGTGGCCATTTGAATAATTTCATTAACATTAATAATTTCAAGTTTTTTGAAGTGGCTAGTAGCCCAAAAGAGAATATCAAAACACATAAACTGGACAGTAAAAGTGTCTTAGTAGCTCTTGATAGGTATTAGGAGTCGTAGCCTTTGGCCATGTGCCAGTAGATGGCAGCCATATTATTCTAACTGCAGGGTTACAGCTGTCCTCAGCAGGACTGAAAGCTTTTGGCTCAGGGAGGAGCAAGCAAGTGAGTGATGGTCTCTAATCTCTATAGGCTGCTCCTCTTTGTTCCAGCTTTGCATTGATGTTAGAGAACAGAGTAATGCCATCGACCCTCTTCTGCTGGTCAATACCTTCACCTCACTCTTTTCTTCTCTCTCCATCTCCCTCTATGTCTGTTTCTCTCTCTAGCTACTGTCCACTCAGGATGGTTACAGCACCTCTGAGGTTAGAGCACATTTGTGGTTTTCCCAAGTGTTATGAAAGCTTCTGTTCATATCGACAAATTTAAGCCCAGAGATGTACACCACAATTGATCCAGTCCTTATATAATTTTGTTGTCCATAGTGCTCTTGTTGTGGCATGATTTTTAGTGGTGTCACATTAAGATGGGTGTACACTACAGACTTTTAACCCCGATTTTAAGCCCGTTTTACTTGTTCTAACAAATTGCCAATGATACTGGCATTTCGCAAACACTCATTTATCCGCAGTTTGAATTTCTGCTACGCTTCTTGTGTTTGCATAAAGCATAAACAACTCTGTTCCAGTTTGTATTTTGTTTGTATCGTGTGATAACAGTGAGACTTGGGATTTTGAGCACTTTTTGTACAACACCAAATCACAAAAAGTTGGGATGGTATAGAAAAGCCAATTTCCTTTTAAGATGACATCTTTTTCAGGGACGCCCTGGAAATTTCAACAAGACAGTGCAAAACCACTTTCTGCACACATTACAGAGGCATGGCTGCAGAAGAAGAGGGTGCGGGTGCTGGACTGGCCTGCCTGCAGTCCTGACTTGTCCCCAATAGAGAATGTGTGGCACATTTTAAAACGCAAAATGTGACAACGAAGACCCTATACTGTTGACCCTAAACTTGTTCGCTGGAAGAATGGGACAGAATTACACCTCACTGGGTGTCTTCAGTCCTAAATGTCTTTTAAGTGTTGTAAAATGAAATGGCAACATTACAAAGAGGTAAAGGCTTTACTGTCGCAACTTTTTTTGAAGTATGTTGCAAGAATCAAAATTGAATCAAGTGTTTATTTAAAAAATAAAATAAAGTCATGAGGTAAAACATCAAATAATGTACTGTTACATTGTTTTCAGTGCAGGTCAAAAATAATTTACAAATAACTGTTTTCAGGTTTAAATTTAATTTAAAGTACTATCCCAACTCTTTCTGATTTGGGACTGTACTTGTGTTGTATGTAATACCATCTGTTTGCCTAATAATCTAAAGTGCACTCTCTCACAATAAAAACGAGAAATTCTGTAAAAGACTGACATTAAGTTTAACGTAAGTCGTGTAGTGTACACCTGGCTTGTTGGAGGCATTTGATATATTTGTTTAAAGTTTTGCCTTTACTAGAAATTTATAATATTAAAAATTCAGTGTTTTAGACACCTATAATTGGCTTTATTAAATATTGAGGTGCCTTTTTTCATGATGTGTGGGCAAATAGTGCTGGATCTTTGAATCTTGTTATCTTTTTAGTTATCTGGTGTGAATATGCACTTATCATATAGCTTAATATTGGGATAAACAGATTAAATAGATTTGTTTTGTTTATTTATTTATTTTGGATCCCCATGAAAGGTAAAAGTGTAAAGCATAAAATATATTTTCTACCTAATTACCTCACAGGCAGCAATAGTGAACTCCAATGGGACATCTTTTGGCTATGTCTCCACCCAGAATTCAGAGAATGGACCAGTCAGCTTAGACCTCTACTCCACTCCTAAGTATAAAGTGGACCAAACCAACATTGTCGATGGTGAGATTAATATCATAATCTCATATTCTTCATATTTATTTTCAGCAACACATTTTTTGACACATAGAGATGCACATTTTGCTATTTATAGATGTTGCATTATGATTAGTGTATTAAAACATATACACATAAACAGACTGATAAAATGTTATAATTATTAGAAGAAGTGCATGAAGCCAGCAATTAACTGCTAACTGTTGGTTGAACTATCCCTCTAATAACAGTCTGTGACTATGTATAATGGTGGGCTTGTACCATTTAACACAGACCAGAAGGATGGAGAGATATATGAAGTAGTGGAGGTGCCACAGGAAGAGGAAGAGGAGAAGACGGAAGACAGTGAGCAGGCCAGCAGCCCTGGAGCTTTTGTCAAAGTCTTCAGGTTCATCATGAAGCAGAGCTATGTCTGTGCTCTCATTGCCATGATGGTAAGTGTCAAAAGTCTTAATGTTCAATGAGAAAAGTCAAGTCTAGGTTGCATGTAAATGTTTTCTCTTTGTTGTTGCTGTTGTTGTTTCCCTTTTTTGCTGGGCAGTTGTTGGCTGGAGGTTAGGGAACCAGCCTTGCGACCGGAAGGTTGCCAGTTCGATCCCCTGAGCTGACAGGACATGACTGAAGTGCCCTTGAGCAAGGTCCCCAACTGCTCTCTGGGTGCTGTGCATAGGGCTGCCCACTGTTCTGGGCAAGTGTGCTCACTGCCCCCTAGTGTGTGTGCATTCACTAGTGTGAATGTGGAGTATGTGTTTCACTGCACAAATGGGTTAAAAAGGGGGAGGTTAATTTCCCTGTTGTGGGACTAAGAAAGGGTAACCTAACTTTAAAGGTAAAGTTAGGACATGCCTTCCTCAGAGATGCGTAACACCAGCCATTGTAACTTTTCAAACTGCCAGCAGAGAGCAACTCAGAAATCCTGCCTATGACCTTTTAAAATAATAATTCAGCGAAGAATCCAGTTGATACAATTTTTTCACTTGCACCAAATGAGTCCATCAGCCAGTCACACATGTGCCTCAGACTGCATCAAGTTGTTAAATAATGTCCAGAAGATTTGTTTATGTGGTTTTTGACACCCACCTGACAAACTGCTATCCATAAAAATAGACAAAGACAAAGTTCAGGCTTGGTAAGATTGCTGCTTCTGCTGTTTTTAGGTAAGCAACATACCTTTGTCCATTTTTAGAGAACATGTCAGTATGTTATGTAGTGTTAGAAAACACATAAGCAAGTTTGAGTTCATGTGTTTTGCTACTTGTATTGAGACAAATGTGTGATAATTTAGGCATGCAGTTTGCACAATGTTGATTGGTGTTCATAGGCTTCCATTACTTACTAATTACATTAGTTTTGTAGTTCCAGTGCCTAAAGAGGCAAACTACATGAGAAACAAGCAGAAAATTGTGCAAATTTGATTTTTTGCCAGACTGTTCTTTTCTCTCTCTCCTTCTTTCTTAGGCTTGGAGCATTACATACGTGAGCTGGTTGACGTTTGTGTTTCTGTTGTGGTCCTGCGCCTTATGGATGGTGCGAGATAGGAGGAAGTATGCCATGCTGAGCTCACCCTTCATGGTGGCCTATGGTAACCTGTTGCTGGTGCTGCAGTATATTTGGAGCTTTGAACACCTAAACCAGGTCCCCGGCCTTTTCCCCAAAACGGAGGTGCCCTTCACTGCTCTCGGTTCTAAGGTAAAAATAGAAAGACTCATTCCAACCCAAATGAAAGAAAAGTCAGCCTTTTTTTTTCAAAACTTGACCAGCATAAGGTGAAGTTTGCTTTTAAACACTTTTGCTTAGTAATGGGCACAAACACAGCAGTTAATGAAGAGGTACATTGCAGGATATCCCAAGAAGCACACCATTGCAGTGTTAGTTATAACTGGTTGATTTTATGTGCAAGATTAAATAATGTATGCTTGAGTATGCTCTATATAATTTTGTTGTCCATTAAAGATGGTGTCTATTTCCTTCCTTCTTTTTTGGGAAGTAGAAATGGCAATATCCAGTGATTTTTAACGTATTCTTTTACTTACCTGCTTTGAGAAATGACTCTGTCTGTGTCTGTGTGTGTACTTGGTAAACCCTCTGTAGGTGCTGTGTCTGCTGAGTTTCTGGTTGCTGTTGCATCAGACCCTGACTGAACGGCAGGACAGGCTGAAAGAGGAAGAAGCTCTTTCTGAAGTTACAGTTGACTCTGAGAAGAAGGGTGAGATGGACTCCATACATGACCAAAGGCTGCTGGCTGGTCATGTATATAAAATGTGCATGAGGCTTCCTTTCTTGTTGGGTGCACTGCTTCTGAGTTCATTCAGAGTGCAGTTCAAATCCCAATGCGCTTATTGTCTTGTTTAATCAGAGTAATGATAAAGCGTGACTCCTGAGTGACTTTGACTCCTATTCATGTGTTTTCTTATTTTCTCATTATAAATTGTAGTTTGTTAGATTACATTCTTTACATAACAAATAAATGCGACAATAGCATTCAGAAGTTGCATTAATAAGACATATACCCTCTTTCTATGAAAATTTTACATGTTGATATTGATATTTGCAGGCTGCTTTGTACTATGCTGCCCAGTGCGTTAGATGACCAAACGCAGCAAAACATTGTGTTTTTGTCCAACCGAGGACGTAGAGTGAGATTCTTTGTACAGCTACAAGAATAAACAGAATGTCTGTGTGACAAATGACAGATTTCACATTGTAGCCTACATCATCTCAGGCATATAAACCGTCCCTAATGCAAAACTCCATCTCTATTCCGAATTAAAGTTCTACTTTTTTGATAAAAGCATGTTATGTTAAGGCTGGAGAAATACTAGGCTTACCTTAAATAAACACTAATGTCAGTTGTTTGACAGACAGTCAGAATGTCCAAAATGACGAACATTTTAGAGCTCCTCCCTACCGCATACATTTGCTGAAAAAGCATGAAAGGTATAAAAATCAGTTCTCAAAAATAGTTGTAGTAAAAAAATGTTTCCAGCATGTCTAATGTAGTGGAAAAAAATATGCTCATCTAAAGAATATGGTTACTTAATTTTATATTTATTTACTAAACTATTGAAAATATTATTTGAAACATTTTAACATATTTGAAGTCTATCATTATGATACAGTAATTAAATAATTATGGTATTTATTGCATACATATATACATCAATGTATGTGTTATACACCAATGTATAGTTTTATATAAATACTATATGCAGTGTCCTTAAAATGCATTGTCATATAAAATGACGAATGAGAAGAAATGTTTTGTGTTGCAGAGGTGGAGAAGCCAGAGGAAGAGGATGGCAGGGAGAATGACCTGATGCAGGTTGTGGGAAAACTTGTGATGGCCATGCTGGTGAAGTACTGGATCTACATCTGTGGCGGCATGTTCTTCTTCGTCAGCTTCGAGGGACGCATTGTAATGTACAAGATCATCTACATGATGCTGTTGCTCTTCTGTGTAGCCCTCTATCAGGTACTGCTTAAAAGTTCAAGATTGCACTTGCATTTGTAATTTGATTGCTCATGTAATGGAGGTCTGTAATGTTCAAAACTCTAGACTGGTTCCTACTGCTCACCATCACGTGCTTTAGATATGAAGTTGGCCTTCTCTTCCCCAGGTACATTATGAGTGGTGGCGCAGGATCCTGAAGTACTTCTGGATGTCGGTGGTGGTGTACACCATGCTGGTAGTCATCCTTATCTACACCTGCCAGTTTGAGGCCTCTATACCCATCTGGTCCAACATTACAGGCATAAGTGTAGCTAAGTGAGTACAGCAGCTTGGTATATAAACTTGCCTGGATCAAAGTAATCCAATGCAATTTTAAGGGGCTAAAAATTCTGATAACTAATCATGTTCATATTACGTTGTAATTCCACTAATCACAATATAATTTCATATGGTCAGTATATATTATTTTGTGGGTAATGTTGGTATAAGGACACACTAACATGTAATACAACACTATTCACATTTACTCATCCACTTACATAGTAAGTCTTCCTCTCTTCATTTCTGTGTTCTGTCTCTCATCCTTTGCCTAACCACATGCACCCAATTGAGCCCAGTACTGGGACCAAAAAGACAAGGAAAGCTGCTCATTTAAATCTACCGCCAGACAGTAGTTCTGTCACTATATAAAAGGCTTGAGGCTTCCTTTCTTGTTGGGTGCACTGCGTCTGAGTTCATTCAGAGTGCAGTTCAAATCCCAATGCGCTTATTGTCTTGTTTAATCAGAGTAATGATAAAGCGTGACTCCTGAGTGACTTTGACTCCTATTCATGTGTTTTCTTATTTTCTCATTATAAATTGTAGTTTGTTAGATTACATTCTTTACATAACAAATAAATGCGACAATAGCATTCAGAAGTTGCATTAATAAGACATATGCCCACTTTCTATGAAAATTTTACATGTTGATATTGATATTGATGTTTGCAGTTGCAGTTATTCCCTGAGGCTAATTGTTGGTGCCATTAGGCAAATGGTGATTGTTTTAGCAAGAGAAAGCCTGAGGCCCCAGCCCCTGCAGTGTAACAGCAAATCATCTTGTGAATATTTAATGCTGCATCCATACAATCCTCGCAGAGGACTGTAGAAAAGTCGAAAAGTTGTACGATAACGCCACAAAAAATGTGGTTGCTACTGCTGTACTTTAAATTAAAAGGTACTAAACACAGGGAAAGGATAATAAATGTTATCTTCTTCCTCCTCTTTCTCTCCTGCAGACTGAATGATCTGGGCTTGGAGAGGTTCTCCTTAGGTGATCTGTTTACCCGGATCTTCATCCCCACTTCTTTCCTTTTAGTGTGCATTCTTCACCTGCATTACTTCCATGAGCACTTCCTCGAGCTCACCGACCTCAAAGCTGTGGCTGCCAAACATGACAGTGCCATCTATAGGTAAGGAGCTTCTTCACAACAGATTTGTTTGTTGTTGTTAAGTATACTGGTCTCAGTAGAACTTCACAGTCAGGAGGCCTACAACTGTACACAGTTAAAAACTGAAGTTTTTAGACCTCCAGTTTTAAAGAAATCCTTAATAAATACATTTTCACTTCCTTGGTCAAACATTAAACAGACTGCAGTAGTTCTAGTTCAACAGTGACTGTCAGTTGTCAACTGTGAATTGTCAAGTATGACTGTTAGCTTTTAATTTTCTAAACCCATATAAACTGCGGTCACTCATAGTCATAATATAAATAATGTATAATGTGTGAATATCAGCTCATATTTGTCCTAGTTTTCATCAGTTCTCTTCGTATAAAAGCATTTTGTGTTCTACCTTTGTCGTTACCAAAAAAAAAAAAATCATATATATATAAATCCTGCATTAATATTGACTGTTATTATTGGCTAACTGTTATATCAGTTAGACTATTCTGTAGCATGAGGTCATTATTCTGTCTAATTAGGGTTTTTATACTTACTTAGAAGAAGAGTTTCTTATCCAACCAGTGACCTTTTCTCATGTACATCCTGGACCCATCTTAACTAATCCTCTGCTCTCATCTCTCCTTGCCATCTTTCATGGCACTGGTTCCACAGCCATGCCAAAGTCAGTGCTCGTATCTGTCTGATTATGGATAGGTGGGTGACTGCTCTTGTCTTACAGCACCCATGGGCCCTCCACACTGCGAATGTGTGAATTTCCCTCCCTCTCTTTTCCGTTAAACCTCTTTCTTCCCCACTTTCACCTGCTCGTAACACAGTTTGTATAACTATTCAAAAATGTTTGCTCCTGTTTCTCTAATGAATAAGAGTTTGTGAATGATTTGTTTGTTGGTAATGAATGTAGCAGTTAAGTAATGTTTTGAACTATTTGTTTATGAATGATGTATCAGTTCCTGTTTTTTCAGTCCCTGGCACAGTAAAGAGACCTTTGATCCTGACCCACAGAGACCTCTATCTATATAGCCTTTTCCTTCTGATCCTCCCACTGCATTTAAAATCCTTTCCTTTCCTCAGCATGTTAAGAATGTACACATTCATTTCCCTGGTCCCAATCCCTTTTTCCCCACTGATATTCTCTGATAATGTCTTATTGTTCTACAGAATTATTCTCCTGTCTTGGAGTAACCTTGTGGTTTCATATTTGAATTAAGACTGTCACTATCGATTATATTAGTAAATGATCTGTCTTCAGATGATTGATTAAAAATTAACTTAATAATCTTGACTTTTTGAACAGTAACACACTATGCATAGCATACATAAGAAAAAATAAACTAAGAGACTAACAGTCAGTAGAAGTATTTAAAATATGCATCATCATCAAGCCCTTTCAACTAATCATTGCTGATTCATCAAGGTGCATTTTAATTGGTGAATTTTGTAATTGAGTTTTTTAGTTTCATTGATTCATTGTGACAGCCCTAATTTGAATCCTGATCTTTTTCTCTGCTGTTGTTCTGATTTTACATGTTTACATGTTTCTACTATAAACTATTGCCTTTTTAACAGCATCAAGCAAAAAATCCCCCCTCCTCAGAGCAAGTAAGTGAGTTTGAGGCAGTGCAGAAAAAGCTTACACTGCCATGCAGCCATGCCATGCAAGCATTCAACCGCCTGACCCTCCATCACTTGAGGAGACAGCACTTATGGCACTGTTGCCCTTTTTTGCTCTACTTTAGCTCTTCATTGATATTTTGAGCATCATTGACCATGCCCTTAATTCTGACTGAGATTGCTGCAGTTTTTTTACTTTCTACCCAGTACATTTGACCTATGACTGACTACCTGTGGCAAAGAAATGAGCATTTGTTTGTTTTGAAATGCTTTTAACCACAAATATCTCCCCGCTGTGCTGTGAAGACTCTGGACTCACAGCATTTGTGACCCAAACCCTGCTTGTACAACACAACCCAAATCCAGATATTTGCTATTTATAAAGGCACTAACCTATAAATCCATCTTTTTTTATTCAATTTTTTTTTTTTTCAAAATCAGATTATGGAATTATTGTCAACACTAAATAAATAAATGATCTGTGATTTTTAACAAAAGACAACATGAACAGTTAGTGCTCTTATAAATGGACAACTATGTCATCTGCCCCTTCTTTAATAATAATAAAAAAAACTTTGATGTACAGACTTGCCCATCCGGATGGGAGCTTGGCAGACCTCACCATGATGAGCTCCTCCCCTGAGCCCTTACTGAAAGAGGAGAGAGAGAAAGAGGTGCTGGTGGTGGAGGCCATAGTGGAGGAGAAAAAGAAGGAGGGGTCGGTTCACCTATCCAGCCATGAAGGGAGTCAACAGTGCAGCATGGCTACAGATCCGGAAATCCCATCAGAACAAAGCTCAGGTATTCTCCCACTGTTCTAACTGTGCTGACTGGCAGAGAGGTGTATGTCACAGGACTAGGCCTAGGACTTTAACAGCAATTCATACATTTCTTGGAATGTCACATCACCATATTCACCTATAACCTAGTGACATGCAAAAACAAAACAAATAAATGTTGCAGCCACCAGCTATGTCAGTGAAATTAACATAGATTTTATGCAAGCTTTGCTGTCCGTCAGTACAGCATCAGTGAAGGCTAATCTGTGAACTGAATGGTACTGTTAAGCAACAATACCTGCATACAGATTTGTCTTTGTGGAATGTGTCATGTTATAGCAGTAGGGAACCCTCAGGACCTTCTGATGATGTCTGATTTCTGTGAAATAATCATTTAATAATTTATTTTATTTTGTTGTATTTAAATTCTGCAAGTGTTGTAGTAATACTCTTATTTCATTTTTAAGTTTTGGTTGGAAGGGGTTAAATTCTTGAAGCATCTAGTTGTATTGCTGCCAAGTGATCTTTTTCAGTTAGGATTTCAGGAGCTGGTCAAAAGGCCTAATTAACATAATTGGAAACTGACAGAGGAATCAGCCAATTGATTTCTAATGGGTGGGACCGAGGCCCCTTAGTTCCAGTGAGGGGTAATATTAATGCTACAGCATACAAAGACTAATAGTCATGGCCAGGTATCGCAGGTATTAGTGCATAGTGTCTATTTTGCTTTCATTAAAAGCTCTGTTCATTCAGTTCTATAGTGTATGTTATCAATCATACAACGCAAGGACAATGTTTGTTATGCTGACCACAGGAGGCGGTTAGGAAAGTAATAAACAATTCAGTGAGAAGAGCACTGCAGGCTGTTCTAGGTAGTTTATACGCACTTTACAAGTTTTATGAGTCATTTTATCACTGTGCACTGCCACAGCTTGTACTAAAGCTCCCAGAATTGATTCTAGGTTGGCACAGTTCCTTTTATAGTAAACAAACCTGAGGATCATTCAGCAGGATTTTTAATTTTAAAGGTTTTCTTTTTAAGAGTGCTCCATACAGTTATGTGTGAAACTGATTACAGTCACCAGCTATGCTGATGGTAATCACTTGGCAATAACCCTAAGCTCGTTGCTTGTGTTTAGATCTGAAGAGCAAGTGGCACTTGGTGGTGGATCGTCTGACTGTGCTGTTTTTGAAGTTCCTGGAGTACTTCCACAAACTGCAGCTTTTCATATGGTGGCTGCTGGAGATCCACATCATCAAGATTGTGTCTTCCTACATCATTCTGGTGTCTGTTACAGAGGTAATGGCTAGCTGATTCATTCTGTCGTATTAATAACAAATAAGACATTCAGGTTGAATGTATTTATTTACTGTTGTATGTATAATGTCCTATATTGACACAGCAACTTGACTAAATTTAATAAATTAAAAGGAAAAATAAGATCGCTTTCTGCTGTCACATTTATCTACTTATCGTTTATTGTGTAGTACTAGTTGATTTGTATGGAACACTCATGTTGTTCAAACCAAATGAAATATAAAAATTAAACTTTAACTGATGCTTGCGTGTAGGGTAATATGTGGTACGTTGATTTGAGAACGTTCAAATCAGTAATCAATTTTTATACCATTTCAGTTCTAGGACTATTTTGACGTTTGGTGTATTTTTATTGCCTGTATTCCAGTACTGTATGAAAATTTCCTCCAGTCGCATTTCTATATTCTTGGATTACTTGTCTTTTTGATGTCATATAATTAAATAAATACCAGAGGAAAGCAATTTTAGCAGGACGACCTCCTAGCACAGGATAAACAGAAAAGCATGGAAACACTGCATGTGATGTAATTTTTGTACTGTATGTGTGCTGTGTATGACCATTTGAAAATGTCAGACATTTTGGTGGTGTTAATCAGGTATTCAAGAAAAGAATGCATATTTTGGAATCTAAATGTATGTATTAGAATATTGTATATTGTGCTTTACATTCCTTTAGTCCTTTACTCCTCAAGTCCTGTTTTTGTGAAATGGATGCGTCTAGGAGCAAACTGAGTTCCAAACTGCCTCTGGAAGCAACATCAGTACAAGAAACCTGTGTCTGCTTGGGCTAGTGGCCTGCACAGAGCCCAGACTTTACCTCCATTGAACATCTTTAAGATGAATTTAAACACCGATTGCAAGCCAGGCCTTATTGTCCAACATCAGTGCCTGACATCACAAATGCCTTTTGATAGAATGGGCACAAATTCCCACAGACACACTCCATAATTGTGTGATAAGCCGTTCCAGAGGAATGGAAGCTGTTATAGTGACAAAGGGGGGCAACTCCATATTAATATCCATTGTTTACACCTTTCAGTCCTGTAATTGTAAAAGAATAAAGTTACTTTTTTGTATCCTGATTACATGACACCACTACATGTATTCCGTTACTTCCCAGCCCTGCCCCTAATTCTGTGGTGTTTGCAGGTGTCTCTGCTGAATTATGTGTTTCTGGCCTCGTGGGCCTTCGCTCTGCCCTACCGTCAGTTCCGCCCATTGGCCTCCAGTATCTGCACTGTGTGGACCTGTGTCATCATCATCTGCAAAATGTTGTACCAGCTACAGACCATACGACCAGAAACATACTCCAAAAATTGCTCAATGGTGTGTGCCTGATGTTAAGAGATTTGCAGAGGCCTGTATCATAGTTGTATTTATGTCGCTTCATGCATAGAAGGTGTTTTTGACTATGTTTAATTCAAATCACATAATTGCAGGCTAATTCTACAAGCTAAAATCCGGTCCACTATTTGAATCCATCTTCTAGATTTTGTGAATTTGTTTACTTATTTCCCATCAGCCTACAAACTACAGTGACCAGGCGATAGATTACATGAAGATGTCTCTACTGTACAGTGAGCCAGTGGACCCTGCAAACTGGGTTGGACTGAAGAAGTTTGAACATCTCTTGATAAATCTGAGGGTGAGGAAAAGGCTTATGTTCTAAAACCTGATCTTTTGGGTTAACCTTAATGATTTATGAAAATACTTGTCTTGAGATGTGTTGGCATCATTTATTTTGTGTACACTATTGGTAGAGGGCTTAAAAGTGAAGACGATTCAAATGAATCGAGGCAATCTGTTTCCATAAATCCAAACAAATGTTTATTATTCAGATATACTCTCTATCAAAACATTGCTTGGTTTTGGAATGTTTGATGTTTCTTACACAAAAGAAAACCTTACTGTATCCTCTTTTTAGTGTTGTTTACAATAGTTTTTATAGTAAAGACACTGAATGGGAAATCATTGCTGATACTGTTTTACCAATCCTTGTCTGTCCTGTCTTCCAGAATAACTTGCTAATACTGGCCATCTTGGCTTTTGAAGTGACCATCTACAGACATCAGGAGTATTTCCGGCTACACAACAAACTCTCCGCTCCCCCTTCTAGAACCATTTTTCATGATATTACTCGCCAACACCTTGACAATGGTATTGTCAACTGCATCAAATACTTCATCAACTACTCCTTCTACAAGTTTGGGGTAGAGGTATGTCAAATCGTTTGTCGCTTTATAATAAAACCTCTTATCTCCAAAATGAAAAGGAAGGAAAAATTATTTTAGCTTTAATGTACGTTCATGTAACCAGATTTTATTTTGGACCATTTCTGTTCTATTCCAAATCTTCATGCAGTGTAAAGGGCTGCTGACATTTACAAATGGTTCCTGTCTCAGGTGTGTTTCCTGCTAGCAGTGAATGTGATTGGCCAGCGGATGGACTTCTACTCCATGCTGCATGCCATAGCACTGGCAGCAGTGATGTACCGGCGCAGGAGGAAGGCCATTGCTGAGATTTGGCCCAAATATTGCTGCTTCCTGGCCTGCGTGATCACCTTCCAATATTTTGTTTGTATAGGCATCCCACCAGCAGCTTGTAAAGGTGAGCATTAGTGTGAGCCTGTGCAGTTAATTTGTGTTCTAATTTTTCAGATGAATAATGCTTTTTCTGTGTGACTTATAAGGATACAACATTGCTAGCAATAAACAGATGCTAGCATTCTGCTAAAGCAAGCAATTAAAGCAAACATTAGATTTAAAAGTACAACCCCATTTCCAAAAAAGTTGGGATGCTGTGCAAAATGTAAATGAAAACAAAATGCAATGATGTACTCATTTAAACCCCGTATTTATTTGAAAATAGTACAAAGACAACATATTAAATGTTGAAACTGAGAAATTCTATTGTTTTTTTTAAACATTTGCCCATTTTAAATTTGATGCCAGCAACATGTTTCAAAAAAGTTGGGACGGGGGCAACAAAAGACTGGTAAAGTTGTGTACTGCTGAAAAAACACCTGAAGGTTAATTGGCAACAGGTCAGTAACATCACTGGGTAGAAAAAGAGCATCCCAGAGAGGCTGCGTCTTTCAGAAGTTAAGATGGGGAGGGGTTCACCACTCTGTGAAAGACACATTTCACTTTCAAAACTACAGCAGTCGGTCTCCTCAGTTCCCAAACGCTGACAGAGTGTTGTTAAAAGAAGAGGTGATGAAACACAGTTCTACCAGAAAGACTCCAGAGACGAACGTGAAAGGAAGGAAAATAGTTTAAGCTTAATAATATTTAACAATTCCATAGATGACAATTTTTGTAAGTTAAAGTCCTTGGCGCAGGCCTCGTTATCAGCCCAGATCTTCAAACGTGTAGAGCTTTGCAGATCCTGCCGTATAGGGACGGCAGGGGGCGGAGCCTACTCCCTGGGCAACCGGGCAGGGACCAACTGGTGGCGGCGGGGAGGAAAGAGGGGAACGTTGAAACGTCAGCATCTGAAAGCAGCAAAGCAGGTGTGTAAGTTGAGTCATTTTATAGACAGGTGGAAGCTTGTGATTGGTTAGAGTAATGAGAGACATATCATTGGAGTCTCCCTGGCAGAACTTGCGCTAAAGCTTTCATTGGTAAACATGCACCTGTCCCAACTTCTTTGGAATATGTTGCTGCCATCAAATTCAAAATGGGCATGTATTTTTTTTTTAGCATTTGATATGTTGTCTTTTTACTATTTTCAAATATGGGTTTAAATGATTTGCACATCATTGCATTTTGTTTTCATTTACATTTTGCACATCCCAACTTTTTTGGAAATGAGCTTGTACATATTTAGCTTAGCTTTATTATTCGCAGCTTAAGTGCATATTTCTAGCTTAACTGAGGTTAATTCAGTTTAGATAACTGACTTGTTTGTGTTTACACAGACTATCCCTGGAGGTTTCCTAACTCAACAGCTTCTAACGTCATTAAGTGGTTCTATCTGCCTGATTTCCGCACCAAACCAAACCCCAAGTTTCTCCTCTGTGAGTCATTGCAGTCAACTATTACAGTATATTAGTTATTATGAATATTAGTTATGTGTAGTATTAGGTATATTATGTCAGTTTGTCAATGTCATTATCATTACAGACGTTTTACAGCTACTGACCCAATTTGACTGGCTTGAATGTTGACTCAAAAACAATACAATAATTTAAAATGTAGGTGACTAAAAAGTAAAAAAAATCACATTCAGTTATCTCTCCCAAACCCCCTGCCTCTACCCATATTCTCTCATTCCCTCATTCTCTCTTTCTCTCTTTCTGCTATAGATGACTTCATGTTGCTGCTGAGTGCCTCTCTGCAGCGACAGGTGTTTGATGAGGAGAACAAGGCAGCGGTGCGTTTGTTGGCAGGAGACAATGTGGAGATCTGCCGAGATCTAGACGCCGCCTCTTTTAGTGTGCACAACCCTGTGCCAGACTTCATACACTGCAGGTGCAAGCCCACACACATGCATTCAGAGTATGAGGCGTATACAGTAAAGTATTAGTTTTACAGTATTATTAGAATGCATCATATCTTATAATGCAATACATAATTATAAGAAGAGGGAAGGTAAATGAACGGAAATTCCATGAGATATGAAAGAGAAAGACAGAGAGATCTGCATTACACTAAAAATAGGCTCCCCTAACAAAAAATCGGTCATGTGCATCATTTATCTAATATTTGGTAAAACATCCAGTTGCCCCTGTGAAAGAGACAATTCTGTAAGGTAAGGAGACATTAGTAGACATTACCACATTCCAGGATGTCAACTGTACGGTGTCTGTATGTAACCAGTTCAACAGACATGATGGGCCACTGGGACAGTTTGGCTGACCGAAAAATCACCTGACCTCAATTGCAATGCTCAATTTGGAATAGCAGGTGAAATTCTGAAATAGACACAAATTCAGGCTGAAATGTGCTCCCAGTTTGTGGAAGAGAGGGCTAAAATGGACATCTCTAGACTGATGTAATCCTTACCTGGCAGGGTTGGTCCTGTTATTAAGGCAAGAAGATATTAGAAAAGAAATTATAAATGCAACAAATTTTTGCGCAGTGAGCATTCCAGTGCTTTGAGTTTGCATGATTCAAACGTACATAATTTCCACATGAACAAGATGTTACATCAACACAATTAGCTTTTTTTTTAAGAGTCTAGCTGCAGATATGCACTCTCAGTCCGATGCACTCTCAGCCCCAGTGATGTCATGTGCACATGCACTGTCTGCTACAATGGCAGAAGCGGCTCAACCACACATTAACATTTAGCTGCTTTTGCCTAGCGAGTCGAGAGGAATCTTAAAACAGTATCATCGTCATAATTTTCTTTTTCTATCTCAATAGCCACATTATTACTTAATTCATTTTTCATACATAACATAGCTATATATTTCATGAGTTTCAGCAGTAGCTGAATGAGTAGTATTTGCTTTTTCTGCTAATAGACCTGACATAACGTGTTATCATCATGGTAGGTTTTATTTTGTAAATCACCATATTATTTAATTCCTTTATTGTCAGTATGACAAAGCTAAAATCCATTCAGTGTAACTCAAGTAGCCCAACAGTATGTGGTTCGCTGTTTTTGCTCATCAAACCGAGAAAACCTTGTCGTGGCAGAGCATGCACTGACGTCATTAATAGGCTGGCAATGCATGTCAGGCTGAGAGTGCATGTCTGCAGACCTTTCTCTTTTTTTATAACTGTAATCGAATCCATATAAGAGCCTTGGAATGAGAACAGATGAAGTGGTTTATGTTTGTCAAAAGACAGTGATTAATAAAAAGAGCTCTCTGCTTTACGCAATATCAAAGTAGCTGAAAGGACAGAGTGTTTACAGTCTGGACAACCATAACAATAATTATGTCAGTACTGACATTTGAGTTAATGCAAAACACTATTTTTTCAGTGCGTGACAGCCTATCCAGGTTAACAGTGAAACTGTAAAGTGGACATTTGGAATTCACAAAAATATGTGAATATTACATCACTTTGCGGTACCCTGTTATGGTTGTTGGGACTGTAAACACTTTGGCTGCTTTGTAAATGTGTACAGCAGAGAGCTCTGTTTATTAACTGCTGTCTGTTGACAAACTTAAAACCACTCATACTTGCCCTTCATCTATTCTCATTCCAAAGCTCTTTTATGGATCCAATCACAGATAGAGCGTTACCTATAACTCACCATCACTGTCTCACTCGCTTGCAATTTTAGCCTTAACTCAATAAACAGCTTTTAAGTACAAAGAGGCTTGTTTTCTTTCTGTGAGGCAGTTGAGCTTGGTGAGAAAGAGGTATCTGTTTATCCTGAGTCATCAACAACACAAATCTCATAACAGCTCAGCTTTTCATCAGAGCCCTTGACACTGTTTTATATTATGTATCGTTGGTCCCACATTCATTATGAGTTTTCTGTTTACTGTGATTGTGCCCACACATTCATGGGTGTTCAGGGATAGCAATGGGATTCAGATTGCTAAGGACTAATTACTGATTTGTTTAATCAGAGTGACAATATAAGGGACTGGAGTATGAAGTGTGTTCCTGTTTGTTTGTTTGCCAGTTTAGGATTGTAGTTTTTGGCACTCACAAAATAAATATCTATGAATTTTTGGCTCTGTTGGATCATGTTACATGTTTACACATAAAAAAAAATGCAAACACACCATTAAGGCCAAGTTATCAATAGACATGACAAGATTAAAAGGTAGAAATGGTCACTTTTTGCCTCTGCATTTGAATATTTATTGCAGGCTGAATAGCACGATCTAATCTGCTGAGTTTCTGCACACAGCTCTCAGCAGCTGTGAGCGGTAATGTGTAGAAGGATGTAGTTCACACCCAGGTGGGTGTGGGTTAGAGTGCACTCAGCTGATAAAGATCCAGACATACTAGCTTTTAGAGGCTGGATAGCAAGCATTCACCTTCTTTATGTACGTACATGGGAAGTGCTCATGTACAAATAAGACATAAAAAGGCAGATAGTCCCTTTACAACATTATTTTTTGACCAAATTTTTCATGGTCCTTTAAATTACTTTTGTGCTTTGAATAAGCTACATTCATGCTTCTGGTCCATATGCAGTGTTGATTTTTTTAATGGAAAAAGTCAGGTTTCAACATGTCTATACAGAATGTAAATTAAATGTAATTCCAGTTACTTTTACTGGATGGTTAATGATGTAATCATTACATAATTTAAATAATTATTGTCAACTTGACAATAATATGTCTAGGCTTCTAAGGGTGGATAGTTACTTAAAGCTTATATGTTATATTGTAAATGAAAGCAGCAAAATAATTCAGTGAGTGAAAAATATTGTTTTTGTTACTCTTTGTCAGCAGTTGCTTGATATTCAGTGCACACATTTTGTAGTGGTTGTGATAATTTGGTATGGGTGTGTTTCAGGTCATATCTGGACATGTTTAAGGTGATTGTGTTCAGCTACCTGTTCTGGTTTGTCCTCACCATCATCTTCATCACGGGCACCACACGCATCAGTATCTTCTGTATGGGCTACCTGGTGGCCTGCTTCTACTTCCTGCTCTTTGGGGGAGAGCTACTCCTGAAACCAATCAAAAAGATCCTGCGCTACTGGGATTTCTTGATAGCCTACAACGTCTTTGTTATCACAATGAAGAACGTCTTTTCTGTGAGACACAAAATTGTTTACATAATGCAGTGCTGAATCTCTATAATTTTAATGTAACAAAGACTTCTTGTTAAAATTCAGACATCCATTGTGTTTATTTCCTGTTTAATATTGGACACTATTGTAAAGTTCTAACTTGATTGTCATTGTTTTGGTCAGATTCTTGCGTGTGGCTGTATCAGCCACCTGATAGCGAAATCCTGCTGGCTGATACAATTGCTGAGTCTGGCCTGCACCATCAAAGAATATGAAGACCTGCCAGGTATGAACCTCAGTGCTTAGCCTCAGTGGTCCTTATTCATCAAAGTTGTGTAGTAATGAGTTCAGATTTTACAGACCTGTTTGACGTATGAACTGCCCGAGCTGTCTGATTCGGGAAACTGGTTCTGTCATATTGTGTTTTTAGGGAGCTAATTATTTACTACACCAGTAATGTAAAGTTACATTTGTTTCTATCATTGTGCAGGTAAAGAAATTAAGTACATCCACTTTAGTAAAAGAGTTTCTGTGTACACAATTATTAGTGTTCTCATTTGTATTTCCTATTTATTGTTATTGTTAATAAAATACTGATGATATTGATTATCATTTTGATTTTGATTGTTTAACCTCTTAACAAGCCATGGACCCACCAATGGGCCCAAAGTTTTATTGCACACTTCTATACCCTAAAAATAGTTCAGTTAATTTGCACTGAAGTCCCTGTAGTTACTGAATAATAAGCCTTTGTATGTAATAAACCCACAATGTTAAGGGGTGTTGCATACTAAATGTAAAAAACTCCAAATTAATGCAGAAAATACACTTATTATTGACTGATTATACACTTATCATGATTATCCCTCATAGAAACCATGAAATGTTCCACATGGACAGTGGTTTTCTTTTGTTCTGTTGCTGCTCAAACTGTTTGAAAGCATCTTTACTGAGTGGCATATGACAACAAAGAAAACAGCATTTTTAATCACTGTTGCTTATTTTCATAAGGCATCTGGAAGACATTATTTGCCTAATGCTATTTGTACTACAATCAATATTTTCTGTTTTTTACTGAACTACAGCATAAATTTTCCAAACTATAGACATTTGATCTACTGTTTTTTTCTGTAAAATGTCACTGGTGTGTGTTTCCAGTCTCCAGTACTGACTGTGACTTGCCCCGGGATGAAGCAGGGATCATCTGGGACAGCATTTGTTTCAGCTTCCTGCTACTGCAGCGACGCGTCTTCATGAGCTACTACTTCTTGCACGTGGTAGCTGATATCCGCGCTGGACAGATACTAGCTTCTAGGTGAACTGCGTCCAAATACACACATATATAAAAGAAACATATACTTTTATATACTCTTCAGGGCCTTTCTTAAACTTGCCATTTCTCTTTTTGTAATTCTATAATGCATCATCATAATGCTGTAAAACTAGCACTATACTGTGTATATCTTATATCTCGTTCTCTCTCTCTTTTTCTCTTTTTCTATGTCTCTCAGAGGAGCAGAGCTGTTCCAGGCTTCCATAGTGAAGGCAGTGAGAGCTCGAATAGAGGAGGAGAACAAATCCATGGAACAGCTCAAGAGACAGTGAGAAACAAACATATTAAACATTACCCTGAGGGCATAAGGTCTTGAATCATTCAGAAATTAAATAATAAAGTGAAATACTATACTTTTACATTCCACTTCTGTCTATAAACTTTCTTTGACATTTGAGACTCCAGTCATATAGCCATTTACCTCGTTTGTTAAACGCTGTGGAATATGCCCTGAAGTGGATTGTTAAAAGTAGTTAATAGACAAGTGCTGATGTTTCAGTTCCGGGTCTTTGCCATGTGATATGTGTAGTCACTAAAGAAAGCAGCTGTTCAGTTTAATTGGGCAAACCTGTTTATTAGGTATTTGTATACTCATTTTGAGGAGAGCGATTAGCATTTTACTCCCACTGAGTTGAGGGAACTAGGTGAATAGATGCATTGATATGCCTTAAGTGCATCAGTTTCCCAATACAGTGTTGCTAATGTGTGATGGAGAGGACAGCTTCACAGTTAAGCATCTTCCTATCATGACCTGAGTGTTTTTGGGTTAATTAGGTAATGACAGATATCAGTATTTATTGACTGTGATGCATTATATCATGACAGGCTTGGATTTCTGGCAAAAAGGCTTTGCTGCATACAGTAGTGGCATATTTATTTGAGTCTAAATTTGTTCATATTTAGCATATAAAAGATACACTAAAATAATGTGACTGCAACGAGTAAGAACAAATCAGATGCTCACAGGTAAAAAACAGTTTCGAGGTTTTAATGAAAAAAGGAGATCCAAACTCGCAGTGATTAAACAGGCCAAGCTCCAAACCAAGAGAGAGTGAACAAAAGCCAAAAGGGACATCCAGAGAAAGGTCAAAAAATACATAAACAGATCAAGTCAAAAACACAACAGGACAGGCAGAGAACACTCAGTACACTCAATGAAACTGTGGCAGCATTGGCAAAAAAGTAGGAGCAAACAGACAATATATTTAGCACTAGACACAGGTGAGGAAAATCAGTAATCAGGTGAAGCTGATCTGGGGTAGGCTGGTGCCTGAGAGTTCTGAGTCATGTGATCCTCCTGTGAATTCTGGGAGTTGGAGTTCAGGAGCATAAGAGTCTGTGAAGTAGCAGCTGAGTCGGAAGGAGGCATGACAGTGACTTACAACCTTGTTTTAATCCAAAGATGACATTGGAAGGAAAATATGCTTTTTTAATTACTGTGTGAAAAAAAGACTTTGTTTTTTATTTAAAATGTTTTAAAGTGCAGTGACACTCTTTTGTTTCTGAATTGGCATAAAATTATGATAAATAATCATCAGTAAGTTCAGTATTGTACAAAAATTGTAATCTTCATTTTATTTATCACTATTATTGTATTGGGGGGACAGACATGAAATTTAACTCACGGCAAATTATGGTACTATATAATAGATAATATACTAGATAATATACTGTCCATTGTCCCTGCTAAATTATAGTCTCTCAGTATATACAGATACAATCGTATGCAAAAGTTTGAACACCCCCAGTCAAATTATGTTTTGTTGATTTTATAAGTGAAAACATGTTAACATACCCTCTACAGCAAACAAACTGAAATATGCAAATTTTAGAGCACATTTTTCTATTTATTTGCCAAATTTAAATATTAGGAAAAAATAAATCATAACATATTCAATGTTCCATAACTTTTGTACTTGCCACATTTTATGTTTTCTTTTTTTCCAATATGTTAAATTCAACAAATAAACAGTAATTGTGCATTAAAATGTTCAGAACTGTGTTTTCTTCAGAGGATGTCTTCAGAGGATGTATATTTTCGCTTAGAAAATCAGCAAAACACCAGGGTTGCCCACACTTTTGCATACAACTGTATGTAAGGAATAAATAATTACATAAAGTAGAACAATTTAGAGTAAAAGTGACTTCATAGAACTCAATTAAACCGTTGTGACTTGAAATCAGAATCATATTTTTGAGTGTGAATGCATTAACCCAGGATGGACCGCATTAAGACCCGGCAGCAGAAGTTTAAGAAGGGGAAGGAGAAGATGCTGAGCATGGCCCAGGAATCTGGAGACGGGCAGAACCTTATCCCACCCGAAGGAGAAGACGATGATGGTATGATGGAGGCCTCTGAATTAAAGGAGAATATGTTTGTATTGAGTGTGTGGTGTATGGTCTCATCAAAAGCCTGGCCTTTACTAACAAGAGTGGAAACTGTAGACCAAAAATGACCTCACTGAACAGAATCATCTTCTTTGTCCTGAAAGATTTCATCTGTTTAATGATAAAGCCTGTGTGAAGTGACAATGCTTAAAAAATAACATTGTTATAAATTGTTACATCATAAGAAAACACAGCAAAACAATCTTACTTGTTGCATGTGCACATGGTTTCAGTTTTGTTAATGATCTTGCCACCATTTTATTTTAGGAGCAGAGAAAGAGAAAACCAAGGCCAAAAAAAAGCAGTGGTGGAGGCCTTGGGTTGACCATGCTTCCAGTAGGTTTACCATCATCATTTCGTCTGCTCTGAGTGCTCCTCGTGTCCTTGACCAGAACTCAGAGGATTCTCATACTGCACCAGGGCTCTGAGACTGACCCGTCAACAAACACGTATCACCCAGGCCTTACATTTCTCCTGCATCTATTTAAGGCTTCTTACACACTGGCAAAGAATGCAGCAAATATACAGTGAATATGATATTTCATAGACATTACTGTTCAAAAGTTTGGAATCACTTGTCATATTAATTATTGCTGTTATTTTATGCAATAACAATTTGACATACTATAAGCTACACATGAGAAGTTAAGATGTTTACTTAGTATTTCAAGGTTTATGGGAACATTCTTAATTCTGAATGTTATACATCTTCATTTTTCACTGCTCCATTCAAGTAAGTTAAAACCTGTGACATGGTAGCGTCGTAGCATAGAATCATTTTTATTAGAATCATTTTATAAATGTACTTGCAACAGAATTGGGTTTATACAGTTGTGTGCAAAGGTTTGAGCGCCCTGGCCAAAATGTTTTGTTGATTTTCTAAGTGAAAGTAAGTTAACACATCTGCTACAGAGAACACACTTCTGCACATTTTAATGCATAATTACTGTTTGTTTGCTGAATTTAACATATTAGAAGGAAGAATAAAACAAAAAATGAGATGTGCAAAAATTATGGCACATTTATTGTTTTCTGTTTTATTTTTACCAATATGCTAAACTTGGCAAGTGAATGCCATATTTAAATTTGTTCCCTGTAGAGAATCAGTTAACTTAATTTTTTACTAAGCAATAAAACGTGATTTCACAAGAGGTATTCAAACCATTGCATATGACTATTAAAGAAAATATATATTAAAGAAAATATATATATCAAAGAAAAGAGTGATTAGAAACTTTTGATTAATGCTTACAAAGTTTTGAAATTGAAATTTATGAAATCAGTCCATATCAAGTGTTTACATCTGAAATAACACAAAATAATAAGTACCTTAAATAGATTTGTAACACAAAGCTTCTTAGTACAGGAAAAATGTTCAAATCTGGGTGGTATCGGGTTTTTTGACCATGTTGTGACATGGATTATAAAAATCACCAGGTCTCCAGATCCAACAGTTGAGAATCACTCTGCTGTGTTTCAAATTAATCTCAAACCCATGAAGAGAAAGAGAGAGTTCATCTTTCCCAGTCACATGTACTTCTTAGAGATTAAGAATCATGACTGCAATCTCTCTCTTTCACAAATAGAGATAGAGACACCTGCGGAATGAACTGATATCTGTGGATGAAAGGTTTAATTTCATACACAGAGATGATAAAGATGAATAAAAAATAGCTCTCACGTGTATATTTTATGTCACGTCTGAACAAAACCTTGTGTCTCCAAAATGGTAATTTTTCAGGAAGAGGAAAAAAACATTCTTAACTTTAAATGTAACTTGATGGTTAATAAACGTTACATTTCATCCTAAGTAATTTTGGACCTTTTTTGTTGGTCCAGAATTACTATTTTGCATGGAGCATGAAATATTCACACAATTTAAAGACTAGCTGGCGTTTTCAAATTGTATTTAAAAAGCATGAAAAAAAGAGTTACGAGGTTTTGATCTGACAGTGATGTTGTTCTACTCTACTAGACTATGGATGGTTCAACCTGGAATGCTAGTTTGGCTAGCAGTGAATGATAGTAGATTCCAGGGTCCTAGCTTTGTCATATTAAGCCCAATTAACATTTCTGTTGTAAATAAATAAATTACAAACCAGTCCAGATAAATGGCAATTGAACAATATCAAAATGTTCAGAAACCTTGAAGCAGAACAGTTCATCTGCGTGGGGTCCTGTCTGTTTCATATCATGTTATGATGATATGATGTTATGATGTTATGATGAATTATATGACATAATTTGCTTTCATTGTTTCTATTCCTTCTTCCATAGAAATTGATTCTGTTTCTGTGACTTATCATGTTTTGATTTCTTTCATCACCCCCACCCCTATCCCACCCCTCTATATTGTGGCTCTTCTGTTCAAGGACATAAGGCAGTTTCCCTACTCGAATTCCTGTCCTGCACTGTGAAACTGAGGACAAATATGTTGATCCATTATTTTCTTTCATATGAGGACAAACTTCAAGCAGGGCTTGATTCATGATACTGTCATGTTTAGTCAGTTACAGGGCACTGCTCAGAATTCTTATATAATGTCTAGTAGTAGTTGCTTACTATTTTCAGACTTAATCTGTCATTTTAAGAGGAAAGCTAAAGTGTCTTAAAGCCTGTTAATCTTTTAATCTAAGAGTGCTTCTTTTCATTTCCCTTGACTTTTGCATGCTGTCTTCAAGCCAGAGCTTTCATAATTTTAGTTTTGAAATTGTACTGTCTGTGGTCTCTGTTGTGTTAGTAAAATTTACCAGGTTTGTAGATTTTCCTTGAATACTGTTATATATTTGGTTAAAAACTGGATAGATGTTGCCTTCCTTTGCAATCCATTTTTGGCTCATATGATAAGATACTACAGATTCTTAATTCCGAGATTGATGTAAATCAGATCATTGACTCTGTAGACTGTTAAGTGAATATCTCTGTGTTAAACCATTTTAAACCTGCACATTTGATGTTGTCCTGTGCTACTGTTTTAGCTAGAGACTATGCCTTAGGTGACTATTCACACTTTTCCTCTCTCAGTGGTGAGGAGTGGGGATTATTACCTGTTTGAGACTGACAGCGAAGAGGAGGAAGAAGAGGAAGAGAAAAAAGAGGACGAACCTCCCAAGAAATCAGCTTTCCAGGTGAAACCCTAGGTTTGAGAGGAGAAAAAAAATACAGCTGAATGCCAGAGTAGCCATATTAACATCTTTTCATGACAAGTTTTGGACCAAAGAGTTCCAACATTAACATAACTCAAGAGAACAGTGCTTCATTGTTCCTATACTATGAATTTTAGTATTCACATTTATTAACTGTAAGCTTTGCTCAAGCATTTGCATCATATCAACCTATGTGTATTTATCTATTTTACCTAGGTTTATCAATTTTAATACAGAACAATATTGATCTGAAATCTCTTGTGTTCTCTGTACATATCCATAGCCTGCTAAAGGGATACTTTAACCAAAAAAAAGCTTAAACCTGTGGTGTAAATATCTGGCCTAACAAAAACTGTGTTAAATTTTTAAAATTTCAGTGAATCTTTGTTAAATGTCAATATAATCAATTATAATTATTATAACATTCAGACATTGTTACAGTGGAATCACCACCTACACCCTTATTGTTTGTGCTGTTGGCATTTGGTCATATTAGCACTGTTTAGTCAAACAATCCCTTTAAAGGCACCCTGGAGGTGTTATTTTTCTTCGTCAAACCCACTAACTCCGTGACTGTTTTCTTTAAGTTCCCTCTAACTCTGGCTGGCTCTGTCCTTCTCCCTCAGCGAGCGATTGGAAAGTTTGCCTCAGCTGTCCTGGCTTTGCCCAGGTCTATCATAAAACTGCCCAAAACTATCCTGCAGTATATTATCAGGGCAGCCAAGGTATCACACCAGAGTTATGCAGCACTGTCTGGTTGCTTGTGTTAGATTATGGTGTTCTGCTGGCAATGCTTAGCCTTTCCCTCCCTTGGTGCTGTTTGTTGTATTAATGGGGTCTTAAAATGATTCTAAAATATTGTCCCAGATGAAGCAGCATGGAATGGAAAAGCTCTGTAAAATATGCAGTCTTGTGTTTGTTTATTGGTTTGTTTATTTATTTAGAGTGCCAAAATCTTTGGTTAGCATGTATTTCAGATGTGGCATTGCCTTTATTGATGTTGTTATATATGTGATTTGTACTGTGTTGTGTAGTGTGTTTTTCCATAAATATGTGTCTTGTCAAGGTTCAGTCCATGTGACTTGCCTCACTGTATGATAATAATAAGACCAAACAAAAGAACTCACCAGTAAGCTTATTCAAAATTTCAGAAGTGATTTCTATCTCAGTGGGGCAAACAAACTGTAGTCATGGCATTTTCCATCTTGGTTGGCTTGTGTTGCCTGGATTCAAACAATCAAAATGAAAAAAATCATATAAAAATCTTTAAAAATGCAAAGATGTTGTAATCATGATTTCATATGACGCCAGACCTTTGCTGGTTGGTATGAAGATACAGAGAGTATGAAAGTTGAAAGCAAATAGCTGAAAAATGGTTGTTTGACTTCAGGCTGAGGCTTGGCAATGTAAAAAAATTGTGATGTGCTGCCTGCAACTCGTCCATGTAATTAGCTAAATCTGTTTAGATGCTTTGATTGGTGTAGCTTGTGTTACTCCACAGTTTGTATACCACGCGTGGGTCACAGACTCCAAAACGGCACTGAAAGAGCGAAGCAAGGAGAGGCGCCATTTCTGGAGAAGATACGGTAGAGGGCATAAACATCAAAAGGACAGGAAAGAAGGTGCATCATAGAGCTAATAAAGCATTACGTAGTATTTCACACACAGTACACACTTAACACAATATGACAATAATAAGATGCATTTTTATGTGTGTCAGGGCATGTAGCAATCGAGGTAGGGGATGATGAACAACAGACCACAGAGGAGAAGAAAGAAGGGCCAGGTATGCCTGCAGATGAGCATGAAAACAAGCGTTAATGCTAATAAAAACCTCTAAGGAAGGCTTTTTAGCTTCTTTCAGAAAGTACAGACTTCTGTTTATTTGTATTTATGGTTCTGTCTTTCCAAAGCTATATGAGTAATATGCCCATCTTTTTCTAACAGACAACATCATTAAGAGGGTTTTCAACATAATCAAATTCACGTGGGTGCTGTTCCTGACCACACTGGACAGCCTGACTGTGTGGATCAACTCCATCTGTAAAGAGTACATTGATATCTCCACTGTCCTTCGCATTGAACGCTGTATGCTCACCAGAGAGGTCAAAAAGGTGCTGAACACAAAAATAAACAACATATAAGCATCATTTTCCAATTAATTGCTTCGGAGTATACAGTCTTTGTGTTTTGCAATTCAGACTAGACTGAATCAAGGTAATTATGCATGAACAGTCATCTAGTAGCCTTTCTCTTTTAATAAAAAGTAACACTTTCTTAGGGCACTTTGCCTGTTATTGTGTCTTACAGGAGAGATAGTAATGTTATCAGTTTAATTTCTGTGAGAAATGAAATTTCATAGTCTTGCTGTCTCAGAATTTGTCTTGAGAATGCATAATGTCCTGTGTTGCACAAAAAAAATCCACAAGAGTAAAAGAAAAGTCAGTTGTTTTGAGCTTTTTTTGATGCAGAGAAGAATAATATTTGCCAAAGCTGCTCACATTTGATCTGATCCCACAGGGTAATGTGCCATCACGTGAGAGCATCCATGTGTACTACCAGAAACAGATGCGTCTAAATGCGTCCCGGGAGTCAGGGCTAGACAGGATCAGCGAGGAGGATTCAACTTCAGGCTCTCAAAGGGTCCGTCGCAGACGCAGGGGCTACACTATGGAGAGCCAAGACTCTGTGATGTCCAGAGACAGCATCTCAAGGTATGTCTGACACCATAAACAGAGAATATCTTTTATGTTGTTGACCTGTTTTTGAAACAGAACAGCACAGATCTACATCTGTAGCTACCATTAATTCCTTTCTTGTATTGGATTTTTCCTCAATTTACTGTTTTAAAATTATTAACAGATTAGTAAGCCAGGGAGTTCATTAAGCCAATAATTTCAAGGGGTTCAAATATCAGAACATCCCTCCAAAACAATAATCGCTTCCAATATCTTGAGGACACTGAGAGCTTTTTTAACAGTGAAGTCATGGTTAAAGTGGTGTAATATGAAAAAGCCTGTATCGCACTCTGGTTACACTTAGAAACCATTGGTCATTTATTTTGCTGCATTCCATCAGTAAGGCTTTTGATAACAATACCCAGCCAAATTCTCAAATTCATATGCTTCATATGAATCACACCCCATGCCCAGCTATAACATTGTGAAATTACTTTAATGCTTTAAAGAACAAAGAGTCTAAAATGTATGGCTTTGAGGGTAATGTCACATTTCATCAATTATATACAGTTTATATAATTTATACATTGTTATTTTGCTCATCCTTTCTTTGTTCCCCTCAGTCATTTCATGTTTCCATCTCTCCATCTCCTTATGTCTCCATCCATTAGCGCATACACAGAGGCCACCATGCTCTTTTCCCGCCAGTCCACACTGGATGACCTGGACGATATGCCTCAGAATGTGCCCAAAACAAGCGAGCGTGCTCGGCCCAAACTGCGCAAAATGTATGGCCTGGACATGTCCAACTCATCCGGGGACAGCGGCAGCAGTGCCATCTCCAGGTCTTTAATGCAATTACACATCCTTGGTTGTTCACACCGTCACACCATCTCCTCTGCTAGAAAACGTATGATAAGAACAGGGATAAGGCCTGTTTTCAGTACTGCTAAAGTTTGCAGACACCTGACTTTTCAAAATGCTCTACACATGAGAATTTTCCTTTTATTGAAAAAGGAGAATTTTAATTTAAGTAAATTTATTTTGAGGAAAAAACATTATTGGGTGTAAATATATGTGACAGTATTTGATAGAGTACTACTCTGCTATGAGGAATAGTGTAATATTTCTAAAGTATTAGAAAACAGCTGTTTCATGTTAACAGCACATTTGCAGGAAATCTTTCTTACCAAATTAAAAAAGGAACAGCAAGAAAATTCAAATTTCAAAAGAGGTTAAGGTGTCCCAAAACTTGTGATGTTTATAATTGTACTGCATAATTTACTTCTGTTTATTAGGATTGAGTGTGTGAAAATTGCTGTTTTTTCCAATAGTGAAGCCACTCAGTGCATCACTTTATTCTCACGGCAAGGCACCAGTGACACTATCGAGGAGGCGGAGGATGAGCAGGACCATGCGCAGACCAAACGGGAAAGTCCTAAACAAGTCGAGGAACGAGAGGAAGGCCCTTGGAGCTCCATGAAGCCTGAACCAGAGCAGGAGCCCAAACTAGAGCAGGAGCTTGAAGTAGAGCAGGAGCTTGAACCAGAGCAGGAGCCTAAACTAGAGCAAGAGTTTGAACCAGAGCGGGAGCTTGAGACAGAGCAGGAGCTTGAGCCAGAGCAGGAGCCTGAGCCAGAGCAGGAAATTGAACCTGGGCAGGAGCTTGAACCAGAGCAGGAGCCTGAACCAGAGCAAGGGCCCGATCCAGAGCAGGAAATCGAACTAGGGCAGGAGCTTAAACCAGAGCAAGGGCCCAAACCAGACCAGGAGCTTGAACCAGAGCAGGAACCTGAAGAAAAAGCCCCTGGACAAATTGAATGGGAACCTGAAGATCAGCAGGATGAGGAGCAGTACAGGATGGAGCAAGAAGCCGGAGATCAGAGCCCCAGGAGGACTGACGGTGAGTCTTCTGGCCCAGAATACATATCTGCAGATCGGGGAGCTGGCCAGCTCTTTACCCCTGACACAGATGCCCCCAACACGTCTGATGCAGATGTACCGCCCAGCTATAGCAAGGCCGTAAGCTTTGACAGGCTGTCAGTAAGTTCGGAGGAAAGTGACAACGACAAGAGGCTGATGCTGATGACCTCGGACAGCAGGTCAGACTTGGACGACTCACTGCTGCCTTCACAGACCACCGAGCTCACTGCCAGCGAGCTGCTCCTCAACAAGTGAGCCATACACACTGTACACATTATATGTGTCTGTTTATATGTTTTGAAGCTGGGGATTAGAGGTCTGCATAGGTCTGATTATTAATACCTGCACCTGTTCGATTTAACCACTAATCACGTCCGCCTGCACCCGCAAAATAGTCTAGTCTATGAATCTAGTGTAATTCTTGCCCACTCCCACCCAAAAAAACCTAGCACCATTTTTGCCTGCACCCACCTGGTTCAACCTACTTTGGGCTATGCATGTGGTCCTCGTCAGCTCCCACCTGTGTTTACTGCAATCAGCTACACTGACATAGAACGTGTTCGTGCAAATCCCATGACACGCTGCAGCAGCCTCCAGGCCCTTCACACCTCTGCACACCCTGCAGCACATATAAACACTTCAGTGTTGCAAAAGAAATGTAAATATTTTGTGTATTTTAGGTAATATTTTGTGTAGCAGCTTGATGTCACTACTAACATTATTTTTATCTGTGTCATCATTATATTGTTTGCTAATTACTCTATAAGATGTCTACAAGTCAGCTGAAATTAATTTAAAGCCAAAAAAGAGACTAAGGCCGCGGCACAGGTTAAAAGGCCAAAAGAATTGCCACAGAGACAAATCTGTGATTTTGTGCATAGATATTTCTTCGATGCTCTATAGCTCCATGTGTTTTGCTGCTTGTGATTATCAACGTGTTTTTCTCTGTGGCCCACTTGCAGCTTATTTGTTGCTTGTTTGCTTCTACAAACAGCCAATAATTGTCCATGCCCACCCAAGTCAGCCAGCCATAATACCCACCCGAGCCCGCAACCTGTTGGCTGTTTACCTGCAATGACCGAAATGCTTCAAACTGAATCCCGCCCGCAAATTATTTAGCACATCTCGCAGAAGCCGCGGGTAAACCCGCCATGTGCAGACCTCTATTGGGGATGAAAGAGTTTGATTATACTTTTTAAAATAATACAATTGTACATTGTACAATTTAATTTGTTTCTCTCCATTTTCCAGAATGTTCTATGACGAGGAGCTTGAAGGCTCTGAGCGGTTCTACAAGTCCCAGCCACTGGGTCTACAGCTGTGCTATGCCCTCTACAACCTGCTGGTGGCGCACTCTGAAATGGTCTGCTACCTGGTCATCATCCTAAACCACATGATCTCGGCCTACATGGCAACGCTGGTGTTGCCCATCCTCATCTTTCTGTGGGCCATGCTCTCTGTGCCACGGCCCAGCAAACGCTTCTGGATGACCGCCATCGTGTACACAGAGGCAAGCGCCTTTTTAGTACTGGATAGTTTTTAGAGCATATTTAGAGAATGTTGTAGTAGACACAGGTTTAGAGTATCTGTACCTGTATCTGGACAGGTAACGTTCTCTCTTTACTGCCTTTCTAATAAAGTACACACAGTCTACATAATTAAATTTCATTATGATATGCAATGCCTGGACTTTACAGAAGATTAAAAAAGTGGGTAAACTCTTCTTTCAGGTTACCATTGTCATCAAATACTTCTTCCAGTTCAGTTTCTTCCCCTTCAACCAGAACCTAGCGGACAGAAATAAGCCGTACCACCCCCCCAACATCATTGGGGTTGAGAAAAAAGATGGCTACGTCCATTATGACCTTGTCCAGCTGCTTGCCCTCTTCTTCCATCGCTCTATTCTCAAGGTGCTTTCCTATGCTTATTTTTTTGTCTTAATATTTCATTTTTAGATGGTACTTAAGAAAATCTAGACTGAAAAGTGTTGTTTTATTTTTACTTGATTCAAATGTGTACATCTTTTCCACATAAATGTCACATCAACACGTTTCTTGCCAAAATTAAGTAAAATGAATTGAGTTGATCTGATAGATTTCATTCATGTGGAGCCATTGTATACACTGAAGTAAATTCAGAGCAATGTTTTTTTCAGCGTTAAAAGACAAAAACTGGCAATAACCAACATTTTGACACAATTAATGAGAGTATTACACTGAAAAAAAATTGAGGTTTAAAATTTGTCTGGGCTGCCTTAATATTTTGAGTTATTTAAACTTCAAATAATAAACTCTTCAATAAACTGAGCATAAAACGTAGATTCTTGTTCTGTTAACTTACTATGCAAAATTCATTTAACTCAAAATTTTAAGGAAGACTTAACCCTTACAGTATAGAGAGTATTATAGCTCTACATTTGACTGTACATTGACTGTACATTTGAATACTATATTTATTTGTTTTTTTATCTCATTGATGGGATGCTATTTAACAAAATTCACATGCAGTCCAGAACAGAGATTCCCAACGGAGTCCTAGGGGACCGTCAGCCAGTCCACATCTTTGTTCTGTTTCAGCTACAAACACACCTGCCTCTGGTAATTAGTCTGTAAAATACTGATTGGCTGACACGGGTGTATTGGATACTAGAACAGAACAAAATGCAGACTGGCCAGGGGTTCCTAAGGACTAGGTTGAGAACCACTGGTGCAAAATACACACAAGGGCATGTTGTTCACTTTATATCACCAAAGGTAACTTTATAAAAGAAGATAAAAGTGTTTTTAATTTTAATGTGCATTAATCTTATGATTAATTTCAAGAAAATTGCAATGTTTCTATTTGCCCATAAAATTTTCACACAGTGGAAGCTAACATTTTAGAATGTATTTTAAAAAAAGAAAATACAACAAGATTTTGATATGACAGTGACTATATTCAGTATAAAATATGAATTATATGCAGCTCCATTTATTACTTACATATGTCTATTCTGATGGGTAGTAATACCTTTCCACTTTTAACCACTTGTCTTCTCATTTTCCAGTGCCATGGTTTATGGGATGATGATGACCCCAAAGCAACAAAGAAAGACCACTCCCTTCATCGTGACGAGTCTGAGGATGAAGAGATGACAACGAAGGTGATCCCAGCTGAGGAAGAGAAGAAGAGCTTGTCCACTCACTCCATGAAGTCCATCAACATGGGCACCTCAGTTGACTCCATGCAGGTGCACGTACATATGCGCTTCCCTGAGCAGCGCACGTACCAGCGACGCAAAAGCTCCAGCGGGGTCTCACATGTGTCCCGCAATTCGTCTCTGCGCTCAAAGAGAGGTGAGGGGTCAAGGTAGCGCTCAGAATATTTGGCCAAACCAGACAGAACATGACTATTCACATCAAGTTTGGGCAACAGAAAAAAGCCATTCCTTTAAAAGCACATAAAGCTTTAATTTAAAATGAAACATATCCTGAACAGATACAAAAGAAAATTAAAAATCTCCTGACACTACATTTAAGGAGATTATTTGTATAAACATGTTGTTTTTGCATGATTATAGTTATGTTGCATGTTCTTTGCCTCCCCCAGGCAGCACGAGTACAAGAAACAGCATTCGCAGAGAGGGCAGCGAGGCCGGCGTGCAGCCAAAGAGCCGCAAAGAGCTTATCATCGAGAAGATTCGAGAGCAGCTTATCAAAGCCAAGGTCTTTCTCCTTAGGAAGTGAGTGTACATACAACAAACACTACAGATCCTACAGATCATTATTTTGGGTTTTATATGTAAATCTAAGGTATAGGGTCTTCCCTTACATTGTTTTGGGTTTTAGCTTTCTGTAAGTTTACAGCCAGATGTAAATATAAATAAAAATGTACCTGTAATGTCAGGTTGTCTGTTTCATTTAATTATAATCCAGTTGACATTTCTCTTTGCTATTCTTTATACTTTCACCAGAGCGATGGAGATCTACCTGCCCATTCGTCAGTTCTTCTATAATCTGATCCATCCTGAATATAGCGCTGTGACAGACGTCTATGTCCTTATGTTCTTGGCGGACACCGTTGACTTCATTATCATTGTTTTTGGCTTCTGGGCTTTCGGGGTATTTAAGATCAGACTTGTTATGTAGTAAAACTTTGAAAGCATGCCACTAGGAGGTGACATAGAATTTAATTATTAAAGGAGCTGTCAAATCAAAAACATAACTCATTAATAGATGAAAGATGCATCAACATCAGTTTCTTCCAGCATAAGGTTGCCAACTGAAATCCAACAGAGGAAACACAAAATTGGACGGTTATTTCAGTCAATGATTGTTCTTTATTTGATAGTTAACAGTAAGTTGCAGGGCCCTATAGCAAACAGCAAAGAATGGATGAATGAAATAAGTTGACAACCCCTCTAAACCTGTTGTTTTTTAAGAAATAAATAATTTACCATTTAATTCTTTCACTTCTAGTTCTGCTAATTGGAAATCATGTTTTGTGTGTGTCAAGCCAGTGATCTTTTCGTCTCATTAACATGTGCCTCACAGAAACATCAAGGAGGAGCAGATATTACGTCTTCGCTGTCCGAAGACCAGGTGCCAGGAGCGTTCCTGGTCATGGTCCTGATTCAGTTTGGGACAATGGTGGTGGACCGGGCCCTGTACCTCCGCAAAACTGTAATGGGAAAAGTGATTTTTCAGGTCATCCTAGTGTTCGGCATCCACTTCTGGATGTTCTTCATCCTCCCAGGGGTGACAGAGAGGTAAACAGTCCAGAAACTGTCTCTACAGTCACAGACATTTAATGCTTGTTCATACTAACAATGTATATTTCTTTTATGAGGCTATTTAGCATTGTGTACAGAACCGTTTTCTTGTGCGGTTGCAAATCATTTAAAAGCTACTATATGCTTTCACATGCGGTGTTGTTTTATAATTAATTATGCTAAAACATTTTAAACAAAGAGCATCTCCCCTCTTTGCTCTCCTCCAGGCGTTTCAGCCAGAACACCGTAGCCCAGCTGTGGTACTTTGTGAAGTGTATTTACTTCGGCCTCTCAGCCTATCAGATCCGCTGTGGTTACCCCACTCGTGTGCTGGGCAACTTCCTGACCAAAAGCTACAACTATGTCAACCTCTTCCTCTTCCAAGGGTGAGAACATAAGCAGCTATAGTGGTCAAGGCGGGAGTCATGATGGAATACTGGAAAGCATTATGATTGATTTGGTTGATTGAGGTTGAGATTGATTGAGATGTGCTTGTGGTTATGAGCAATAAAGGTAAGATGGTAAATTTATGTGTGCACTTTGGGAACCTGACTTGTGCAGACATTGCTTACCAGAGAGGGAGTAAAGTGTAACAAGGAGATTGAAAAGTTATTTAATGCTGCATGATGTAAACCAGCATGCGTCAGTTACCAGGGAATGGTCTGGTGGATCGTTTCCATCTAAGCTTGTAAAATGATGTATCAGAGCATCTTAGTTATTTACAAAGGTAATGAGTACAGTGTATATGGGGCAGGTTGGGTGTATAGCCACAGTTTGCTTAACAATCAGGGGGGAAATGAACAGAATAATCAGGAAACAACAAAACAAAGTCAGCCTAATTAATGTAGTACTACAATTGGATTGGCAGAACTCATTGTTTAAGGCTTCAAGCATAAATTCTAATTCTGAATTGACTCATATGTACAACAATATCTTACAAAAAAAATGTATACCAAAGGTTGTATTCTCATGACATATTTTAATTAATTAAAGTGCATCAGGGATTCACTGAATGTACTATTATGATAATGTGTCACACAGACTTTTTTATACATCATATTCCTTGTGCTTTTGGTGTTAATAGTGTGAAATTCTTCCCAACAGATAGATGACTTTGAATTATTAACAGAAATTGCATTTCATCTGAACTGAAATCAGTCAGAATGCCTGTAGTCTTCTTCCTGAACTTTTCCATTATTTCCCAGCTCCCAGTAGACATGAGCTGAGTAATTAGTGTTGTAGAATTCTTAATTATCGGTCTTATCTCTATCTAAAACGACATGGCCTGCTGGAAGTCTGTGGATTGGCCTCAGAACATAAGCACTGCCTGCTGTGCAGGGAAATGACTTTCTGACTGTGTTGTGAAGGTTCCGTTTGATTCCGTTCCTGACGGAGCTACGGGCCGTGATGGACTGGGTGTGGACAGACACCACGCTCAGCTTGTCCAGTTGGATCTGTGTAGAGGACATTTACGCCCACATCTTTGTGCTTAAGTGCTGGAGGGAGTCAGAGAAGGTAAGAGGCTAAAAGCATGCTGTAGTACAGATGTGGAAACACAAAGAAAGCTTATAGAAAGAAATGTGAACGTGTGTACATTTATTTAAATGATGCATTTATGCCCTATGTAGCTCTGTCACAATTATTACATAATTGCCTATTTATTTGAGGTGATCGTAATTATTTAAGCTGACCACAATCATTTACCACAGTCGTCAGATTTCACTAGCTGCAACAAGCAAAATGTAATATGGCCAAGTAAATGTAAATAAAAGAAGGCAGTAAATACATTAATTAAGACACAACATAGAGCTCATGAAAACAAAATTTGGTGCTGTAACTTATTTAGAAACAGAAACTTAGAAACTTATTCACCAACCATTAAGAAGAAGAAAGTTATTTTTCACAAAGATTCTGACATTCTCCAGTGTTTTCCTATTTGGGATTTGTGCTTAGGTATGAACAGAATCTATGCAAACTCAAGAGCACAAAAGTGCTAACAGTTCTGCAGTTTAAGAACCTGTCATGAATCTGACATAGACTTTTTCTTAGGACCTTTCTTAAGAACAAATTTAAGAAACACGTAAGAAGATATTGGTGAATGAGGCCCATTATTGGCATGAATGTTAGCATAATGAGTGGGTTTTTTTGTTTGTTTTTTTTTTGTTTTTGCTTATATTTTAACACTTGAGTAAAATTGTAGTGTACACATGATCCTGCGTAACTACTAATTTGAGTGTGTGCACACAGTGTAGAATAGCTTTTACATAGCTACTAAACAGAGCTGATCTGCTTATTTGGCCACTTTAGTCTTGTACTTTCAATGTTATATACAATGAACAAAAATAGACAGTTAAATCGCTAATTGCAATGATGTGACACTTCATGATTGTGACAGCTCTAGCGATCTGTGTTTGATCAGGCAGAGGCCTGTGACAAACTGTACTATAACACTACTACACTGGTAATGGTAATGTATTATGACAAACTGTCTTTCCTTGGGACAACTAGTGCCATTTTAGAAAGAACACGTTATACATGGTAACAATTTTTGACAGAAGAATTAATAAAAATGTTCTTTAGAAAATTTGTTAATGTGTTTGTTGTTTGGTTTTTCTGTTTTTTGTCTAAGCACAGGGAAATGCATCGAATTTATTGTCCATGATAACTTACTGATTGCTACAGATGCAGTAGATAGAGATTAGGTTGAAAATTGCTGCAGTATTGCTCTAACAGGAAGTTAATTTACAGCCTTAAATTAACTTTAGAATTAAAGTAAAAACTTGCAGCTTCGCTAGGTTTTGGGAGAAATTAAAAGCCTTAAACATAAAATGTAGGGGATAAAATGAGAGTGTGTACTGACCTCTTCTGTATGTCTGTGTTTGTGTTCCAGCGTTATCCTCAGCCACGAGGCCAGAAGAAGAAGAAGGTGGTGAAGTATGGGATGGGTGGTATGATTGTGATGTTGCTGATCTGCATTGTCTGGTTCCCCCTACTCTTCATGTCTCTAGTTAAATCTGTGGCCGGTGTCGTCAACACACCTCTGGATGTCTCTGTCAGTCTCACACTCGGAGGATTCCAGGTGTGTGTGCATGTGGGTGGGTTGGTGTTTGGGTGGGTAGTTGAGGGTTCTTAACAACTCATCTGCAGCATTATTAGAACCCTTACTTACCTGGTGTTCCTAATCGTTATATTGCATATTACTGCCACGTACATACAATAATGCTGTAAGGCTGTCACCTGGGCTCAGAAATGAAATTCGAATTCTAATTACATTATTGTTTCAGGAAGATTTAGAAGTAATTTAGAAGAAGTAATTTTTCTACAACAGTGTATTCTAATTACATATGTGGAATCTCATAAATTTCAAGCATCCCATATGCCCACAGTGTTAGAACACAGTGGTTCTCAACCTGGAGTCACATGACAGTAGTCCAAAACAAGCTTCACAGAATTTTACATTTAAAAAAAAATAACTTTTCCATTAAATCTCCCAAGCCAATGAAACCCATGCAGCATTTGTAGCTGCAGTGTGTAGCACCCCTTTGCTAAGAAGCTAATCTAGCAGCTTACTGTTATTATTATCTCACTCTGCTACAGAGTGCCTAATGTGCTAAAAATCTACCAGGAGTTTCTAGTATTCTTATACATTAAAATTTCTAATTCAAGTCAGAATAGAACATTTTTTTTGTTAATATATGGTCAGCAATGACATGTTCTTCTGCATGTTTGGTATCCATCATGTGTGATTGATTGGCCTATAATGCTGTGTACAATGATATTGAGATTTTTTATGCTGTTTTGTTTTGTTCAATTTAACCTTTTCCATCTTTTTGCTTTTATTTAGCCAATCTTCACAATGAGTGCTCAGCAGAAAAACCTGAACAACGTCACAGAGGAAGAATTTCGTTCTTTCCTTAAACTGTATAGTAAAGATTCTGTAAGTAACTGGCAAAATAAATAGTTCACATTTTGAATTGGATGTGTGATATATTTTGTTTAACCCTCTGGGGTCCACAAACTTGCCTGTGCATCGTATTATATACACTATATTGCCAAAGGTATTCACTCACCCATCCAAATCATTTAATTCAGGTGTTCCAATCACTTCCGTGGCCACAGGTGTATAAAACCAAGCACCTAGGCATGCAGACTGCTTCTACAAACATTTGTGAAAGAATGGGTCGCTCTCAGGAGCTCAGTGAATTCCAGCGTGGTATCGTGATAGGATGCCACCTGTGCAACAAGTCCAGTCGTGAAATTTTCTCGCTACTAAATATTCCACAGTCAACTGTCAGTGGTATTATAACAAAGTGGAAGCGATTGGGAACGACAGCAACTCAGCCACGAGTTGGAAGGCCACGTAAAATGGCAGCGGGGTCAGCGGATGCTGAGGCACATAGTGCGCAGAGGTCGGCAACTTTCTGCAGAGTCAATCGCTACAGACCTCCAAACTTTATGTGGCCTTCAGATTAGCTCAAGAACACTGTGTAGAGAGCTTCATGGAATGGGTTTCCATGGCCAAGCAGCTGCATCCAAGCCTTACGTCACCAAGCGCAATGCAAGGCGTCGAATGCAGTGGTGTAAAGTGCCGCCACTGGACTCTAGAGCAGTGGAGACGTGTTCTCTGGAGTGACAAATCAGGCTTCTACGTCTGGCAATCCAATGGACGAGTCTGGGTTTGGCGGTTGCCAGGAGAACGGCACTTGTCCGACTGCATTGTGCCAAGTGTAAAGTTTGGTGGAGGGGGGATTATGGTGTGGGGTTGTTTTTCAGGAGTTGGGCTCGGCCCCTTAGTTCCAGTGAAAGGAACTCTTAATGCTTCAGCAGACCAAGAGATTTTGGACAATTTCATGCTCCCAACTTTGTGGGAACAGTTTGGGGATGGCCCCTTCCTGTTCCAACATGATTGCACACCAGTGCACAAAGCAAGGTCCATAAAGACATGGATGAGCAAGTTTGGTGTGGAAGAACTTGACTGGCCTGCACAGAGTCCTGACCTTAACTCGATATAACACTTTTGGGATGAATTAGAGCGGAGACTATGAGCAAGGCCTTCTCGTCCAGCATCAGTGTCTGACCTCACAAATGCACTTCTGGAAGAATGGTCAAAAATTCCCATAAACACACTCCTAAACCTTGTGGAAAACCTTCCCAGAAGAGTTGAAGCTGTTATAGCTTCAAAGGGTGGGCCGACATCATATTAAACGCTATGGATTAAGAATGTGATGTCACTCAAGCTTATATGCGTGTGAAGGCAAACAAGTGAAAACTTGTGGCAATATAGTGTATGTGTGTGTATCATGTCATATGCAAGTGCCTTTAAAAGTGAATTTAAGAAGATATTTAAGAAGACCCCAGCAGAGGGTTAACATTAACATATTTGGTGCTAAAAAATACAAACTCAATTCCAAAAGAGTTGGGACACTAGGTAAAATGTAAATAAAAACAGAAAGCAATTATTTATCCACTTTGACTGTATTTAAACTAAAGCACTGAAAAGGCAAGATATGTAATGTTTTACCATATCAACTTCACTGTTTTATGTAAATATATGCTCATACTGAAATTGATTCCTGCAACATGTTCCAAAAGAATTGGGACAAGGTCAGTTTAAGACTATGTACACTGTGAAATGTTCAGAAACAGGTGATTCAATTATGCTTGAAGGAGCATCCAGGAAATGTCTAGTCCTTTATGAGCAAGGATGGGTTGAGGCTTACCACTTTGCCAAAAATGCAACAGTTTAAAAGGAGCATTCCTCAACTGGGGATTGCAAGGATTTTAGATATTTTACCCTCTAGAGCATGTGTCAAGCCCCAGTCTTCACAGGCCAAAACACTGCAGACTTCAGCATGCTGCTTAATGAAACACACCTGATACAGCTCATCAGCTAATTTGCAAAGCCTTCATGGACTGAATTCAGACCGTTAGACAAGGGTAAACGCTAGTCTTTGCAGGACTTTGACCTGAAAGGTGCATAATATCATCAAAAGATTCAGGGAATCCGGAGGAATTTCTGTGCATAAAGGGCAAGACTGAAGACTACAATGAATGCCTGTTACCTTTGACCACTCAGACTGCACAGCATTAAAAGCTGGCATGCTTCTGTGATGGACATCAACATATGAGCCGGAAATACTTTGACAAAGCGTTGTCAATAAACATTGTCTGTCGCTGCTTCCACAAATGCAAGTTAAGTCTGTACTTTGCACAATGGAAGGCAAATGTCAACAACATACAGAAACGCTATTGACGTTTCTGGGCTCAAAGTCAGCACAGTGGAAACGTATTGTGGTCTGATAAGTCAACCTTTCAGATTGTTTATGGGAGTAATTGATCTCGTGTTCTCTGGGTCAGTGAAGAAAAGGATTGTTACTAGTGTAAATTTCAAAAGGCTGGTTCTCTCATGGTGTGGAGATTATCAGTGAGTCTTTTTCAGGGATGCACATGCTTATTTCAACATGACAGTGCTCCCCTCACAACTTTGTTGGAATGTGTTTTAGTTATTACATTTGGAATTAGAGTATATTTACAAAAACAATGCAATTTATAAGCTAAAAAATAAAATATTGTGTTTTTGTACTGTTTTCAATGTAATACAGGTCAAATTTACCAATCACTGCAAATTTACCAAAACTGTGTGACGGTTTTGGAACTGGGTTTGTAATAGGCTTAAAATGCTTTACATGAAAATGCCAATTAGAATGATACCCATTGGTCTGTGTTGGGATCAGTTCTGTTTTAGTTCAACCATATTGAGCTTGAAGACTCATAACTTTACAGCAGACATTGAAATAAATAATGTGACTGAACTGAAAACAACCTGATTGAACTGACCCTAACCCTGTCTCTCTGCAAGTAAATACAGTGCATGAGTTTTACTTACTTCCTGTAAATTTCAATTCTGCTAAGTAGTAAATGTGAGAACAGTAGTTCTAAATAAAGTGTGTTGTTTCATGTGTAGACAGCCTTGCAGTTTCTTGAGGCATATGTGCATCAGGATCTTACTATAGCTCACCTTGAGGGAAACTCCAACTCACTGTGGACCATCAGCCCACCCAGCAGGAAAAACCTGATAGAAAGGCTGGCCCCAGATGTCGAATTCCCTTTAACCATGACCTGGTCTATACAGAGGTACAACTCACTGTCTCACTGAACAATTTACAGAGGAGTTTAGTGAACGCTATTACACTCCTAAGAAAATTGTCCTTTAAAAGAGCAGTTTGTAAGGGTGGCGATCCCTCTGGTGAAAATGTACATTTGCAAGCAACTTGTACACAAACACTTTAAGCATGTTCTCCATGTTTAACAAGCTGTAGTGGTTGCAGTATACGATGGTAATTTGCAAATGTAGACTTGCTTATAAGGGGAACATGCAGGGCAGTGGTGTTAACCACTATGCTACAACCACACTGCCATTCTTAACAACGCTTTAATCCATTTGGGTGTCTAGCCAATCTGTCTGGACTGTCTTTTTCATTAAGCCTAAGTTTGCAGCATAAATGATGTAATGATGTAGCATTGACTTTTGAATGAATATTTCAGGCTTAACAGGTTGACTTGCAACAGCATTCAGACACCACATTTAACTGTTTTTCTGACTCAATAATTTCATAATTATTAACATTTTTTTGTAGCGCAGCTTTGAAGAACTATACTCTGAAAGTTTTTTAGGGTACTAAAATTGGTTCTTCCATGGCAAGAACCCCTTTTAGCACCTTTATGTTCAGAAAAGACTGAAAGAGTGCAGAAAGAGAGGGGAAAGTGTAGAAAACAATACAAGATCATAAGCATTCCCTTTGTCAATTTAACAAAGAAAGTTTTTTTGAAAAACTGGATATGAGTTCTTTGGTTACTTTTAGGCTTTTGCTCAGAAATTCTTCATCATAATCCTCTGCACACCTATCCACCTATCCTTGTCAGTGAATTTAAAATATTTTGAATATTATGTCATGATCTGGGACAGCAGTGCTGCTGGAGTTTTTAAACACTTAAGTGTCACTGCTGGACTGAAAATAGTACACCAACCAAAAATATTGAGTTAACAGCGTCCTGTGAACAGCATCCCCTGACCACTGATGAAGGACTAGAGGATGACCAACACAAACTGTGCAGCAACAGATGAACTACTGTCTTTGACTTTATATCTACAAGGTGGACCAACAAAGTAGGAGTGTCAGTGAGTGGACACATTGTTTAAAAACTCCAGCAGCACTGCTGTGTTGATCCACTAATAGCAGCGCAACACACACTAACACACCAACACGTCAGTGTCACAGCAGTTCTGAGAATGAATCACCACCCAAACAATACCTGCTCTGTGGTGGTCTTGTGGGGGCCCCACCAATGAAGAATGGGGTAAAAGATGGCTCTTTAACAAAGTAGGCAGAGAAACAGGTGGACTACAGTCTGTAGATGTAGAACTACAGAGTGCAACTATATGGTAAGTGGAGCTGTTAAATGGACACTTAGTGTAGATACAAGGAGGTGTACTTAATAAAGTGATTGGTTTGTGTATATAAGCCATCCATATAACCATGTAGTTCCAGGCTGAAGCCCAGCTGCATATGCGCTGTATGTTGCTATGATAAAATCTTGTTCAAAAACAGCTTTTAAATGGCTTTTAAAGTAAAACCTTAAGCACCCTTTCACTTTTCACACTTTCACTTTCCCTGTACAATGTAATATAGTGAGCAGTTAAAAAGAACTGTCTCTGTATGAAAGCTTTCTCTAAATATATTTTGGTTGTTGATTTTGTACAGGAACATGAGTTTAGGAGCCAAAGCAGAAGTGGCAACAGGCAAACACATCATCACCTTGGACCAGGAAACAAAAGAAAACCTTAAGAAAATACTGCGGAATGATTCTGAAGCGAAAGATAAAGTGTGAGTCTGTACTTAACAGTTTAAGCATTTATTTAACATTTAACATTTATTACAACTTTAGCATTGTTTTTGATGTGTGATAATTTGTTTCAAAATGCATTTTTTTAGGCTCATCAAAAACATTTTTCCAAGATATCTTCGGGCACCTAGTGATTCCAACACCAAACCCATTGAGCAGCTGAGTGCAGGTAAGACAGTGGCTTTGAGATTCAGCACATTAAGCTGTGATCAAATACAATTTCAGTAACACACCTAGATCTAACCTACATTACCTAACACAACTATTACAGAGGCTGTTTCCACTACCACTACCAACCTGATAATTTTTCACTGGCACGGCATGTGCCAGAGACACTCACACATCACTTTATGCAAGTCTGAGTCAAGTCTGAAGTCTTTAGTTGTGAGCTTCAGTTCACTCTCAAATTGTATTAGCTGTAGACATTACATTGCACATAGGCAATGAAAGCACTACAGTGTGCGTGGTATAAGGCCTCAGTTATGGCCACAGTAACAGCCTTCCTGTCTCTGATGGCCCTTGCTGTATGCTTGTACACCTGTCATGGACTAGAAAGCGTCTTACTCTGTTCCACTGACCACTTTACTGAATATATGAAAGTAAAAGGTAATCTTATACCTGAACAACAAAGAAATAATTTCAACCCATTATTCTTTAGTGATGACCTGAAACTTACTAAAAAAAACTTTATAAGCTATGTTAGCTGTCAGGCTGTCCAGCTATTGTACTCGCTGAATACACATGTTTTAACCCCTTAAATGGCTAGCTCCCACTAATAAACTTTAGAATGTAATAAGGCTGGGATTTTAAGAGGTTTCAGAGGCGGTTATAAGTCCTACACGCTAACTCGTGTCCCATTTCTGGCATATGCTAAATGTATGAGTGAGTCAACAACCTTGAAGGATATTTAGAAGATTTATATATACTATATGGACAAAAGTATTAGGACACCTACACATTACATCTACAGGAGCTTTTATGACATCCCATTCTAAATCCATAGGCATTAATATGGAGTTGGTCCCCCCCTTTGCAGTTATAACATCTTCCACTCTTTCTACAAGATTTTGGAGCGTGTCTGTGGGAAATATTTGCCTATTCATCCAGAAGAGCATTTGTGAGGTCAGACAGTGATGTTAGACGAGACAGCCTGGCTCACAATCTCCATTCTAGTTCATCCCAAAGGTGTTCGATGGGGTTGAGGTCTGGGCTCTGTTAGGGCCAGACAAGTTCTTCCACACCAAACTCACCCAACCATGCCTTTATGGACCTTGCCTTATGCACTGGAGCACAGTCATGCTGGAACAGAAAAGGGCCTTCCCCAAACTGTTCCCACAAAGTTGAAAGCATAAAGTTGTCCAAAATGTCTTGGTACGCTAAAGCATTAAGAGTTCCTTCACTGGAACTAAGGGGCCTAGGCCATTCTGCTTGGTGATGTAAGGCTGGCACGCAGCTGCTCAGCCATGGAAACCCATGCCATGAAGCCCCAAGCGCACAGTTATTGTGCTGATGTTAACACCAGAGGGCGTTTGGAACTCTGCGGTTATTGAGTCAGCAGAGCGTTGGCAACTTTTGCACATGATGTGTCTCAGCACTCAGCGATCCCGCTTTTATACTTTGTGGAATGTCTAGGAGGCAAACTGACTTGTTACAACGGTGGCATCCTATTACATAACCATGCTCAAATTCATTGAGCTCTTTAGAACGACCCATTCTTTCACAAATGTTTGTAAAGGTTAGGTGCTTGATTTTATACACCTGTGGCAATGAGACTGAATAAAATACCTGAATTTAATGATTAAGAGGTGTGTCCTAATGCTTTTGTTCATATAGTGTACCTCTCCTCTGCTCCCTGGGTCTCTACATATTCATTTTCATGCAATATCAAAGTAAATCATCAATGTAGTTAGTGTAGCTTTAACAAGCCCACAGGCCAAATGGTAAGTGACCAATTCAGTTAGTAAACATCTACTGATGGTTTGGTACAAGGCAAATGAGCCCTGGTTAAAAATGAACCCTGAGAAAACAGAAGTTAGTACTGTCGTTTTGCTGTACTATTTACATTTGTTTAAAGGTATACTTTGTACATATATTTCTTAACAAATGACTAAAACATGGCAAAAAGGTCAAGGATGGTTTAAAGTTTTAGAATGCAAAACTTAATGCAAAACAGACTTTTTCTCAACTTTAATCACAACAAAATACTACTTTCTACTTGGAATTCTACTTGTTAACACAAATGGGGTATTGATTAGAACCACTACCAACAGAATTTGTCCACTTGTGTTATGAGTGAGAAATGAATAATATCAAATTACACCTTGCTTTTTAATGTGCGATAACTGCTAACTTGAGAGTTACTGAGTACAAAAAACACATTTGACATTAGATCTGATTAAATCTTGATAGATCACAGAATACTACCACATGCTTCCTTGCTCTAACACACGTAATTAAGCTTCTCAGCTTCTAGTTATCAGTGAAAGACTATAGTATGCTAGAGCAGTGTGATACCGAACAGACATAGATCTGATAATATCTAGATCTGACGTCTTTTTGACAATGGAGTGAGATTGAAAACAGGCAAAGAACTAACAATTTTATGTTTGCTCCAGATTTCGAAAATATTGACCTGTCTCTGAAACGAGGGAACGGCAGTGAAGGAAACCCTCAAGAATGGTGGACTGTGAACCAGAGCAACGCAGGCTCCATCAAGCTGAAATCTGTCAACTATTCCCAGGGTTTGGAGCTCTATATCTTCAGCGATCAGGTCAGCCCTCCGAGCTTGGGCTTTCTGGCTGGATACGGGTAAGTGGCTGCAAGTTGGATCTGACTTGTTCTGTCTTCAACCATGATTATTTTTCAAAACACTGCTCTGCTCTTAACGCCAAAATATTGTCCAGGTGACATGTATCAGACCTTGCCGCGTACATTAAGGCACACTCTGATTGGATAGAAACTTAATGTTCTAAGTTCTGGGGTCAGTGGTCATGGTGTGCAGCTGTGTTTACTTTCTTGCTGCTCCGCTGCTGTCAGAAACAAAACGGGTTGCCAGCTATTCAGAACTAAAATTCGTCGCTGGCACAGAACTATAAAAGCCTACAGCACTGCAACATCTGTCAACCAGTTTTTTTTGTTGAGCAACACTTGTCGCCTAGACTATAAATTGGCCTTTAGAATGCCACAGACATAGACGTGGGTAGTATGGCAAAAATATAACATACACAATATAAAGTTTAATAAGTTGGAACCATCAAAAGAAGTGTTACATTATAAAAATGCTGTAAAAGATGAGTATAAAGACTTTATCCAACTTTTCTGTGAAAGCATATCCAATTAAACATTTAAGCCCCATATGTCAAACACAAGGCACGCGGGCAAGTCAGGCTCGTAGCGCAATCCTTTCCCTCCTGTGAAATGATTTTAATTTTCTATTAATATTAGCCTGTTTCACAGTGCTCTGCACTGTAATCCCCAGCATGCAGTGCAACAGTCTATGGGACAGCGGTTGTACCACAAAGGTTTAAAAATCCTACTTCTTGGGTACATTTAAAGAGGTTTAAGTTATGTGCCGCTACTGTGTGTGTATTTACACACACACACACACACACACACACACACACATATATATGTATATATTTTATATATATTCATATATGTATACTACACTTAAGAATACAAAAAGCTGCTCACATGTTTTTTTAGCCAGACACACCTCACTCTCATTTCCCAAGCCAGAAAGCTTTTGTCATCAACATGATATCCAAAAGCTTTATCGAACATCACATTTTATATAAATATCATGGAGCCCCATGTTGGAGATGTCTTTTTAATTGAATATGTGGTCGGTCACTGTTCTTTAAATTGTGATGATATCCATGATATGCTCAGAAAAGTATATTGTGACACAGTCTATCATGAAAGCATTATCATAGTCGTTCGATCCATCTCTAACACACAAATATAAACAAGAAACATAAATATACAACCGTCATAGAGGACTGCATTTGAAATACATACTTCTTCCATGACATTTTCTTCATTTGCATGCATTGTACTGTGTATTTCAAAATTTTAAATCTTTAAATCTAAATATATAGAATCAATTACAGCATCACTACCAAATTCACTTGTGCTATATGCAGTATGAGGGATCTGTAACTGGTTTTAACTGAGCTGAATTCTTCTCTCTCAGCATCATGGGTCTGTACATGTCCGTTGTACTGGTGATTGGCAAGTTCGTACGTGAGTTCTTCAGTGGAATCTCGCACACAATTATGTTCGAGGAGCTGCCCAACGTGGACCGCATCCTCAAACTCTGCACCGACATCTTCCTCGTGCGAGAGACTGGAGAGCTGGACCTGGAGGAAGATCTCTATGCTAAGCTCATCTTCCTCTATCGCTCTCCAGAGACAATGATCAAATGGACCAGAGAAAAAAAACAGTGAAGATGATGGTGATGGTAGTAAGAAATGGCAGGGAAAAGGACACTGATCACATGGCATGAAGACATGGAACATGGAAAAGCACCAGGCTGTGTGTCGGACCATGCTGCTGCCTATGTGTATTTGTTTAACAGGTGGACAGTACAGCAGCCAATAGCTACGATTAGTAATTGTAGCTGCACCTTACTTGACCATACACAAAGTACCATGCAGCGTGCAGTAGCCGCCCAGTGAGAGATGCCTGATCTGCGGCTACTTGTATTTTTAAGGGCTTTTAATGGACATGAAGTCTTCCTGTCATGCATAAAAATTGCAAAACTTTTCACAACTGGGAATGCATGAGCCAAGGAGGCGGTCCATCATGACCATGCGCTGATTGACAGGCGAGTCAACAAATCCCAGTGTGATTACATTCAGAGACTTTTAAAGTGTTAAGAACTGATTTTTAAGAGACCTATTTATCAAGCTTTTTTCCTGAAGAGGAGAGAGACAACTTCTGGTTTTGCAGAAGTTTGAAGAAAATCAACACCAACAGCAATCACCTGAAAATATTCACTTGCCTTATTTAGTTTATACAAATAACTGCATTTTCATTCACCATCCTTTTCTCAGGAACACACACCAGTCATTTCTTTACGAGATGTTCGCTTTTTCCAATGCGCGTTAGGGTAGAGCCGCAAAATAGATACATGCAAATAGATGGCGTCTATGGAGGGAGAAAACAAGGCACATATCATGATGATGCAATGCTGATTACTGATTGTTTGTGGCTGGTCGACAGTGATGGAGCATGAACTCTTCATAGGTGGCTACTGTAATGCTATTTATGCTGTACAAGACTTGGGAGTTCTTGTGTTGGTCAGACAGAAAGATATAGGACCATATGTGAAGTTGAGATAATGACTAGTTGCTTATATTAAAAGGGTGAAGCAATATGAAAATACATTATTAAAAGACGGGCGGGAAAGTGTAATACGTTAATTTGTATATATATCCAGTTTAATGAGCAGGAAAGGTCTGTTTTTGAATGTATCATGATTACATGAATATAATGGTGCAGCGACAGACAACAACAAAAAATTGGTGTTGTTTTGAATATGACCTCCAGCGTTCTAATGCAATCATGAAGACATCATAAGAAAGCTGGGAGTAATGAGAAGAGCTTTATCAGATGTGATTTTGAATGAAAAAACACCTCTTACGTTTCTATGCATTATTTAAAGCGACTGTAGCATGAGAGAATACTTACTATTTGACTTGAGACATTTTCATTACATCACATGTACATAAGCTTTTACAGGGACAAAGAAATGTGAAATTATTAGGTTTACTATGTAATGGTACGAAAGGATGGAAAACAAGGAGCTGAACAAGAGCAATGACCTCCAAATAAAGCACATATTAGAAGGGCACTGTTATTTTCCTTTTTTCAACCTGATTAAACCTGTCGGATCTGTAGCGTACAGTCGATTATCACGGACAGGAATTTTGAGTCATTTCCCTCTTTCCTACTTAGTAAAAAAACAACTCACAACACATTTATAATAGAAAGTAGTGGGCATTTGCTTCAGATGAGGTAAACCCTGAAGCAGTCCTTTGCTTATGTGCATACTGTGTAGAGGTATGCAACAAAAAAAAATCTGTCGGACACAAGTTAGACGCATACACAGGAACTTATGATGTCGGAAGCTGCAGTAAATCTGTTTAACTGGAGTCTAGAGAAGGATGCAGAAGTGTGGTGCTGATAGCATTTTCGATATCTTAAACAATCCCCTGCTCTGCTGCACCCCACTAATGCACTCTTACATCAAAGACCTATTGGAAAAAGCATCAGCAACAGCAGTTGCATACATTAATGATGAACTAAAGATGGAATAGGGTGGGAGTTCAGCTCCATACTCTACACCCTCATCAAATATAAATAGGAACAAAAAAGTTTAATGTCTGTACTAAGGGCTCTTAGTGCACAGGATGTATGCAGAGATGCATATGAATGCTGAAGTGGAAAATGATCAGGTAGATGTGCGTTATAACAGACTATTACTGTTGAGAACCCGTCATCAACTCTAAACAACCCTGAAGCTTTGCAGAGTTTAATTTTGTAGGAGCCTTTCTTCAAGAGGTTAATCCACATATGGTCAGTTTGATCCTGTAACCTGTAATTGTGAGCAACTGGGGGCTGGTTGACCTGCAAAATATATCTCTTATCCACACAATACAATGAGCATAAGCTGTGCACCAGCAGAGGGGTTTATTGCTGTGCATACATTTAGATGTGTTCATCATAATCATCATCATCAGTAGAGGAATGCATTAGACAGACATGTTTGATTGTGTCTTACAACCACGTGGTTCAATGTGTCTTGATTACAGTGAAGTTGTAGTGTTAAACATACAGTATACATAAGAAAAGTTAGGGAGGCCCTGGTCAAAATACAGTTTTGTTGATTTTCTAAGTAAAAATGAATGCACATTATCTACAGAGAATACACTTATGAAAACTTACTGTTTATTTGCTAAATTTAACATGCTGTGAAAAAAAATGTGGCCTGTGCGAAAGTTAACATATTCTATATTTTATATTAGATTTTCCTAATATGTTAAACTCAAATAAATTAAAATAAAATAAATAATAAATACAAACAAACAAATAAATACATATAAAAAATGGCATATTTAAATGTGTTCTCTGTAGAGCATGTGTTAACATATTTTCACTTAGAAAATCAACAAATGGTATTTGATTGGGGTGTTCCAACTTCCATAATCTCAAATATATCTCGGATTGTAGCTCTGATGCCACTGTCTGTCATAACTCTGCTGCTGTGAAGAGAAATCTTTATGTGCTTGTAGACATAATTCAGACAAGAACTACACAGAATATAACAGCACCGCCCTCATGTTCACTCTACCTGTGTATTGCCTGGTTAGGACCTGTTGTTTAATTATGCAATTTCTTGAAATATAGCTGCGTTCCAAAACCTAGGCTGCAGTCTAGATGGGCTGCATTTCTACACAGCTACGTCAGAGAAGGCTGTTCCAATTCGAGGGATTCTTCAAATTTTCAAGGATGCTACCAGAGTACCTTTCACGGTCTTCTGTCACCCATAATCCTTTGTGCACATGAAGAAAGATGCATGCTGGCAGATTAAACCATCTACTACATGTTGTTTAACAAGTCCAGTAATGTACAGTAAAATATACAATACACTATTTCTTTAGTCATATCTGTTTAAGAGATTGTACATTGAATGCAGGGTGTAAAATGCACCTGCTTTTAGTGAGCTGAACAGTTTTTAGCTTGCAGGTAGTATTTCATTACCAACAAATTCATGTTTTGCGACATTACATCATTCACATCAATGCTTTGCTTGCCAGCTTATTATCATTCAAATCAACTATATTTTCTCCAGCAAATTTTGTGTGCCGACTGTACAAAGCAGCTTTGTTAAACCATTCTATTTTGCATTAATACAAACAAAACTTTCAGAGAACAGCACTACTGAGGACCCACCCTCCTCAGCTGCAGCCTAGCTATTAGCTGAGCCTAATCAGTGCTGTTTTGACTTAATATATACAGTATATACAGTATCACTGTTACTGCATACAGACTTGCAGAACATTCTTACTAACAGTTACGATGCTCTTTACACTGAAACTGTCAGGAAAGCAAGCCGTGATTATACACTCAAAAAGGTTATGCACTTAAGGTACTTGATTCAACAGATGTGTACATCATTACCACATAAATAAAATACATCAACACAGTTTTGCCTTTCTGTTTACTTACTATAGTCAAAACTGTGTTATTATATATAATATAATATAATTGTATTCATGTGGACATTATTTACACAGTCGATTCAAGTACATTTGATACACTTTTTTAATGTAGTTGTTTTCGAATGGACTAGATGTGATTTGAAGAAAACAAGGCAGTGCTTCCAAAAGTGAACAGCCAAATATACTGGCAAAATATTCATATACTGCTATTGTAGTGGTATGCTATCGTACTGGAGTTCACAGCAGCGCAGAGCTTCTGGACTTACAGTGGCACTGATTGCAAATAACCCAAAGCTGGTTTGGTTGGCTTATTTGACTCAAACACAACAAACAGACTTTTGCTCAGTCATATTTCTGGATGTTGTGCACTGTGCCTTGCACTAAACATAGCTACACACTGAAGGAGTAGTTGGGCCAAAAAATGGCAGTGTGGCTAACTGTGAATTGAGATTAGATGGACACAAAAGCCCCCACCTAGCATTATCATGCTAACTGTTGGATTACTGTGCCTGGTATTCACTGTCATGCACGTTAGCATTTTTGGCTAAACAAACCCTTCCAGTTCAAACAACACTATGAATAAGTCACTGTACGTTATGGTCATTTAAATATGATTGCAGAAACTACATAAACATATTTGATACGAGACGTCTTCACTGTCTTACAGACCTGTCAATATTTAAATCATACATAATACATAAACTGATACTGTAAACATGACAATACATTTGTTTTATCATTGAAAGTAAATGAAAATACATCTTGAAAGACATTTTCATAAATAAACTGACATTTAACATTTATATCTAAAACTTAAAATAGATTTAGCTTCTCTTAAGTATCCTCTTAAGTATTTTTAAAGGTAAATGTACACCGTTCACATTACAGCTTGTTTGTTCTGAGTGGACCTCCAAGCTCCAGAAGGTTTAGACAAAAAAGGAATTTGTCAGGACTTGGAATGAATCCACCTTGCACAATGGGGAAGGTCACATTAAGTCACCAAATACGCAAACACGCACACGTACGCCCACATGTATATCTCTCACATTCACACACTCATACTCTTGGAAGGGCTGAAATGTTTCAGATTAACACAGTCCTCCTTCATACTCATCCTCCTCCTCTGCTGGTGGTGCTCCTCCAGCGCCCCCCTGTGGAGCAGAGGGTGATTTCTTTTTCTTCCCTCCTCCCCCTGGCACCTTCAGAGAGATGGCCAGCTTTGCATACTGTTCAAAAGAAGGGAAAAGAGCACTGTTGAACTTTTCTTTCCATAATGTTACATACATGTTTGCAAATGTAAAGTACATGTATAACCATCCAATGCAAAAACATAAAATTTATTTCACATTTCTATATAGATGTTTTATATGAAGTTCTGCAGAAGTCAGTCAACACTCACATCATTGTCCATGTACTTCAGAAGAGGTGAGTTACACACACGATACACCTGGTCCTCATCTTGCTCATCATAACCTGCCAATAATGTCTCCATGGCAACACAGTCCTCACTGCCACTGAACCCTGGGAGACTTGAAGGAAAAAGCATAAGACATGCATATCATCACTGTCACAACAAAAAAGTAATTTCTCCAAAAAAGTAAGTTTACAGGAGAAGGACAAACATTCATAGCTTTGATGTACTTTAATGCACCAAGACTGTTTTCTAAGTAATTCTGGACCATGTCTAGCAGCTGGAATCAACTTATGTAAAATAATAAGAAAAAAAAAATGACAATACAAGATCTTGTCCAAGAGCAACAATATTTATCAGATATCTCAAAGGTAGTGATCTAGGAAATGCTTTTATAATTTGATCTCTGCAATCAAAACAAGACAAAAATATTGGAAATCAAATTGAATCTCTTTCTCTGAATCAAAAATCTTATAGATATCATGTGTGTGTATATATGTATACACACACACACACCTATTGTAATGCAGCACACAGTCACTATAAATACTCTTTCATACCTGTAACTTTCTCTCACACACTTATCTGCTGCTACAAAGTCTCCTCTGTGAAGATGGACCAACACTTGGGCTATAGTTTTCTACAGAGAAAGCAGATTAACAATTACTTATGAACAAATAACATCTGTGAAAATGGTCTACAAGAAATCAAAGGCCTGTACTTTTGCACAGCAAAACCATAAATATGGAGTTCAGTTTCATAGTTGTGATTTAAGAAATAAACATGAAACAGATTATAGTTTTTCCATCATATGGTTTGAACGTTTGATAGTACCTTAAAGCAAGTGGGATAATTCTCAATTTCCTTGTACATGTTTTTTTCTTTCTGGATGGAGACTGCAGCTTCATCCAGCCTATGGAGCAGAGGACACGTAAGACGAGATGCACTGCATTGTACTGCACAGTAAAGAGGCTAAAATTAGCCCTTAGTCTCTGCACCAAGTCTCAACTGTTTACAGGAAAACAAAAGCGGGAAGATGAGAGGAACAGAGAATGGAAATGTTGTGCTGCACATCAAACCAGATCAGACTGTCGTGCTCACCTGCGTAGTCGCACCAGCAGTCTGGAGGCTTTTCCCAGCAGTTCTGCAGCCTGTCTCAGACGGTCCTCATTCTACACACATACCACATGTGAAGCTTTGTATAAGGCTTGTTTTTAAAAAGAACCAGTGACAGTCGGGTGGCACCAGCACCACTTCTTTAAGGCCTACATTGCTCACTTATATCAGCTAACACAGGTACTGTCTTTAGGACAAATTTCAAATGTCAACCTCAGAAATGTACAATTTTAGCAACTGAAATTTCAAATGTCATCATGATGATGCAATGATCTAGTAATATTAGTCTATGCTAGTGACTATAATAATTACAGTCATACTATAGTGGACTAAGTTTTCTTACCTCAAAAACAGAAGCAGCTTTCTGATACAAGTCGACCGCTTTCTCTAGATCCATTGGTTCAATAAGTCTGTGAGAAACACAATTCTTAACTGTGTGCATAACATTATTCAATACACATGATAAACAACCACCACAAATGCAAGGCTGGCCCCAAATAGACAGTCTGTGACAAAATAAAGGAATGCCCCAGCATGTTCCAACCTAATCTCTATCTGCCACATCTGTATTACACAGAGAATTACAACAAAAGCTGATAGGTATTTGCTAAATTCTGTGAATAAACCCTTGAAATGCATAACTACATAACACAAATACAAATTCAATACAGTTCTTAGGATGCGACAGACATGAGACAATGCCATGGTCATGATGTTTTATCCCATTTTTGAACACTGGACCAATACAGGTTTTTTGCTTTCTTTAAGGCTGGCTGGTTTTCATGGATGATCAGGCAGAAGCCTTTAAACACTCCACACCACAATGCTGGTAACATATAACCACATTCTCTAGAAAGCTAGTCCCATGTTTGAGAAGGCAAATTACACAGATTTAAAGCTTCAATTACAAACACCTTAAGAATTCCTGAAAGAGTTTTACAGAATACATATTTATGTTTTTTCACAGAATTCAGCAACTGCCTACTGAGTTATATTATCATTAAGATGACTACTATTATAAGTGAGATTTATGACCAACAGGTTTTCGGTTCTTTACAAGGAAGCACATCAAAACTGCTGTCCAGGGTAATTGGCAATATGCAATAAATGGAGATGTGTTTGGGAAACACTAAAGCTATGGCTAATTCTCTGACTCTCCTTTATGTAGAACCTGTGGTATGATGATCAGTCTTCAATATTTCACCTACTTGCCGGCCCTGTCCAGAGCCATGCCTGCAGTTCCAGATGTCCCATTCTCCACGTACATCACACTGGCTTTCTCAATCAGCTCGACAGCCTCTGGTAATCGCTTCATATCCTACAGGGAGGGGATATCAACTTTGTTACTCACGGCAATAACAGCGATTCAGTTCTAACTAGTATTCAGTGGCTATAGATTCCATCCAAAGGCATTTTTGTTTCGCTTTAATTTTATGAACCAAGACTAAACAAAGCAATAAGAGTTTATTATATACTTAAAACATACAGAAAAAGGAATTGCAAAAATGCAAATGCAAAAAAGGAACAGTAACTGAAATGTCCAGAATTCACAGGCGTCTTCTTGTTTTTCCAGCTTACAGTAAGTGTATGGAAGATGAGGTAGACATAGCAAGTTACATGAAAAAGGCATAGGCTGACCATATAATCGCACCTAGTTATTTTTCTATCAAGCAAAGATATAATATATAATCAATTTTCCAAAAATACTGACAGTTATTGTGTTCTTGGTGAATTATGGTGTTCTGGTTAATCAATGTTTTTTATTTTAAACTGACTTATAACTGATGTTGCACTGCAATACTGCCGCTAGAGGATTGATAACAATTCGCGCAGACATTAAAACTTACCTTTAGCATCATACCTGCTGCTTCAATTGCCCTGAAGGAGAAACAGAATTACAAAATTATCCCACACAATAAAACTGTATTTATTTAATCACTATCATAGGTTCTTATATTGTTTCCCATTATAAAAATACAATTATACACATACATATACTCACTGGACACTTTATTAAGTTTGTCCATTTTATTAAGTCTTCTTAGCGAACAGGTGGTGGGCCATTCTTAGCATTGCAGTGACGTGGCAGTGGCATGATCACACACAGCAGTGCTGCAGGATTTTTATCAAAAATTAATTATTAGTTATTTATTAACTCTGCGCTGTAAAGCTGTTCAATTAGAAAGGAACCATAAATATCCAGCCAACAGCATGCTGGGGCCAGTAACTGACCACTGATGAAGGACTATAGGTTGACTAACATAAACTGTGCAGGAACAGATGGGCTTTCATATCTGACTTTACATCCACAAGGTGGGCAAGGTAATAGAGTGGACAGTAAGCTGTGTCTGATCCACTTGTACCAGCGCAACACAGACTAACATACTACCACCACATTAGTGTCACTGCAGTGCTGAGAATGATCCACCACCCAAATAATACCGGCTCTCTGGTGCCCTGAGGGCTCCTGACCATGGATGAATGGGGTAAAAAAGACTATTAAATTATGCAGAGAAACTGAATACAGTCTGTGATTGTAGAACTACAAAGTGCACCTAATGGCCATTGAGTATGTCTATCATAAGAATTAGTTGGTTTTTTTTTGTTTTTTTTTTGCAGCATTGTGGTTATATTTGGCTCATTCCTGGCAAACCGTGCTCAATTCCCCAAGGCTACAAGAGTCCCTCTGTAGGATTCAGATTTTGAAAATCCTCTATACGTTTTCAAAGGTATTCCTATCAGGATATTGGCCATGCAAGAACCTTCATCATTTTAGAAAGCAGTCTTGAGTTACTGAAAAGTCTTGTTGAAAAGTCCATCTTCTCACTTTTCATGGCCGATAATCTAGCCGATATTATTGCCAAAGAGTTCTGTTTTTTTGTCAGACCAGAGTATATTGTTTGCAAGAGTTCTGATTTGTCTACATGCTCGTGTCCAAATTTTAGACACACATCTCTGTGCTTCTTTTTTTAGCAGAGAAATTCTGCGAGGCGTGTATGAATGAAGATGATTGTGCTGCAGTTTGTTGCTTATTGTTCTCTGTGTAACTTGTTTCTGCCATTTTTTCTGAGTTTCTGCGGCTTTCTTATCATTATCATGAGCCTGGGAGCAGGAAATCATTAGTTGTGCTTCCATAAAGTTTCCAATTGCATATTTTCAAATAAATTGTACTGATAGGGATGCTTAAGGTACTGGAAGTGTATTAAATAACTAAAACAGAAGTGTGTGAATACTTGTTTCAACCCACTGTGGTGTATATACAACGATCAGGCATAACATTATGGCCACCTCCTTGTTTCTATGCTCATTGTCCATTTTATCAGCTCCACTTACTATATAGGTGCACTTTGTAGTTCTACAATTACAGACTGTAATTTGTTAGCCCCCTTTTACCCTGTTCTTCAGTGGTCAGGACCCCCATGGACCCTCACAGAGCAGGTACTATTTGGGTGGTGGATCATTCTCAGCACTGCAGTAACACTGACGTGTTGGTGGTGTGTTAGTGTGTGTTGCGCTGATCTGAGTGGATCAGACACAGCAGTGCTGCTGAAGTTTTTAAACACTGTGTCCACTCACTGTCCACTCTATTAGACACTCCTACCTTGTCAGTCCACCTTGTAGATGTAAAGTCAGAGACGATAGCTCATCTGCTGCTGCACAGTTTGTGTTGTTCGTCCTCTAGTCCTTCATCAGTGGTCACAGGACACTGCCCACAGGACGCTGTTGGCTGGATATTTTTGGTTGGTGGACTATTCTCAGTCTAAAAACTTAAGAACTCCAGCAGCACTGCTGTGTCTGATCCACTCAGACCAGCACAACACACACTAACACACCACCACCACATCAGTGTTAATGCAGTGCTGAGAATGATCCACCACCCAAATAGTACCTGCTCTGTGAGGGTCCATGGGGGACCACTGAAGAACAGGGTAAAAGGGGGCTAACAAAGTATGCAGAGAAACAGATGGACTACAGTCTGTAATTGTAGAACTACAAAGGACAATGAGCGTAGAAACAAGGAGGTGGTCATAATGTTATGCCTGATCAGTGTATATGAATACTCACTTTGCAGCGTGGAATAATCTGTTGTTTAAGGTTAAGGAAAGAACTTGGCAGGAATAATAGAAAACAAGTTAACATTTTAAAAATTCAGCATCTCCTTAAAACAAAGGCCATAGTGTACACTCTACAAAAAGATGGTTCTTCAAGGGTTCTTTAGCAAAGGAAATGGTTCTTTATAGAACCATGAACAAAGATCCCTTTGCTTGATTAAAGGGTTCTTTGCATCATAAAAGGTTCTTTAGATCGAAAGAGAATATGTTCTCTCTACATAGAACCTTTTTGAAAAGGATTCTATATAGCACCAAAAAGGGTTCTTCTATTGTTACGATGCCAAACTTGTTACAATAGAAGACCCCTTTTTGGTTCTTTTTGAAAAGGTTCTATAAAGAACCATCTACCGCACAGTCTCCATTAATGAAGAACCCGTTTATGATGCAAAGAACCCTTTATTCATGCAAATGGTTTTTTGAGTGTTCATGCTTGTATTTAGATCCACTTTCTTTACTAAAGAACCCTTCAAGAACAGTCTTTTTAAGAGTGTAGGCCAGATGTCTGTAAGAGATTTATTTGGGGATTTAACACCAAACATTAGTGCACTGTGCTTTGCAATAACACGTCTCTGCTGTCACTATTTTCAGCATGGTACCACTGACCTCTAAAATTACACCTGATCAGGAACAACACTGTATAACATTATACATTATATTGTAAAGAGTAACTGTATAACATAAATATGCAAATATGCATAAATAAAATAAAAAAAACAGGAGTTTGAAGAACAAAGTTTGTCTCAGATTTTAAAGCCCCCAGTCACTGCATGAGTTTTTAAATTCCACACACCTGTTTTAACATTATGAAGTATTGATTAGCCACACCAGGTATTGGATGATAACCTATATAATATAATAATATATAGAATACTATAATAATAATGAGCTGAAACAAAGAGAGGAAAATTGTTAAATCAGGGGTGCACAATTCCGGTCCTGGAGGGCCAGTGTCCAGCACCGTTTGGAGCTTGCCCCACTCAAGCACACTCACTAGACCTTGCAGTTAACAGATAAGCGTCAATAGGTGTGTTTGAGTAGGTAAATCACCAAATTGCATTGAACACCGGCCTTCCAGGACTGGAGTTGTGCATCCCTGGGTTAAATGAACACATTGACCTACATAAAATCACGACTTATTGTATGTTCTTTGTGTTTTTCTGAGCAGCTACCCAGCTTACTGCCAAATTAAATACCTCAGCTGTCTAAAGCTTTTGCACAGTACTGTATAAATACACAGAAGCACAAAACACGTCAATTTCTACTGATCCAGTGTCTACAGGGATATTCTACCATTTCTTCATCCTACTTAACCTCCTCATTGCATACAGTTTTGTCCTAGATTTGCTTTTGTAGTAGTTATGCCATCAGGTCCAATTTTTCACATTTCTACAGAACTCTGCCTTTCGAATTTGCTTAAATTTTTATCCTTTAAAAAAAATTAAGGTATTGTACCCAGAAATAATGATGTTCTCTGTGCTTGCTCTTTATTTTTGATATATTAGTGATAATAAATGTGTTCATTTTTCAAACGCTCACAGATTATGTGTATGAATCAAAACATACCATATCGTTGCTGTCGGAACAAAACCTTGTACCTTCATTTTTGTCATTTTTCAGTTTTTGACATAATTTGAAAATGCCTGTTGTCCTTTACATTGTGTGTAATTTTCATGATGAATAGACCAAAAGAAATGGCCAAAATTACTTGGAAAAAAGTCTGGTTCCACTGACTTACATTGAAAGTAAAGTATGTTTTTTCCTTGTCCTGTAAAGTTACCATTTTGGAGACACAAGGTTTTGTTTCGACAGCAGCGATATACCAAATACCGAATGTTCTATAGTTCCAACCCAAAAGAATATAAAATTAATGGATGATGCTGTTTCATGTGCAACTTTGAACATTTCACAACACAGCACAAGTTTGTACATTTTCCAGAACTGAGGAGGTTCAGCCGCATAAAGTCACAGTGCAGTTAATTCACTCTGAGTCTGATTCTGGCTCAGAGGGAAAGGATACGCTTTGTTCTCAGTGTGGTATTCTGCCTCCTTCAGGTAGGCGTCCTTCGCTTGCTCAAACTGCTTGGCATTCTTGAAAGCCACAGCTGTGGATATTGACACACAATGGTCACGACATCATTTAATCATTTTTAGACTCTTAACCACATTAACTCTCTGCTGAAGCTAACATTGTCTGAATGAGGTGTTCTCACCAGCCTTTGCCATTTCAGATGCTGCTCCATCATAGTCCGGTTTCCACTTTGTCATGCTGGTCTTCAAACTGCAGAAACACACTCAAAACATCAGCCATGTCTGTATTTATATTTGTCGTTTGGTTAATTAGCTAGCACAATGACATCTACTGCGGTCAGGCTAGCTAGCTAACTTCAGTAACTAGGCTGGTCACTCTAAGCAACAGCTTTATGTTGCTGCTGTTTAGAAGAACCATGTAAGACCTTTCCGTGAGTGATCTCATGTTTCTGTAACAGCTAACACCAAAATACTAACATTTCACTGTTTGAAACAAGACCACTCAGAAATTCAGAAGTGCTGAGGATAAACTGTTTTAAATTCACAAGTTTTGGTTAGTCAGCATCTTATATTTCTATAATTCTTACTATTATTCTGAGATATTTAGTGTGTGAATGCAATTATCCATTTCTGCCAACATGCATGTGTGTAAACTGCCGTGTGTGTCCACCTCCTCTTTGAATGAACATACACAGCAAAATGTAGTCTTAATAGAGAAATCCATCCATTGTTTTATTTCTGCATAATTAAACCACTGAGATGTAAACAAAATATAAGAAACTTACAGAGTCAGAATTGATCACAGTGGTGGTGATAGGAACCAGACGCCGGAAGTGATTAACACCTTTAAAAGCTACATCACAAAAAAGTTATCACTTTACAAACACACTACCTGATGCCGAAGCCATTGTATTATGACAGTTTTTGGCCTTAAACATTTTTAAAACCATTCATGGCAGAGTTGTATATGCATGACCCTGTAAGGCAAAATAGTCCCAAAAGAAATCTTTTTTTCAGATTTATCACTAATTTACCTTTACGAACATTGTTGTACACATTGCAACACCTGGTTCCTATCACCACCACTGTACTGAAATCTGAGTCTGTGAGTTACTGTCTGTAGATAAGCACATTTAAATTTTCTTATAGTTATATATTTCTCTATAATGAACCATTTCACATCAAAACACTCCGGATGACTTTGTTTACATCTCAACAATTGAATTATGCCATTTTGAAAAACTGGTGGAATTTCCTTTTCAAAAGTGTTAATTTTACAGAGTTAATTCTGGAGTTGATTTTATACCCAGATCGTTAATAAATCTAAGAGCCTGGCATTTCAGTGGAGCGTCAGCACTGAACTCTTACAAGAAGGTGAAGGTAGAAGTCAACTGTATTTTAGCACTGGGGGTGGAGCTTCCCAGCATTCCTTGAGGTAAATATTTTTGTAAACATTTTAACAATGAAAGTCGTGTGAGAAACCAACACTTCATAAAGTGTAAATTGAATTGGATTGGAGAAGGCATTAAAGGGGCATTCCAGCCTAAAACTCCATCTCTAAGTTTCATTAGTTTGCCACAATTCACAATCTTGCATCAATACCGAGCATATATTACACAAATATGTCATACAACCACTGGTAATCTCCCCCTCGGCAATAAAGAAGTCCATTGATGCAGAGGCTATTAAATACAGACGTGATATTCAGCTTCCTAATTGTGATGTTAGTTAACGTAACTGTTGTGTTGGTTCTTTTGAATGTTTTTACTTTCTTTTCAACAAACTTACTGAACAAGTCCTAATTTTTTGTTTGTTTGTTTTGCATTAACACAATGTTTTACACCAGCTTTACAGGCTGAAGACATCTAATAAAATGTTTATAATAAAATTCCTAAATTAACCTCTTAAAAATCACAACCTAGTGAAAAAACAAGCAAATATACAAAAAAAAGTATTTCAAACAGCCTGCCCTAATGTATCTGCCTCAAGGCACTTTTTTAAACTTCCTCCCACCTTCAACATGCATCATCAGAGGTTTAAGTATAATACTTATACTGGAAAATTTCACTCACTCTACTGTGTCAGCACTGTAGGATATGAGTAGGCATGTTCAGCAGAGAAATAGCAATTTACATTTTTTTTCATTTTGGATGGAGTGCCCCTTTAAATGTAACACTCATGGCATTGATTTAACACTGACAAGTTGCTGTGTATGGATTAAAACCCACACCACTAAGCAAGCCATGGAGCTCTCTCTTTAATTTGCTTGATTTTTTTAATTAATTTATTTACTTTCTAAATCACCAGTGAATCTACACGTCTTGTGAGTGTTTATATGTGGTGATGATGGTAAATTACCAGAATATCTGGTATTTTCTTTGGGGACTGTTTCGCCTTAAAACGCCCTACATGTACTCCTCCGCCATGAATGGATGAAGATAAATGGATTAACAAGGCCAAAACTTAATTACAAAACTACTGCAAAACAGTGGATCAGCCATCAGGCAGTATTCATAACCATTTTGTGTATCAACTTTCTGTGAGAGAGATTTACTTTGTTTACATCTTAACCATTTAATCATGTAGAATGTTTTGAAAAACTGGTGGGACAGGAAACATTTAGGGAGCTGAATCTCTGAAAGTTTTGGGGAAATAGTGAACGTCTCACATCGCCAGCTGCACGCGACCAACCTCAGCACCACTACAGCGGTCACCAGGGCAACCACGGCAGTGCACGCGCGATTACGCAATCCGCACAGTGTCTCCTTAATCTAACCTACAAGCTGCACCGCGTACTAGCAGGACAGCGTTAAATACCCTAATATTCTTCATAATTACAGCACATTAGTGATTAAAGTAGTCACCAGCCGAGTGTACATGCCCTAAAATACCGAACACACGAGCTCCACTAGCGAGTGACACTGCGCTCTGTCTGTACCCAGATAGCAAGGTTAGCTCACGGCTAACGGCTCTTTAACGCTTCTCACGGCGAGTCTTCATAGAAAACAATTGAAACATGACTGTTTTCTCACCATTTCTCAGCTTTGGCGATGTGTTCATGAGCCTCGTTTATCTTCTGCGCAGCCATGGTGCAGGGGAAGCCCTCAGAGAGCAGCGGACGGGTTTGAGGGTTGAGGAAGGGAAGAAAAAGCAATGGATGGTAAACAGTATGGCAGCAGAGCCGTTACGTAGATTATCCGACTTTACTCAGGAGCTCAGCGTCACACTGTTTTTCTACGGGGGCCGAAGTGAAATGCTGCATGAACTTATATTTCATTCCTGAATATGGTTATTCCCTTTATTTTAACGTAAGCAATAAAACGATGCGTTTAAATATCTCATACATTCACATTATTATTTTTATTATACTCTAAAATAAATGGTTCCTGTGTGTCCATGAGCCCTGGTCTGAATTCTGATTCCAGTATTTCCAAGTTTGTGATGTAAGGGAAAACAAGAACTGGGAATAGATATTCAGAACACAGAAATGGTGTATGTGGTCTCAGTCCAACTTACATATAGAAGAATATTTTTGGGATACTTACCCCTTACCTGCTAAATATATATGTGTGTATGTATATATAAATATATATATATATATATATATATATATATATATATATATATATATACACACACAAATCAGGCATAACATTATGACCACCTCCTTGTTTCTACGCTCATTGTCCATTTTATCAGCTCCACTTACTATATAGGTGCACTTTGTAGTTCCACAATTACAGACAGTGCTGATTCTCAGCACTGCAGTAACACTGCCATGGTGGTGGTGTGTTAGTGTGTGTTGTGCTGGTGCGAGTGGATCAGACACAGCAGTGCTGCTGAAGTTTTTAAAGACTGTGTCCTCTCACTGTCCACTCTATTAGACACTCTTACCTTGTCAGTCCACCTTGTAGATGTAAAGTCAGAGATGATAGCTCATCTGCTGCTGCACAGTATGTGTTGGTCATTCTCTAGTCCTTCATCAGTGGTCACAGGACACTGCCCACAGGACGCTGTTGGCTGGATATTTTTGGTTGGTGGACTATTCTCAGTCCAGCAGTGACACTGAGGTGCTGTGTCTGATCCACTCGTACCAGCACAACACACACTATCACACCACATCAGTGTTACTGCAGTGCTGAGAATGATCCACCACCCAAGTAGTACCTGCTCTATGAGGGTCCATGGAGGTCCTGACCACTGAAGAACAGGGTAAAAGGGGGCTAACAAAGTATGCAGAGAAACAGATGGACTACAGTCTGTAATACATACATACATACACACACACACTGTCTTCAAAAGAAACATCTTGTTTAACTTATTTATAATGTGAAGATGTAGACCTGCTCTAAAGATGAACTCTAAGAATAGCTTCTTTACAAACAGTGTCCTTGAAAGACTGAGTGGACTGATAAATCACTGTGATGAGGCAGTTACTAATCTGAGCGTTAGTAAACCTTTTGAGTTATGAACTGAACAGTCTCCTCAGTAGTGGACATGTTCACTCACGAGTGATAAGCTTAGTTTTGTTATTGTACTGGACTTGTGCATGTGTTCTGTGGCAAGTTACATACTGTACACATCATTAACTGAAAATCACACTGAGCTTTTGCTGTTGGAATATGGTGAATTGTTTGCTTAGTTTATGACACAGCAGTGGATTTATGGGAGTGGCAGTGAAGTGAAGCAAGCGACGAGAGCTGAAATAACATTGAGAATTTTGCATTTATTTGTATTCATTTGAACAATTAATTTTTTTATATTAACAGAAGGATCACATGAAGGAAACTGCCAACCAGTATCAGGAAGGAACAGTATGAATTAAATAACAGCAGGGTTTTTCCTAAGTGCCTTATCAGTGTGTATTGTAAATGTACTTCAAATGTATTTTGAATATGTTACTGTTTCACATGTTGTAATGGAATGCTTTACTGAATACATTTCATATTATTAAAATATATTACAGCTGAGAAATACGAAAATATTTATCGTTATTGTTATAAAGTACATCACAATATATAAAATAACTTCCCAACTGCATGTTTGATTACAAAGAGAGCAAAAAAGTCCTGTTTAACTGGATTTAGTGCAGCACAGTGTGTGAAATGTTGAATACAAGTAATTGGATTAATAGTTTTTGAAGGTTTTTTTTTATTTGTGGCACTTCTTTGTCTGTTCTAATTAATTATATTGTCCTACCCATGGAGCTGTCCTACTGAGCATGCCCATATTATTAGTACAGCGTAGTAACTTTGTGTTTTAATATAAAAAACATTTAATTATGTTTTTAATGTTAATTCAGTACAGACTTAATATAACTACTTACCTCCTGAGAGGGTGAGTTAAGCTGTCACAATATCTTAATTATTCTTTAAATGCTGGTAAAATTTTCTGATAAGGAGATTTACTTTATCAAAATATCAAAATATCTCCCATTTCAGTTGTCAGAGCATCTTCTGATTTGGCTTTCAAAATATCCTATGTCAGATTATATATTGTGTCAGAGCGTAAGCCCAGAGGCTAAATTGGGCCAGAGAGCACCTCTGATTTGTGTAATTGCCAATCAGCTCCCAACAGCCATCAGTTCAGTTGGTTAAATTGGTTAGAGATGTTAGGTAGGAAGGCAGGAGTTTTCAGTAGTTTGTGAAGCATGCTTCCAAATCTGACTGAATAGCATTGAACACTTGGCAGTAAGCAGAGACATAGCCAAGGGGTGGAAAGTGCAACCCTGGAATGAAGCATGACTACCCTTCTGGTCACCCCAGTTAAGGAAAGTGAGACAGTGAAACACCATTAGCCAGCCATCATCAGTATAGCATCGGTTATGCTTTATGGTGAAAATCTGCCATGATAGATAGACTTAGATAAGCACAGACGAAAATAACACATCTTTTATGTTATTTTAATGCAGTAACACTTTTTATTCAGTTTTATTTCCTATCTGTTTGCCACCCCAATAAAGTCTCAGGGTCTAACCTGGCCACCCCATTCTAAAAGTTCCAGGAACTCTCCTGGCAGTAAGTATCTGAAATCCCAATTTAACCCCTGTATAATTCAATGCACAAAATTAAGTTCATTTAGCATTTTAAAGTGGTATCTATGATCATGTGATTTGATGAAGTTAAAGTGAATCATATTAAACACATTTAAAATTGCAATTTAAAAAAGAAGGCAAAAAGTTTAGCTTCATATTATGCACATCATAAAATTAGTCATTTTACTGCTGCATTTCAAAGTGATTAGTAGCCTAGAATGTCTTACCTAAACTGGATTGGTATTAATTTTATTATAGTTGAAGTATGAACTATGTATTTTTTGATCTACAAAAATACAGATATCGATTCGGATTCCGTATTTACAGATGCCCAATGTTAATATTATGACAATGTCGACAGTGTCCGCTGTAAAAAGATCTATACAAACGCGATTTAAGCGTTGAAGTGAACGTTCGATTCATTGAATCGGACAGTTCGAAAGAATCGGTTCGATGAACTGACTCGAGCTTCCCATTATATGAATCCCTACGGAGCTCGACGGAACCGGAAGGCGCAATGACGTAATCGGCCGCTCTCTCCGTTCCCAGCGCAGGACAACAAACCGAGAAGAGAAGAAGACAACAAACAAACAAAACTTTAACAAACTCGACACAAGGCACTTTAGAAAGTTCCTTCAAACATTTCCACGCTATGCAGACTTCATTCTAAGCAGGAACAGCGTCACGGATGTGGAAGTAAGTCTGTACTGATGGAGTCGCGCTATGAGATCCAGCGGAGGGCCGGCGGAGGCGCTGCTGGGTTCGGCGGGGGCTCCGCCACTGGCTCCCCGGCTCTCGGAGCCTCGGCTCGCCGCAGGAAAACACCGCCCAGACCGGCGGATTACAAACTACAGGTCATCATTATTGGCTCCCGGGGTGTGGGAAAGACGAGCCTTATGGAGAGATTCACAGACGACACTTTCTGTGAAGCCTGCAAGTCGACTGTCGGTAAGAAAGAGAGGAAAAAGTTGAACGCTCGCTCACTCGCTAACTGCCGCTGTCCGGCTAATGCTGTCAGCGGAGGGTAACGTTACCTCACTATTTAAAAAAAACAGGGTTCTTATCGAAAGCTGGGAACTTTAGTACCTGACTAAAACTAAAACTGAAGTGAGGACTGTCCATTCAAAGTGCCCCTTAGCTGACATTTTCTCTTAAGCTGTCTGGCTAACCAAGAAACCTTGTTTTCACAAACTCCACCAGTTGTGCGCTCAAAGCTGGGCAGCTGTGTTTAATGTCGCTTTTGATATGTTAATCACTTTTGTACTGTTGTATTCTGAGTTTAACGACCTCAGACACTAGTTTTCAGTGTGAGACCAAACTTCCCATTGCCGTTTTGTTCTTTCTCTCAAAAAGATGTTTTTTTTCAAGGTTTTTTTAGTGAAGGGAATGGTTCTATTTGGAACCATAGTTCTATAACGGACCATTACGGACTTAAATGGTTCTTTACATGGTGAAATGGTTCTTCAGATTGATGGAGAATGTGTTGTGTATGGCTCTATATAGTAGTAGTATTTGAAAGTGGTTCTATATAGCACCAAAAATGGTTCTGTACTGTTGCGATGTCAAGCTTGTAACAATAGCAGTACTCTTTTTAGAACTCTAATTAGAACATTTCTCTTTACTAAAGAACCCTTGAACAGCCTTTTTTGTGTAGTCTCAATTACTGGCACAGCAATTTGAGAACTCAACAACACCTCAGAGGTCAAGGGGGCGCCTGTGTTGCTTCTCTTTTTATAGATTTTAGCCATATCTGAGCAAAAATGAAGTCAAACTTAGACTAATAATGCTGTGGGAGTTTAAGTTTTGAATCTCTGACATTGTACTGACTTTGTGAGTTTCAGTCTAATTTCTATAAAGATTCTATGAGCTCAATCTGCATTCAGGGCGATAAATAAAAAAACGGCTAGCATGTAGATGATGAACAGTTCTTTTGATATTGTGGAATTTTACTACTAATAATAGTAAATTTAGGGGAGTTTAAACCAGAACATCAACAAAGCCGGTGAAATACAAAAGAAAAACTTAAATGTGCGAGACACTTAACTGTCTGATCTAATCACAAGCTAAATCGTTTGTTTTCTCACTCATATGATCACCACTGATGGGAGTAATGGCAGTAACAACAAACTGACACATTCAGGAATTTATGTCCAGTTAGATGAATGTTAATGCGGTTATATTTATAGTTATAAGTTAAAAAACCTCAAAGATCAGCTAAATGTGGAAATTTTCTAATACCTTGATTCCAGCGCAGTATGTTTATGAAACCTCACACTGGTACATATTACTCAGTAACGACAAGCCTTCAGATCAGATCGGTGGTCCACCAGACTAATTTCCCAAAATAGTCAGGCTCACACACAGCTGCCATGGCATGGCTTGGCCTCCATTTTCTGCACTGTCACCCCTGTGACACAGGCCAAACAGGCTGTTATATTAGCCTGTAGTGCCCCTGTTTATCTCACAAGCACTCCACCAGCAGCCTTTGCCAGAACACAAACCACTGGTAGCTTCACCTCTACACTGCTGCTCAAATGTTATTGGCCTGAGGTGGTTTCAGAAGACCAAAACTGCACTCAAGTAAAAGTTGTGTTTTATTGTTATTTTAGTGAAGAACTGACACAAGTAAAAGTGCCAGGGATACTTGTGTCATTAATGGCTGTTTCCAGTTTCTTGACAGCCATACTGGCTGATGGCTGATTTTTTTTTGGCTATTTTAGTAGGCTTTTTTTTTTCTTAAACCCAAAGCCCAAACTGTTTAGGCTGAACAAATTAGCACATCTTCAGTAATTTCTTAGCCCCAGTATAAGTAGCATTATTTGCCAAACAGGCATTATAAATTCTTGAATGTAAAATAACTTGCCTATTCAAATAGCGTGAATGACATAAAGTGCTACATTGAAAGTAAAAGAGGCAAGTGGCAATTTAGCAAATGAGGTGAACGTAATTATGCTACAGTTTGGTACAGATTTAGCAGCAGCACTCAAATACAGAGCAAGTGCACGGACCTGCATCACATTACATACGTAATGAAACTGCAACAGAGATCAGCCAAAATAAAAATAATCAGTGCAGGAACGAACATCTTTCAGGCTCTGTTCTTCTATTTGCAATCTTGGTCTAAAGTAAAATGCTAAAACTCAGAGATGTGACCGATCGCAAAGTGCAGATGCTGTTTCCAGCAACTAACATATTGTAACAAATTTTTAAGATTTAAATGTAACTGGGTAACGTATAAACGTCTGTAGTAGAAGTAAAGGTGTTATCATTTAAAAAACTCAGGCAGGTACCTTGACACCTTTAGAGCCTTAACATAGAGCAGCCACTGTTGTCCATCTGAGCGAAATGCATTATACTTTCAGTCAGTGACATATCTGGAACTTCTATAAGGCCTAGAGTGATGTGTTTTTTTTTTTTTTCTCACAAACTTGGTCCCACCCTTTGGAAATGGTCCCACCCTTAGAAAAAACATGAATGGTTGATTCCACTGTAAATTCCTTATTATGCTAGTGGTTAATCTTACATGTTAGGCCTTCAGTTCAGCTTCTGAAGTCTTAACTAGTGAGAGAGCGTGGCTTAGCTGTATCTACCTAGATACCACAGAAAAAATTGATTGGTTTTAAATGGGATGTTTAAAAAAGATTGGCTGCTCTGAAGGCCTAGAAGGTCCTGAGGATTTCCCCATTGTGTAATAGGTCTGTCATAACCGCCCATTAACTCTTAAGATTTCTCAGGTGGTGGGAGGAACTTTTTATTGAGCATGTCTGAAAATTTTGCAAGCCTTGTATTTCCTCTCTTTTATTTCATTCTTTCTTCTCTTGGCCACAAATTTGAGTTCATAGCGTATTAGCTAATGAATTTAGCACTAATGTATACATTTGTGTCTTCTCAACCTCCAGAACTGTTTTTTTCTGCTCTCAAGCTTATGCAAGTGTCATATGTTCTTCTAAAATTCTGTCACACTTGCTTTCTCTGTGCGGTTGTCTCTCTCTCTCTCTCTCTCTCTCTCTCTCTCTCTCTCTCTCTCTCTCTCTCTCTCCCTCTCTCTCCCTGTCTGTCTCTCTACGCATCAAGGTGTGGATTTTAAAATCAAAACAGTGGAGCTAAGAGGGAAGAAGATAAGGTTGCAGATCTGGTAAGTGGACAGGAAGTGCTCTGTCTTTATCACTGACTCACCCTGACCATTTCACTTCCTGTGTCTCAGAAGCACAAGATCGACTTAGCTCTGCTCTCAGCCAGGAAGTCTAGCGCATAAGGCCCCCTTCGCTCATTGTCACAGTCTGAGACTAATCTGTTCCAGTCTCTAGCTTTGTCCAGAAGCTGAATCATTGTTGGAACTGGCTGACTTTCAGCAGCGCATCAGTGAATATAACTGTTAGTTTCTCTCAACATGTGTTCCTGTGATGTGAACAGGATCAGAGAATAATGTTCTGAAGCTGCATTATCTACCTGGGGGGGTAAAGATAAAACCTGACCACGAATTTGACTAAGGTTCTTTAGGAAATCATTCAGTACATCACAAATCTTAAATTTCACTGAAATTAGTTTTGATTACTCTTAAAATCAATAATATAAAACTTAATTGGTTGCAGAGAAGTGTATAAAATGATTTGAATATGACAGTCCTGTGGGACTTTACAGATTTCAAATAATTAGTAAGACACAAGGAAGCTGTTAATAAGAATTTAGAAATTTTAGATGTTTCTAGAATGATGACTGGCATCATAGAAGATTAAAAGATGACTGAGAAAACTGAGATAGCATCACAAATGAAGTTATCACAAAATGAAAGCTGCACTTTGTAAGATTTTGTGTTAAAATTGAAAAAAGGAGCGTTACTGAGTAAGAAGAAAGACATGCTAAAGTATGGTGTGCGTATGCTGCTGCAAGTCTCACTGTAAAGCCTGAAATAATATTTTAGAAGTTATCAGACCACCTCATATGTCTTCACATATTGCCATCGCACATGCACAAGAAACTTATGTAGTGTAGCTTTAATACCCAAAGTTCATCACATCATAGATGAGATTAAATCCCAGGGCAGATAACTTGTAAATAAATGTAAATAGATAATTATAGCATATTATCATTTTATTCACTTCTTTTTCACAGATTTCTTGAAATATTGAATACAACATTTAAAACTATCTTTTGTAGAATAGTTTAGAATAGAATAGTGTTTATATCCATATTGAATAAGTTTCTTGTTTTATATAATAACCGAAATGGTTAACATTCCAAATAATTCTGAACTTTTGGACGGCTTTGTTTTTTGGTACAATTCAGAATTAATTGCAAAAATACGCAAACGTTCATTACCTTGGAAAATTGCCTGAGAATACAATTTTGGCCAAAACGTGAACTCATACTTTATATTGAACATTACTGCATTGGATGATCATCAATTCTAACATTCTGAAATCAGTGCAGTTGAACCATCAGAGCATCCCCACTTATCACTTATCCTCACTTATCTACCATAGCCCACTCATCACCGCTTCCATTAGGGGAGGTCATGCTCGCTTGCTTCTGATAACGAGTTTGCAGCCGTGTGAAGTATGACTGCAGTGTGCTTGAGTCTGGTGGATCATAATAACATGTCATGTTTACTGACCTCCCCTGTGCCCCTTTCTGTGTTGCTGACCTTCCTTTGGGTCCTTCTCTCTAAATTGCTTTCTCCCTCTTCATCTTTCTCCCTGCTGCTTTGGTCTAACATCAGATCTTTGTACCCTCTCACTTACATCTATGCTTTTATATTCAGTCCTAAACCAGCTGTTAACTCTTTCATGAGTTTCCTCTCTTCTACATATGCTCAGTGCACAGCTGTTATTAAAAACTAATTGCGAATCTCCACAAGTGGGATAACAATACTGTGAGGTTGGTGCCACTGTGTAACAAGTGCGTAATATGCACATTTACCAGACCCCTGTTAGTACCTGGAGGCTGTGGCAAAAAATAGGTAGTAAAGAGTTTGATAATTCACTCAGAGTGGATTGTGGTGGAGTGCTGTAGAGGCACATCAACCAATGAAAACATGCATGGATGGGTAAAGACAGAAATCTGATTTGTTTAGTTGAATTTGAACCATACAAACTCCACCCCTGCTCCAGCTGGGTACATGCCTCCTAGACAGACAAGATCTGCATGCATTTGCATCTAGCACTCTATTTTTGCGATGTCTAGTGTATAAGCACCCCAGATCAGCATTTAGGCATGAAGTTTGCACAGTGCTGAGGTTCCAGTACTGTTTAGCTACTATGTAAACCCTAAAGAAGCAAACTTCGGAAACTGAGTATGTCTTGGCTGATCTGAGGTTAGGGGAGAAATTGTGTAATTTCGATTTTTGACTGTATCATCATTGAAGAAAGTATCTAGAGCAGGGGTCGGCAACCCAAATGTTAAGAAGAGCCGTTTTGTCCTTTCAACAAAAATCTAAAATCATACCTTGGGAGCCGTAACATTTTATGTCCATTTTAACATCTTGGCTTGTCTCAGTACATGTTAATGTCCTAGTATAGGCTAAAAATATAATATAAACGAAAACGCTCTGCTCTAAGCTTTAGCTCAGCTATAGCCACATTTCTCACATCTCTGGCAGGAAACTTTTCCTCAAACAGTAGAATAGTGTCTTATAAAATGTATCTCAACATTCAACTTTTTATGAAGCTGAAGTCAGCATCTCATTCTCTAGCTTGTTGTTCTAATGTTTCCGTTCCACCTTAAATGGTGCCAGAGCGCCAGAATGCAACTGCAGCACCATTTAACGAGAAACTGACTTCATCTTCACGACTTTTTAGTGTTTGACAGTTTTTCTTTGCAGATTAAACGTATCAGGAAACCAGCTGAGTGCTTATAAATGCAAATAAGTCCATTTGTCTCTAAATTACCGATGTTCGTTTTAAATCTTTCTCTTTGCCTCTTCGTTAGCTACAAGCTAGGCGAGATTATTGTCTCCATTGCTATGTGACCAGCAGTCTGTGTTCCAGTCTTTATGGTTAGAGGTTGTTGAATTAGCAGATATATGCTACATTAACTCCAGCATTTTAGACCATTTAGTGTTAAAACTGTGTTGAACGATCAGCAGAGCTTTATTTTACTGCAAAGCAGGATTATTTTTTTACCTAAATATCTAATTCTGGTGTGGAACCAGTTTGGAGCCGCATTTTGCCGACCACTGATCTAGAGAAACCCATACCAACTTATCAACTCAAGACGCATCTAAGATTAAAATCCGCTGCTGTTGTTAAAAAGGGGGAGATTTTTTCACATTTCATTGGTACATGCTTATTACATTTGTCAGAAACTTTTGGAAAGCTATCTAATTAGAAATAATTAGGACAACGTCTGTGGCATGCTGCTTAATGGAGCAAATGTACTTTTTGCAACCAGTATGTAGCTCCTTTAATTCCTGTACACTTAATGTGAGTTCTTGTGTTCAACAAATATGTGGACCATCGGCTTCTTAACATGTCAGAAATCATTGAACGGAACCCCTCTAACACTCCATTCTTCCTGCTGTTTATGTTAACCTCTAACCCCCACCACCCCCACACCCACCCCAGCCTATCTTGCCTCCATCTCTGCAGATGGCTGCCTCTAACATTGTCTGTGTCACATGTCCACTCACATCCAGCAACCCAGCATCCTTGGCTCCACCACTGTTCGCCTTAACATGTCATCACTGCCATGTGACGCCTCACCGTTCGTTTTTGTGACCTCATGCCCTGTTTTTGGAAAGTGCAACCAGGCTAGGGTGGATAAGGTACAGTAAAATCAAAGGATATAATTATTCTCTGAATCCAGTGAAATAGCAGCAGCTCTCTGAAGGAATCATTAATCAGATTTTATCAAAGGCTGTTTTTATGCTTCTATAAAGTAAGAAGACTAAGTGAAAGGAATTTTTACCTCCATTTTAATAACTGTTTTAACGTGACCTCACCATGTAGGCCTCACCATTTCCCCTTGGGAGAATCACCTATGCCAGTCAGTAACTGTATTAGTTTGATGGTATTTGTATTAAGTACATTGTATTAAGTTAGATGACCCAAAAAAACAGCAGACAAAGCAAAGCAACCAGAGCACTAAAATACTTAAAATCCTTGATATTTTAAAACTTTAGTGCTGCATTCACATTGGCATTGAAAATACTGTCACTCCTTGCTTCATAGCCGTACGCATCGCACTGCTAGAAAAAAGGGTGCTGTGCAGGTACATTTTTATTCATCAAGGTACAAACAGTGTAAATTACCCTCAAAGGTACAACAGTGGTTTTAAGGTCCAATTGTGAACCTTAAATACGTTTCCTAGGTAAAAAGTACATACTTCTATCTTTTCATAACCTAATGTTTTGAAGTAGAACAATAAAATAAAAAGCCTGGAGACGAGACGGGGTGTGTGGAGTCAATACAACTTTTTAAATTTAAATGGATTATGGTGCCATTATGTTCTCTGACTGAAGGTACTGAGATGTGCCTTTGAGGGTACCACCCCAGTGACAAGAGGGGTACTGCCCTAGTGACAGTTTCATACCTTTTTTCTGAGAGTGTACAGAAGTAACGATGCCACTGTTACTGGCTATTCAGATGATTATCAGAGAAAAGCTTTAGCAATGTCAGTTCCTTATTTAAGGTAAAAAAAAAAAAGGCAAGAGTTCTATGCTCTTTTATTTTTTCTGTTTTCTGTACAATACTGGGAGATCCTGGACTTCAACAATGAGAAGTTCGCCATTCATGGATCTTAAAACATCAACATTGTTTTACCACTGCCTCTGCTTAATACTGCCTTTCACTGAACTGTAGATGGATCGTGGAATTTTCCATCGTGGCTCTGTTGAAAATAATGGAATATCAGGTTTGCCATAGACTGTCTACCACCAACATGGGAACGCAGCATATCATTTGATCTGCTACAGTCAAACTAGGCTTTCTGTGGCAGACTGTTCTGTCTGTTGTGACTGCTGATGCAACTTTGTTACCTTACTCTACTCGCTTTCTAGTTAAAGGCACTATAGTAAAAATCTTTTAATAATAATTCAAATAGCAATAGCAATAAGGCCGATGCATCATGCTTCTGAATCTGAAGCTTAAGCCAGTCAAAGCACAAAGCTTATGTAAGCTACGCTTGAACTCAAAAAATGTTTTGCTTTTCAAAGTTTGCTTGCCTGGCTGATTAGTTCACTGAGACCAAGGGCAAGTGTGTTCCTAATGAATTATGCTCTTTTCATTTTCCCCTTGATCCATTGTGCTGCACTTGTAGGTGGCACACAAGTAGCCACTTGTAGGTGGTGCATTTTTGAGTCGTGAGGCAAGTTAAAGGCATGTTAAAACAGTATTGAAGTGGAGGTCTTTTTCCATGATTTAACTAAAATTAATCTACAATTTCCAATGGATCCGTTGGAAATCACTGCAGCAGTGTTTTATTGGTTTAACAGGTTTCTTTTTGTTGTGATCTTAAAATTGAGTTTTTTACTGTGACACTGTTCTGATCTGAGTCATTCCTTATTGCTTACTTACTGCTAATCCTTAGAACTTTAATTTAGCTAAAACCTTAGACTCCAGCAACGTATCAAAAACATTGTGAAGTCATGCATGACATTTTCCTTCTGAGTAAGTAGCATTGTGTAGTCCAGGGGTAGGAAACTGTGGGCCGGAGTCCAGCACAGTTTGGTGTTTTCCCTGTTGTACCACTCCAACTAAACCTTTTAATTAACTGACGACTTGAATTGGATGTGTTTCGAGCAGAAAAATCACCAAACTCTGCAGGAATCTTGTGTAATGTGTGAGTAATTACATTGTAGCAGATGAACAGTTAGTGTTTTGTCTCTGTGTGTATTATTGAGATGTTTTTCAGTGATACAGTAATGAAGTGATGATTATAGTGATCCAGTAATGTAGTGGTGTTATGTAGGAATGCCATAATTTGCAGAAATGCAGTAATGTGGTGGTGTTTTCTAGGGACACAGCTGGTCAGGAGAGGTTTAACAGCATCACCTCAGCCTATTACCGAGGCGCTAAGGGCATCATAATAGTGTATGATATCACCAAGCAGGAGACATTTGACGATCTGCCCAAATGGATGAAAATGATCGACAAGGTATGTACAGCAGCAACTATACGAACAGCATGATGTGCTATATCCGTATATCATACTATATCAGTTGGCTATACTATGATGATAATGTCTTTGATTATGATCATGAAAGATTTGTTACTTATGCTCTGAACAAAAATGACTCACTCCATACCTAAGATTTTGTATGTATCTGTTTCCTTTAGGTGTGTAGTTATGTATGCAAAGAGTATGAATGCTGCTGACGTGCGGTCTGAGAGGTTTTTTGGGGTTTAATTAGCACTGAACTTTAGAGTTGTGTATTCTACAGTACGCGTCAGAGGATGCTGAGCTCCTGTTGGTTGGGAACAAGCTGGACTGTGAGGCAGACCGTATCATCACACGACAACAGGCCGAGAGGGTGAGTGTCAAGTCAGGGGGGAAAAAAGTTCCTGACCAACCATCTTATCTGTTTTTATTGTGCCCAGTAGTTTGCAAAATTTTAAGCCAGTGGTCACCAGCCCTCCTCCTGGAGATCTACTTTCCAGCAGAGTTTAGTTCCAACCTGCATCTAACAAGCTGCCCTCCCCTCCTTTTACTTAACACCAAAGCATTTGATCCAGCCTAACTATGACATTAATTAGCTGAAGCTCGTCTAGCAGATGGTTGGAACGAGACTTCACAGGAAGGTAGACCTCCAGGACGGGATTGGTGACCACTGGGCTTAATTTTGAGTCATTCCTTTTGAAACATAAGGAGATGTATGTTTGCCTTATTATGGCTTGATAAAAATACATATATACGTGTTAATAATAATGTCTGTGTTTGTGTGTGCGTATCTGTAAAATGACTTGGAATGCAATCTTTTTACTTAAATTTTCATTTAAAGTTAAGAATGTGTTTTTTCTTTTCATGTAAAGTTACTTTCTTGGAGATACAAGGTTTTGTTTTGACAGCGACAGTATGCTGCCAGGCACCTTTTGCATGCATTGGATTCAGTTAAATGAGTGTCTGCTTGTTTTCCTGGAGAACCTGAATGTAAATACTGAATTGTACATTGTTGAGTTGTGAAGCTCTTTCATTCAAGCTAGCGCACCTCTTCTCTCTCCTGATTGGCAGTTTGCTTCCCGGATATCAGGAATGCGTTTCTGTGAAGCCAGTGCTAAGGATAACTTTAATGTGGATGAGATCTTCCTCAAACTAGTGGATGACATTTTGAGTAAGGTTAGTACTGGTCCGTTTTAATTGTGTTCCATTATGATGGCTTTTAATTTTTCAATTTGAAAACTCAGTTACCCATTGCATTACATTAAAATGTTTATGGTAATATAGAAGTGGCCCAAAATTGCTTGAAAGAGTCTGTACATTATCCTCCCCTTAAAAGTTAAAGACTGTTTTTTATATGGTCATGGTACGTTTTTTTTTGTTTTTTTGTTTTTTTTTAAATAAATATATAGCTCTATAAAGTTACCACTTTGGAGATACAAGGTTTTTAGTGGGGCTGTTCGATGTTTTATTGTTATCACGGCATGAGTTTCCATGATGAACACGTCTTTAAGAGCTGCTATGGCAGAACAGATCAAAGTACGTATAATGCTGACTGTTTCTCAGCCTTTCAGTGCACAAAAAATGTGCTTGCACTTCTGATGTAAGTAGCTGTCTTTATTTTGTACAGTAGTGATTGTAGCTTTTGTAATTTTGTATTTTGCTGTTTGCTTAAAAGAGAAGTTAGATTTATGTTCACACATCCAAAAAAACTTGCATCACATCCAGTCAGAGGCACATTATTGATAATAATGATTTATCACTTCTCATATCATCACTGTGATATCCCTCAGCTTTATCGAACATTGGACATTTTATGTCCATGTCGTACAGCCCTACTCTGTAGGCATTTATGTGTTGTTTCATATCATATTTTTTGTTTCTGCAGATGCCTCTTGAAGTGCCCAGCAGGGAGCTTTCCAACAGTGTCCTTTCTCTCCAGCCGGAGCCAGAAGTGCCCCCGGAGCTGCCCCCTCCTCGTATGCGCTGCTGTTGATACCACTCCCTGTCTTTTCTGAACCCCCACAAACCCCACTGTCTCCTGTTGTCCGCCCTGGGCACCTGCAGTTCCAGCTTCTGACCACCAGAGGGTGAAATGCACCTGCACTGACAACCTCCTACCAGCAGGGGGCTGTGGACTCCAGCTCATGTGGAGCATGTGGGTGAATTGTCAGTCATGCAGTGCCCAGAGTGAGAGAAGACTCTGCAAAACAACTAAAAGCTTCTGTTGTCTCCATCCCCTGTAAGAATCCACCACTACTAGCCATGTCCTCTGTAGAGTGTAACCTTTAGGTCGCGCATTCACAAGTACATAAAACTCCCCACGCTGGGCAAATGTATTCTGCTCCAGCTCTGTACATTTAGATGTGGAAGGCATTCATCACCCCTTTACTATACTACCCCACCCGCTCTACCTCATATCCAGGAGGCCCTTGGTCGGGGTGTCCTACAGGTGCCTTCTAGGTAAACATCCCCTCTCTTTTGATGCTGCGCCAACACATGGAGAAGACAGGGGGTAGGTAGAAGACGACTGAGTCTCTTCACACATGAACTTATTTAGTTTAATATTCACACTTCTGTACAAGTGTAATACAAACCCTAAAGGTTTGTCTCTGTATCTCATTTGTAGCATCTCACTCTGTAGCATTTGCAGTGTTAGTGAGGGCTCCTCTAAACACCTTTCGCAAAGATCAGCATCAAGTGTGTATGGCTGCACAATATGAACAGCATACCACAATATGATTATATAGCTATATTTTCTGATTATGAGCCACGCAGTATGTTAAAAACGCAATGTAGAGCCTGCAGTCAACCTTTGATGAAATATGATCAAAGATTGACCTGTACTGTTTTGATCGAAATGATACACGTTTGTTGGATCATGAAAAAGCCTTGATTCGTCCCGACAACCTTAGAAACATCTAGAACATCCAAGACCCTGTTTACACCTGGTCGTTTCATGTGACTAGAATGCAGATTATAACCTGATTAAAATATTAACCACCTACATTTCCACTTGTTAATCAAATGTGTCTTGGTTGGTCAGCCTGCGAACCGATTGCTGTATGGTAGGCATAGGTGTCAACCTTACATTGCCTCCAAACTGTATAAATGAACTGAAACCTCGATCCTTGTGCTATGTGCGCTCGGTAGCATATTTAAGTAAGTTACACCAGATGCAGCAATTTTTAAAGGACGCACATCATGGATAACACATTTTTGCTTACTTATTTGTCGTAGAAGGAGTGACATTTTTTACCCAGCCCATGCATATGAATATATAATATATATATATATATATATATATATATATATATATATATGATAATAAAACTGTCTCTATATATATAAATATATATATATATATGAAAACGCCTATTTTGTATACCCCTATTTAAATTGAAGTTGTAAGGAGTGTTTGGGATTTTTGGGGCATAGTATAGTGCAGCCAATCAGAACAGAGTTCTTTTACACAGATCAGTCAGGCACAGTAACAAAAAAAGGCCTTTTTAATTCTGAAGGTTATGGAAAAATCAATTATAACAAATGTAGAACACAATCATCATAAATGGACCTCAGTTGACAAAGTGTAGGTTATGGGCACGGAAACTAATCCCATAACACTTTTTAAAATTCTGGTTGTGCTCTAAGGGCTTTTTCCTCACATGAGGGGATATCTGCCTACACTGCCACCACACCACCCACAGTCTGATCTCTTAATTATTTGGCAATTAAGTCTAAAAAAAACAAAAAAAAACAAAGTGTGATTGAATAGTTAATGTTGACTGGCGAAAGTTTATGGGGAAATGGTATTAGACTAGACTCCTTGTATCCCAGGCTTTCATGGCCGTTTACTTCCAAAATTGTGAAAACTTACACAGTTATACAGGTAAATCGCATCGGTTGATAGCAATGCGCTCGCAATAAGTAGATCAGCTATTGCCTGAGCTGTTTATCGTTTTTGCCTGTTGTATTTATAAAGGTGGTTGTCACCTTAAAAATTACAGTTTTTCCTGGTGGTATTCATTTCCTTACGTCGGCTTTTCATCATTGTTTACAAGGCGACAGCTGTTCAAATATTTAGCCTCATGTATTAGTAAAAGCTAAGGAGAAACTCATGTGAGGAGTTGAAGTGAAGGAGCAGGGTTGCCTTGGTTCAGAGGGTGTTTTATTCCTCACAGCCGGGGGAGACACCATCGCAGTATTGGGGTTGTTGCTTGGAGGGACGGATGCATTTACACTTTATAACATCTGGCTAAAATGCGTCTCAGACCGATTTCGAGCGATCGAAAGCGATAAATCAGATTTCATGCGTCTTTGGTGTGTTTACACCTGCATTTTTTATGTGGATTGTCTCTATCTGGATGTAATCCTATTACTCAGTAAAGCGACCAGGTGTAAATGGGGTCTAAGATTAGTCAGGATGCTCACAACACCCGATGAAATGTTTTCTGATTTAGATGGGTCATTTGCGTTCTGCAGCATTCTACAATATTGGTATTTCTAAGGCTGAAATTGCCAATATTACAATAGCTATTTACAGTATATTGTGCAGCCCTTGTGTCTAGGTTATCTGACCAGTGATTCATTTGGAACAGTGAGTATAAATGCAAAGAGACAAGAGCTTTTCACTTCAGCAGATGTCCATAAGCTGTTTGTTTCTGTGGTGGCTGTCATAGGCTATTAGCAGTTGCCTGTTTTGGGGGTGGTGGTCAGATTTACAGTGTCCGCATGTGTTACACAGTCTGTCAGTCGTTTTTTTTTTTTTTATTACGAAGGGGCCGGACAGCCCACATCATGTTTTTGCACTACAATCCACACTTGTAGCTAGTTCACAAACAAGCTGAAATGCTGAACTTTTACTAGGCGGACTGTGTACAGATGATTACACCGCACTAATAACCTTGTCGCTGCAGTGTTGTCCACTACTAGTGCCGTTTTTGACTTTTGCTGCAAGTGGAGCAACAGAATGACACTAATAGAGGCTTCCATGGAGAGAGGCACTGCTCTGTGCTTCAGAACTGGAATTGAAAGGGCTACCACTTCAGAGAAATAGTGAGCTGGATAGAAGAAAAAACATTTTACGATGGCAGTTTCAGTGTCTCCAGGGCTCTCCACTTCAACAGCAAGAACATGGATCTTTCTGTCTTTGGTGGTTGCTGACTAAACAGGCGCCCACATTGTTTGAGTAAATAGTAATTAACATTGACCGTAGTTTAGGGATTATATAGTAATGCTTTGTAAAGGACAGTTGAACTATCAAATATAAATGTTGCACCTTTTTTTCAGTACATCTTATAAAGTCCTAAGTTTTGCGGAGAATGCCATGGGAACAGAAGGATATTTGCCCAGCTAGCCAGTGTTTCACAAGACAGTGATTTAAAGCAATACTCTGGCATTCAGTGTAATCTCTGTCTAATGTCGTGTTCATTTAGTTTCCACAGGCAGTCATTTCAATGTATATCACAGATCACTTACGGTAGAAACCAATGAGAAGGTGTTTCAGAGAGTGTCTGTGGTAACTGACTGTGTGTAGATAGAGATTAGGTTGAAAAATGCTGGAGTATTTCTTTAATGTTAGTCTGTCAAGATGGCAGCTTTTTTGGAACAAGACCCATCAATGTTTCTTGAATTGAGTCCTAAACCAGGCTGTCAGTATTTCTCAATATTTTCATACTATTTTGGCCTTACCCAAATTTCCCATTGTGCCTCTTGTATCACAAATTAGTATAATACACAGAACTATATGAAGTTGGGAGGAAGGCGTTGATAAGTTAGTCTGTTTATAGTGTTGTTTTCTTATTAATTTTTTGGAATGTGCAGAAAAACATGCACAGGTCATTCCACACCAAATCCCCTAGAGCCTGGCATGTCATGACATCGATTTACATGGGAAAAAAATCAATTTAAACCTTTGATTTAATTCATAGAACCATGCAGAATTTCAAACCTGTACTCCATAAAGTTTTTTTAGTTACGAAAGTTCAAAGTTGCATTGTAAATTTTGAGTAAACAGCATGACTGAACTGAGCTGAAATGTGAAATGGGTGAATACGTGCAGTACTGTTTAAACATTTGGAATCAATTTGTTGTTGTTTTCAATCATATAAAACATTTTTGCAGATGTATAAATTGATTATGATTATTCTACTCTACAACTTTAGAAGTTTCAAGTAATTTGTAGGAAGCTGTAAAAACAAGAATGTTTAACACTTAATATGAAGTTTAAAATAGAAAGTTAACATCCAGAATGCCTTGTTTTTTAATAGGTGGTAATCAAATTTCGAGGCAGGTAACAAAATAATTAAAAATAACTTATCACAGTATGTCACTTAATAATGCTCAAATCTTGCTGTTTCCAAAACCAAAAAAAAAACATAAAAATCTTCAATAAAACATCTTCAAATACCTTCATATGGAGAGCTTATAGTATTTTATTCTACACTGTATAAGTTATTACTGAATATAATATTACAAGTGACTTTTACTATTCCAAACTTCTGAATGGTACATTTTTAAAAAAATAGTTGATTTAAAATATTACTCTTTTTGTTGTATTTATACGCAGATGAAGTTTCAGCTCAGTTCAGTCATTCTGTTAGCAGCTTAATTCAAACCTGCAGTGTAGAAGAAGAACCTATTATGAGCACAGTTTTAAAATTGTGGTAGTCGTATGACTTAAATCAGAGTTTCTGCTTGATTTTTAAAATGGAAATCCATGACAACCTGACAGGTCCTGGATGAGTTCACATGAAATAACGCAGGTGTGAATGAGTGCATGCTCATGTGTTTAGCAGATTAACTCCACAGTCGTGTGATTTGGCGTGTCAGTTTTTCCCCTTCTCTTTAAGAGAAAGATGTCTGGCTGTTTCTCTAGTGAACACCTACCCCTTGCATAGCGGTACGTGGTTTGCTTTCACACAGCTCCATGTGTTTCTGCTGTTAGGAGACCACACGTTTGGTCTTCATGTTTACTTTATGATTTCCTACCATACAAAGTATTACGAAGCAGCCTAAAACTGACCATGTTTCGCTTATTTCCTGACAGATTTAGGAAACGTATACTAACCTTTTAATATTGTCTTTTGCCAGCTTGTGCCATGTTGTGAAAATGTTGGCTTAGTTGATGAAGGGCCTTTGTTCATCACTAAGTGCTTTTTACTTTACTTATACTGTGCAGATCATTGTTTTTCCTGTTTTGTTTTTT